TCTCTGCATTCCATTGTCTCTGCATTCCATTGTCTCTGCATTCCATTGTCTCTGCATTCCATTGTCTCTGCATTCCATTGTCTCTGCATTCCATTTTCTGTTATTGGGCTGGGAACTACTACTAAAGTCAACACGCAGACCTGGTTGCATCTCCTTCAACTCTGCACTTCAACCATGAAACAACTGTTTCACTTTGATTCCGTGCATGACGCTACCAGCAATCCAGCTGGAGACAACGCGATCCTGCCGACTTTCCAGCAGGTGGCAGATGAAGATTATGTGGCGTTCGTTGACCGCCGAAGGGCACGGATTGGAAAAGAAGCACCTCGGCCGCCCCATTATACTCACTCGCGCTGGGGTGGCGTCACGAGAGTAGCAACGCCCGACCGGTTGCCGAAAACCCAGGACCAACTTGATTTGAAGGAATTTCTTCGCCAGCCATTGAGCAATAATGAGATCGATACGGTGATCGAACATCATTTTTGTTACGATCCATGGCACCAGTATGAACAAGAAGATCGTCAAGAAATGCAGCGGATCTACTACCTTCCGGGCGCAGCGGCTAAACTGGGTGGGTGGGAGGGAGTACAGAAGGCTCATATCATGAGTCGACATCGCATCAAAGAACGCTGGCAACAGCTAGGGGTCTGGGATCTCAAATGGGGAATCCCCGTCAATCTAAAGGGATTATTTCAGCCCGCCGACGAGTTCAATTGGTGGCCGTGGCTTAATCCAGGTTATGCACTCTCACCGATTGGAAATGCAAAACTAAAAGAGCCTGAAATTTGTGCCGCTCGACGGTATCTCCAGAAGAAAAAAGAGCAGGGGCGCGAGGCTGAGGCTCCGGCTCGCATAATGGAGCTTGCCAACCGGGCAGCTGGCATCTCCGCAAATCATGACGAGTCCCCGATCACAAGTCGGCCTTGGTTCCTCTTTGCACTAGAAGTGGCAGCGGAAGAGGTGAGGCTGGGACGCCACCCACGGGCAGACAGGCACGACACTTTTCTAACAGCACGGATAAACGTGGCAGCCCGATGGCAACGGGACGGATACTGGAAAGACAGCTGGACTGACAATGCGAAGTTTGGCAGTTTCGAGGATGGATGGAGCAGCTTGCCGGGATGGACATGGGGACATGAGTTGCCTTCCCCAGGAACCCCGGATCCAGATGGCATGGAATTCACCCCGTCCGAGATTGATGCCATTGAAGCGATACGCCCTCCCACACCGCCCCCATGGCCGAAGCCGGCCCCCGGTGCCTCTCCTGCCGCGTGGCACGTCTGGAAACATTTCAACAAACGGCTTGCTTCCGACTTGGCCGAGCAACAGTCAACTCCTCGCCCTCCAGACGATGACGAGGATTCACTCGGTAGACCAGGTGCCGTAGCTTCTGGAACAGCTGGAGAGTCCGCACACCAGTCGATACTAGAGGATGACGCGGACATGGCTCCACGGGCAGAACACAGCCGAGCCTCGATCCGGGCTACAACTTCACGCAACTTGCACCGGCAGGCACGTCAGTCGGCCACGGCCACGACCACACGTCGTCCGTTGACACGCCTGGACGCCGGCACCACTTGTTCGGATCCGGCTTCGATCGCAAGCCCGTCTGCAGCTGGTCGGAATCGAAAATCCAAGGGCGACGCCAAGGTGATTCGAGCTCCGATTCCGAAGCCCAAGCAAGCTCCGCCAACCCGTCGCAGCCTCCGCGTCGCCGGGAGACAAAGGCGCTCGGAAGGTGTAACTGTACCGGTTGGCGATGCCGCCTCATCGGAACCCCTCAAAGCTAAAGACCACGGCCATGTGGCGCCCCGGCCACAGCGGAATCGGCAGGTCAAGGAGACGTCAACGAGGACCACAGGAAGAACGGCGAATCGCGCCCAGGGAAGACGTGCACCAATATCCCCGAAACTGCAGGGCGTCGTCAAAGAGAAGCGCACGGGCCGTTTACGACGTTAGGAAAGCTTTACAACAGGGAATGAATTGGACTCCGCGGGCGTTGTTCTTGGGATTAGGATTGCCAAAGCCTCTGCGGGCATAGCTGTAGGGATTTTGCCATGAGGAGTGAGAGTGTACAGTGCTACCATCACTATCAGGAAGTACTGTTACCGGCACTCCACTCTACGGGCTCAGGCGGGACCCCGGTACGGACCGTCATCGACATGCGATCCCCTGCACTTCTGTTTGCCGATAAGGATGTTTGAATCTGCAGTTCTAGAGCGGACCTCTGTTATTACGCCTTGAAGTTTGAGCTTTAGTATCGCCGCTTCTGTGGTATAGAAATATATTGCCTAAGTACTCTACTCGTACCGTGTCGAATTCTGCAGACGGTTGACGTTGAGAGCGGGAAGAGATGGCCTGTAGTGCCGAGAAGGTTTGGGGGCTGGGGCCAGGGCTACTATCATAGCCGCAGCCTTGTCCGCACCAGCAAGCCCTGAAGTTATAGGGTTATTTGGTCAGCAGCGCAAGGGCGGAGAATTTAACACACTATAATGTTCTGCGCTATACCTATATAAGTACCTGTTTCAGAATGCAGCCACTTACCTAGATACTCTACTACCACTACTACCGTCACTCCATTCAAGTTGCTGCACTGCACATCCTCGTCACAACTCGCATCTCAGTCCTCTGTTTCAAGCCGTACAGCTGGCAAATTACCCTGCCTTGGTATCTAGCAATACTACCCACTCGGTCCTCCTCCACCCAGCCTTCACGCCGCAAAGTCATCTAGAAGCCAACCCAAGGCATCCTTTGTCCTCGCTGCCACAACTCCTCCTACAACAACGACCACACCACGACGAAAGACTACAAGCCACAAGCCCACACTGACAATCAACACCACGACCACCCACAGCTGAATCAAACCCCATCATGTCCGACGCCTACGCGCGCGAAGAGTATGTTTCTGTTTCTCCCATCCTGTACTATACCCATTAGTCTTAGTCTTTATGTCTAACTCAGCTGTCGTACTCTGATCAGGCAAAACAATGCTCTCCTCTCATCCCTGTCTCAAAAGACCTCGGCCCTCAAACACATCACGCTCGACATCTACGACAACGCCCGGTCGCAAGAGACACTCGACAATACCAATGAGGTGTTTAGTTCGATGGGCACCAGTATCCGTGGGTCTGCGGGCCGGTTGACTCGCATGGCGAGACAGGGGGATAAAATTGCGGTGCTGAAGTTGGCGGGGATTATTGTCGTTGTGGTTTTGGTTGTTTATTGGGTTGGGGGGTGGATTCTGGGGTTGTTTTTTGGTCGGTAGATATGGGAATACCAGGAACACACCAGGGACACCGCCAGCAGATGGAGAGAATCGGACTTCAACATGGGCTTGGAAATATCGTCTGGATGGCGACGGAAAGGGGAACCGGGAAGATGGAGGGAGTTCATAAGGAAATGGAGGGGGATTTGAGTGCTGTGGCAGGCCTCGTAACGTCGTGATCTTGGTGACCAAGAGTCGAGATCAACGCGCGGCTGGATAACATGATCCAGCGGTAGCTGGGGTGGAATGCTCGGGCAGAATGGATGGAATGTCCTGCACCCAACGGGAGGAATTATGCCGGCCTACGCTACGACCATGTCAATATCGCGAACAAGATGCGGCTGTGAGGGAATCGAACAGATGCACATGGCGTGCAGGAAACAAGGGTATAAAGTGACCGAAACCATATCCGTGGTCAACAACTGTTCCGCTATGGGGGCTGCATTGATTGAACGGATGGTGGACCAGCAATACTCAAGCCCAAGCTCGACCTCTCGACTTGCCCCCAATGACGGATTCCAAGAGCAACAGCAACACTAACACTGATTGGCGTGTTCAATGAACGAGAAGCAAGAATCAAGTGACGGTCTTCATGCAGACGGATGTGGGGAGCTTTGACTCGGATCTCGAACAACCCAAAGCAAGGGTAGACGTCCAAAGAGGGAGCAGGGAAGGGGTAAAGGAATGCAATTGCAGACAGCCCCAGACGGGGGCAAAGGGTGTGATAGAGACAGACGACCACCATTCAAGAAGAGGCGCAAACATTCAGGTGGCGGCCGCGGCGTTCTGGAAGCCAATATGCGCGTGCCTATATCGACCTAAGCCTAGCTGCTGAGTTATGCTGTGTCCCACCAGGCCGTGAGCAGGATGGTCGAGAAGACGACATGAGAGGAGAGGGGAGGAGCGGACTAGCCGGAGGAGCCATGGCATCTTTGTCCAATGCATAGCTCAATCCACGGTGCCTTCCTAGCAAGCAAAAGGGCACATTATTGAGCAATATAGAATCGATTTTAGTTACGAGGATGGTGACTCTTGAGTTGATTCTCATTAAGAGGCTTGCATTGCCTGATACTAAACACAATTCAAATAAACCGTCCGCTGCCGGCCGCAGACCTGCATGTGCATTATCCGTCCCACCCCACGGCCCCCATGACAAACACCTCGACGCCGTCGCTTTTCTCGTCCTTTCTCCTTTCTGCTCTGCCCTGCTCTGGTCGTTTACATTTTGTTTTTAATCTCGTTTTCGCTTTCGTAGGCTCATTCGGTTTTCAGATGGCGTCTTCAAAATCCTCGTCCTCCTCGGAATCCTGGTCGCCATCAGCCACGGCTCCCGCACCACCATTATCCAGTCCAGCCGACGAAGTATTTCCTTCAACCTTGATGTCGCCATTCGTAGCAGTTGCATTGCCGTTTTCAAGTTTGACTCTCTTGGTATCCCGATGATCAACAAAACTGGCAGGGGTATTGGCTTCACTGCTGGGTACACCATCCTCGTCCAGGTCGCGCTTGATCCCGTTGACCACCGCAGGTTTGGCCTCGACAGGTTGAGGCAGCGAACTGCTGGGCGTGCCGACATTGCTAGTCCCACCACCGCCCAGGTCGACGACATCCTCGAACTCGAGGTCTTCGTCTTCTTCCTCGTCGTCTTCCTCCTTTGCCCGCATGGCCGCCGCTTCGCGTTCTCGTTCCATTTCCGCCATGTAAGCGGCTACTTCGTCCTGTAGCGTGTTGCCGGCCAAACCTGCAAGTTCCGGCTTCTTCTCGTCGTCCAAGTCTTCTTCCTTCTTAGGGATTAATGTTACACCGCTGTCAACCGGAACTGACGCAGGATCAGGTTCGAGTTTGACTCCGGAGGCAGCACCAGTTGATCCACCGTTGGCGGCTCCGATTATGCTGGTATGCCATACAGGTAGCTGATTCTGTTTCGCAAGTAGACGTCTCCGTTCCTCCTTGCGCTCTGCTTCTTCCCGATCTGCTTCCGCACCACTAGTCAAGTTGACCGCCAAATTCTCGACTTTGACCATCTCCGGCCCGCGCTTCTGGTTCTTGTCCGCCCGCTCCAAAGCCACATATTGGTTTTCGGCCTTCCCGCCCCGTTCCCTCGGTACTTCTTTCTTCCTCTCCCAGGCGGACTCAAAGTCGTTCTGCGGGACATCCTTCCTATCGATTTTGAGAATCATGTCGTCAAACTTCTTGAGTTGGTCGTTCAATCGACGAATCTTCTCGTGGTTGCCGCGGTCCTGCGCGGCCCGTTCGTTTTGCACCAATGTGGCTCCGCATCGGTCGCAGTAGAACCCTTCGTCGCCGATCTTGTCGAGGATTTCGAGCTCTTCGTACTCCGCTTTGCAGCGAGGACACCTCCAATCTTTCCGCTTCGTTTCGTCTTGTTGGTACAGCGCTTCCACCTTCTTCCGCAGTTTAGCAATGCGGTATTTAATGGCATCGATGGCAGGGTGGAAGGGGCAATAGTAGTACTCTCGAGGACTGCCTCGTTGAGACCCGATCCGGAGTTCCATGCGCGATTGCGTAGAAACAAGGCGAGCCGCGCGGAGTGGGTTCATTAGACTTCGGATGTCTTTCGGTTGGGCTGACACCAAAACGGCGAGGTCGTCCATGTGTAAGACCGAGTGAAGCATGATAGCGTCCACGATGAGGATTTGTTTGGGGTGGTTGAAGAACGTGCGGACGGTCGTCCGGATGAGTGTCTTTGCTTCTTCCATGGTGACGGAGACCGATATGTAGAAGAGAAAGATGGAAGAGGCAAAAGTGGTAAACAAAGTGAGTAAAGGGAGGGAGTCGTCAGTAGTGGGCGGACTCGAGATCCAGCTCAAGGCAGAAGTTGAGGATGTTGGTGAATACCGGCCATGTCCACTTTCCAACAAGCACTGAAGCCGTCGTAAGTAGGATAAGTGACAGACCAAACCTGTCACAGGCTGGTAAGGAAGGAAATATTAGAGTTACAGGGGAGTATCCGTGTAAATAAACCAAAGGGTTGGTAGAAGTTACAGGCAAGCATCTAGAAGTGATACTGGCACTTCGCGGCGCCGGTTGCAGCACGTGCAGCGCTTTGCAGTTCAGCCTGATCACATGACAAGCTCAAGAACGAAGCCTTGTCGGCTCCGGAACGAGTAGAATATCACGCCGCTTTGGCGACTACTTCTGTCCTCAAATGCCAAATCATCTGTCCATCCAAAACACCGAGACACAAACCAGTACCTACACTCCGCATGCGTGGGCAGTGCATCACCTGTATATCATACGGATCTGACTGCCTGTAATCCGATCTGTTGGAAGTGTCAATGCGTGGTGCGGGGCGATAGAGACTCGATCATCATGTCTTTACTGTGACTTCTGCTGTCAACCAGCCTGCTGCTGGAGGCGGAGCCGCCTCGAACTCCCCCGTTAGTAGCTGGAAGGGTAGGTGAGTGGATTTATGCTACACAGCAAATTGATCTCAAGCCGTCGCCATGCAGCCCAGCTTGCTCAAGGTGCCGGCACGATACGACGGTCCATTTTCATGGCTATCCTCGAACAGGTGAGTATCCTAGGAATGGAACGCAAATAATGCAACACTGTACACCAGCATATGCTATTGACATTGATATTACTATCACGGTATGTACATATACATTGATTGAAGTCTTCCTGCTCTTCCACGGAAGGGCGAGAATCTCACATGCCGTTAATTGTCGGCATGCAAGCCTTGGCTGAGAACCTTTGTGCACCCTCACGAACTTTTTATCACTTGTCCATTTAGAGAGCAGGGGCCAATGCAACAATGACTGCAACAGCCGCCCCAAAACCAGCATGGATCTTGTCGGCACCGTTACCAGACTCAATAGCAACGGAAGTGGTGGCGGCGCTGCTCGAAGCCGCAGAGGTAGTCGTGGCCAAGGTGCTGCCGGCAGAGTCGGTGGCGCTGGCAGGGGCTGAGCAATGCCAGTGGTCACCGTGAGGCTGGCAGCCGACAGACTCCGTTGGGCTTGGGCCGGGATCCTCGCTGCTGGAAGTGCCGGTGGCAGCGGCGTCAGTTGCCGTGGCTGGTCCCTCGCAATGCCAGTGGTCACCATGAGGATGGCAGCCGACAGACTCAGTGGGGCTTGGACCAGGGTCCTCGCTGCCGGTGGTGGCCTCGTTGGCGGTCGTTGCAGCAGTGGTTGCTGCTGGAGCAGCTGCGGAGCTCGAGGCAGGTGCACTAGTCACGGCAGGACCATCGCAGTGCCAGTGGTCACCATGAGGCTCGCACCCAACTGACTCGGTAGGGCTTGGACCTGGGTCTTCGCTGGCAGAGGCAGTGGTTGCGGTGACTGCGGCGTCGGTGGCAGTGGCAGGAGCGGAGCAATGCCTGCAAGAAACGAGAGAAGTCAGTCCGACATATTCAGCACGAGGCAAAATGGGAAAGGCAGAAGAAACCGGGCTTGCTTACCAATGGTCCCCGTGAGGAGAGCAGCCAACAGACTCAGTCGGGCTGGGTGGGAGACTCTCAGACTCAGAGCTTTGAGCGTGGACGCCAGCAAGGGCCAGCAAGGCGAAGAAAGTGACGGAGTAGACCTTCATGCTGGGCTGGATCACAGACAGAAGAGAATGCTTGGTTTGGGTGCTTTTCTTTTGGGGACTTTCCTCGGTGAAACGAGCGACTACCTCTCAATCGGCAAGAGATACGAGAGAGAAATGAACACACAACTTGCAATGCAACCATCTCTGCTGCCAGCTGCTACTTGATATATATGCTCGCTGGCTGGTACCCGACGGACAGCCGCATGGTATGCACAGGGTCCCGCTCCGCCCTGCCAAGACCGTACTCTGGATGTACCAAGACATCTGGGCACAGGTTAACCTGACTTAGCAAACGAAAAGCCTTTCCACCCCTTGTACTTCTGCCAATCAACGAGGATATGATGGTTGTGTTGCCAGCGGGACTGAATGGTAGCGTCTTCATTGTCCTCAATTTGCCCTTGGCAGTCGGGCTTGGCTTTCAGTCCATGCGAGCTGGTGGGAATTCCAATGGATATGATCGGATGAACAACGAAGCGATGTGTCAAGAAGCGAAGGAAAAATTATTTCCTCATATGCTACCATGTGCCGTGGACTATTTTTGAAGACGCCTTCGCCCTCTTTGTCGAGACATGCATTGAAGCACCGGGCGGCGGTTGACCAACTCTCAGCCTCGCCATGGCATTGACACTAGGCCTCCGATGCCTCCACCTGGTCTTGGCGCTGATCGGTCTGATCGTGACCGTCTTGGGAGAGACGAGCAGTGCTACCAGCAGTAATACTCCATCGCAAGGTCTTGTCCTCGAACAGTCTGCCGAGGTCGATGCCACGAACCAGGACCAGGTCCAGTTGGTCCACGTGACGACGCTCAACGTGGTGAGGCCGCAGGCACAGGGTCAAGTCCTATGCGATGCTGCAAGCCCTCGAGAGATACAAGAAAGAGAGCGACTACTCCGGAAGATCGCTCGAGACGACCGGGCTTGGGATAGCAAGCACCCGCGATGGTCCATTCTAGAAGCCCTGCTTGGGTTTCATCGGTACCGGGAGATCACAGGTGCAGAGATTGACCGCTTCGATGGGCTGTATAAGCATGTACCCAAGAAACACAAGAAGGTAAGCTAGGTCTTCTCACCTTCTTCCAGTCCTAATAACTCTGGCGGTCCTGATCGACGATGCTTACCATAATTCTTTTTGCAATGTAGCTCCTTGAAACGACAATCCAGTACCACAAAACATTTGCTGAGGCTCGATCTCTTCTCGACCGCAATGCAAAGATCTGTAAGGCGATTGTCGAGACGGCCCTGGACTTCTACAATATCAGCCACTCTGAACTCGATGAATTCGCCAACGGTACCGAAATCAAGCCAGGCTGGCGTATGAGCGTGTCTCAGGGCCTGAAGCACATGGTCCGAGACTGGTCCGTGGAAGGGCAGACTGAGCGCAAAGCCACCTTTCCATACATTGTGAACGCTCTCGCTGAGGATATGAAGCTGTCTCAAAAAGATGGCCCTGGTGTCGGTCCCTACAGGGTCCTCGTCCCGGGCTCCGGCCTCGGCCGTCTCGCCCATGATATCGACCACCAATTGAGGTCGATCGGGAACGTGGCCGTAACATTGAACGAGTACTCGGCCTACATGAACATTGCATACCGATATATTGCGTCTCGAGGGTGCATCAGGTTCGGCTCGACATCAGCAAGCGAATCTACCACGCCTGTATCCAACGACGATGGTGTCAGCTCTCTATCTACGTCGAACATTGACGTCGGATCTGCCTGGGCATCACACCCAGACACCGTGCCGCTACCGAGACCAGGCTCAGTCTCCTTCCCATTCACAACCTACCCCTTCATCGAGACCTGGTCTCACGCCCGCACGCGACACGAGCTGTTCCGTCCTGTCGTCATTCCAGACGCCGGATCCCCAATTCACTCTTCAGGCCCGGTCCTGGTGGAAGGCGACTTCACGCGCGAATTCGCCCACGAACCCTCGCAATACGACGCGATCGCCACGCTCTTTTTCATCGACACCGCCCGGAACTTGATCCTCTATCTCGAAACTATACACACTCTCCTCAAGCCCGGCGGTGTCTGGGTCAATGTCGGACCCTTGCTGTATGGAAGCGCGCCATGGGTCCAATTGAGTCTGGACGAACTGATCACTGTTGCCGAGGCCATGGGGTTTGAGTTTGAAGTCCACAATAGGGAAGAAAAGGAGGTCATGTATAATTTCAATGCTAGCGCTTTGTGGAGGAACGGCTATGTGGCGCAGTATTGGGTTGCCAGGAAGAAAGACGACAAGAAGACGAGAAAAATGGGATTGTGGTGAGCAGAAACCTGAAGGGCTTGTACAACTAGCTACCTTTGAGGCAAATCGAAGAATAGAGATGTGGAAAAGTTCTCAATAGAAGACAAAACTAGACATCAATGTTTGAGAAATCTACGCCTTCGGCACTTCAGGTCACGATAGTAGACGCTCGAACGAGATCCTTACATTAGGTGTCCTGGCCCTCACGTACTCGCGTACCCTTTGTATCCTTCTATGTCTCTATCTATCTTTCCAGCTCTTTCAACCCGTAATCTGCCTCCATTAGGTACGATTAAAGGAAATCATCGATACTTCCTTCCTCCAACAGATCGCTCCATTCCCCATCGCCATCTCTCGTCTCCTACCTACCCCAATCTCAATTTCTCAACTTTACCTTTCCTTCTATACTCATCCACCCAAGCATCCACTCCCTTCTTCGTACTACGAACCAAATCCACCGGCGTCGGGCGTCTCGTCGGATCAACATTCAAACAATCCTCAACCAAATGCCTCAGTGTCGAAGTATAATGCGGATTCTTCCAACCCCTGAGCACAGAGTATCCATTATGACGGAGCGACGTCTCGGCCGACTCCCAGTCGTTGATCCGCGTATGTAAGTCCTGGTTGTCCATGTCGAGCTGCATCATGCCGTAGATGTTGGCGGCCATTTGCCAGATTGTGTGGGATATCGTGAATGGGTGGTCGGGCCCGCCGAGGATCGGGTATGTCCAGTCGGAGCCGTAGGCGCCGTATTTTCGTTGTTCCTATACACCAAGAGACGGGGATGGTTAGGCCGATTACGAAACTACGGGGAGCAAAGTTTGACTTGGGCAACAACACTTACCGGTGGAAACCAACAAATAGTTCCGTAACACTTCCATCGCTTGCTGTTGTTGACGTCCTGGCGACTGGTGTACTCTGCCATGCCCCAGTCGCCCACTTTCAGCGTGGGATAAGGGAGGGAGTTTCGTGACGTGGGCGGTTCGCAGAGGAGAACTGGTGAAAGGAAAAGCGTGAGTAGATGTTACAGAAAGCGGATACAGTAAGATTAGAGGGTTAATCGGATCATTGACTTACCATTCTCATGCTTCAAATCCAAATGCAGCACGAAATGATCGTCTCCTGGTGGCGCAACACTCTTGTCGAACCGGATCGTGCTCATATGGTATGCTGCGAGGGCGAAGTCATGAAAGGCCTGCCACATGAATGTTTCGGGGATGTGGTCCCTGTAAATTCAGAAAGGGGAGGGAAACCCCGTTAGCTAGGAGTTCAACACTCGTTATACATGATTTTCACCGCGAGTACCCCTTTTGAACATGATCCGACCGCCTGGCGAAAGTGCAATGCAGCAACAATGGCAACATTCGGCAACCGACAACAGGCTCTTAAAACAGGCATGACAGGAATTGAAAATGAACTCCAGTGAACACAAAATATTGACTCACCTATGTCTCGGATGTCTCCGATTATGGTCTTTATACCTCTCCACCAAATCATCCAGGGTCCCGTGACGGTGGTATTCAAGGTAATATCGCCACCTGGCTCTCGAGCCGCCGAGGAACAGTTTGTATTTGCGGATCCCGGCGACATTGCGGCAGCCTTGGTCGGCGAGGCCTCGCATGATCAGCACTTCCCAGGGGATAGTGACGTTGTTGTTGCGGTCGACTTCGCGCTCGTCGATGTCGGTTTGCTTGATTGCTATGGTCTGTACGAGAGGGAAAAGTCAAAGGTCAGTACCTCGCATTGGCTTCATGACGGATATTAAAGACGTCCTATGCCATCTCAGAAGGGCCCCAGCACAGCAGGACTGGATCACCCCAGCGCGAAGAGCATCTGCTGAATGCTAGAGTTGGATCCAATTGGTGGTCCCAGCGCGCCGTGGAGGCCCACAGTTGATGGTGAACTCTAGGAAAGGGGGAAATAGAAAAAATGGGCAGACTTACATCCACGGCTCTTCCATGTTTGTCGAACTTCGTCCATTGGCCTACCACGCCGAATGATCCCTTGCCGAGGAGTTCTGTACACTAGAGAGAACAGACGCCATGTCAGCAAGAGTACGAAAAGACAATGCATAGAAGGAGGGGCACCGTCACAACACAGGCGAATACATATAGGCCCAGCCGAAACCGAAGCGCAGACATAAAATCGCCCCCCCGAGCCTGTGGTAGGACAGAAGTGACACCTGACCCTTCAAGATGAGCCGTTTAACCCGGGGATGATGCCCCTCCCACCACCATCATCCGGAGATAAGCCCAATGTAACGACGTATGTAAGTTACCACAAAGCCAAGCCCAAACATATCAAAAGGCAAATTGGCATTAAACCTTCAAGGAGAACAAAAAATATCGAAACAAATACTTACCTCCCATTGGTCTTCATGATCATCAAACCATGCCTTTGACAATCCAAATCTCTCAGCGTTGTCGTCGTACCATCTCTTTTTCCTCCACCTCGCAAGCCGACGCTGGACTTTGGCCTTGTCTCGGGTCCACGGCGCACGCTCGTGGACGGGCTGTTCGTTAATGGAAACAGGGAGGTGCATAGCTATGCGGTCTGGTGTCGTGATTCGGATCAGTCGCGGAAAGAACCGGAGCCCTGATCAGGTGTTGTCAACCACTGGAATACTGAGATCGAGAAGCGAGTGTATGCATCCAGTGAAGCTTTCGGTAGATGATTGACGAATGCAAATGCCAAAGTTCGGTGAAAACGGGACGGAAATAGGCCTCAGACTCGAGAAAAGAGGCGTTTTTGGCGACCCTCCTCGTATGAACGTGTCCGTCACTTTTGTGCTCAACTGTCGACGTCAATATCACGAGACCAAGGGGGGAAACAGAGGCTCAACGTCCTGTTGATCAAAAATTGCAGCTAAGTACGCGAAAAGCCGGGAAGCAAGCAGCATCAAAAAGTAAGGAAGCTAGAGAGGAGAAGGACCAAGCTGAAACGAGTTGCACAGCACTGCACCATAGTATTTTCTTTGCTCCCGAGCCAAATATGGCCAGGTCAGAACCAAGCGCGAGAGCATCTCGATGCCGGATGCAGAAGACAATCGGGCCTCAGTCCGATTATGCATCGTTGAAAACAATTCTTCCTCGTCATTGTGCGCCGAGTAAATTCGACACAGCCATGCACGCATGCGGTGCCTCGAATCCCACGAGCAAGAACCGAGACAATGGAAATGGTAGACCACCAGGGCCGAACAATCGACTCGGAGGCAGAACAAAGAAAAGACGACAAACAAAGCGAGAGAGCGTTTTGAATCGAGACTGTCGAAAGCTCCAAACTTCGGAAATTCCGATCCTTCACTTTACCGAACACGGAGCGTCCAGAGGTAACGCCCATAACAGCACAGGAGAGTACATCACATCAAGATGAGGCAGCGTGGTGGTAGCTGGGAACGTCTAAGTACGACTCCCGTCGTATCGAAGCGTCTCAGGCACAGAATAGTCGTCTGTCAACCGCTTTCTTCTGGTCTAGAGCACACATGTTGAACATAAAAGAGTTCACATTTGAGGGCTTCAGCCAGGACAGTCTTCACTATGGGCAGCAGGCACATCAGTTTCGTCACTTCACTTCGAAGCCCGTCTTGATCAGCCATAGTAGCAGCATCGCCAATACCCAGCCAGTCCTATTTCCGGATAAGGTGCTTCTTGTAAGAAGCGTCTCAGAACTTTAAGCAGGGTTAGAGATGTCTCGAGTTCAGTAGCATGCTGATGCTTGGGCCCAGAAACGCGGTTAACTTTCGTTGCAAAACGCGTTGAAGAGCTGAGGAATGTGGGCGGACAAAGACAATTCTGGTGCTGCACCACTGGCATGAAAGTTGGTAAACAAGCCGGATGCGGCCCCAGTCAGTATTATTGGTCCAACCCAATCCAATGAATGACTAAACACGCCTGCTCACTCCACCATAATGATTGGCCAGCCTTGCCGACACGGTAGGCCTTGTGATCCTTCACCACAAGGTAGCAATGAGAACGGTTTCCGCCCAGGCTCAACCACCCATCGAAAGGAAGGACTACTAAGCTGGTGATAGAGCAGGTGCCCTGAACCTGACTATAATGTGTACCAATCATGACCTATCCTTCGAGTAACAAAGAAATGGATCAGGAAGGACAAAGGAGCACCCATGCTAAAACGGTATCCATGCCGTATGGCTCATTTACGGCTGTCCCTGAAGCTTGAATAGCCCATCCACATATTTGCGCCCGGCCGTTAGAAACATCAATTGATCTCAGGTATAGAAGGCCATTTATACTTCGCGGGGCTACTGCCACACACGGGATGAGGTGAGAACGTTTGGGGGAGACGAATTCGATATACACTTTCTAGGCTAGCCATGAAGTGAAAAGGATAAATGCAATTCCACTGCACTTAAGAGAAGGCGTAAAACAGCAACAGCAAGAACCACGGCAGGAGGCAAGGACAACAGCGGTCCAGAAGAATAGTCAGCTCTTGGCCTGGAGTAAGAGGCGGCATGGCTTTCATGGAACAAGTCGAATAGGCCTCGCAATCCACAAAGAAGCATGGAGCGACCAGAATCTCCGACTGGATAGGACATTTCAGGAATTTGAGTCTTTTTTCCGTGTCATCGAAAATACCTGCTACAAACTGAAAGACACGCTTCACCGATGTCTAGGAAGAAACAGGGACTCCCATAGCAGCCCGTATGACCGTTTCTTGGAAATCCTGCTCGGCAATGGTGCCACTTCAATGGGACTTGTTGCATGCCACATGCATGCGAAGACCATCGCCCGTTCGCTTCCCACAACGACTGTTTCGCTACCACGTCAATCCGTTAAAATCGGCAGCGGCATCTCTTAAGAGGAAGCAATGGCTCTCCGTCGCTGAGCACCCCGTTGTCTGGCATTCAGTCTGCTTCCCTTGGAAACGCTCAAGTCCTCGGCCTTGGTGACGGCCTCATCAGCCTCGGTCAGGATCAATTCAACGTGGCATGGGTTGGACATGTATGGGTTGATACGACCGTGGGCACGGTATGTTCGGCGACGCTGCTTTGGTGCTTGGTTGACTTGGATGTGCTTGACGATCAGGTTGGAGGTGTCGAGACCCTTGGTGTCGGCATTGGCCTCGGCGTTCTTGAGCAGACCAAGAAGGAACTCGGCAGACTTGACTGGGTGACGGGCTTTGGACACTCCGAATTGCTTGCCTGCAAGCGAAATGGTTAGCCAACGCGAGATGTAAGGGGCGGAAAAGTGCATTAAAAATCCATCACTGTCACGGAACCCTGCAACCCATGCAATCTCGTAAAACCCATCTCGTGCTCTAAGTTGCGGGATGACCAGAATAATGATGAAAATCTTGATGTTGACTTTTCCGCCTTTTAGAGGCACTCCGTACCTTGTGCGCTTCGGCCAGTGCTTCCAGCATATCTTCGCATAGGCACAGCCTCCTTCAACTCTTGGACATTCTCGAGGTACTTGACGGCGCGCTGGAGTTTCCAGCCGTTGATGGCCTGGGCGGTCTCGCGGGTGTTCTTGAAGCTGACACGGAGGTAGCTGCCACGGCTTCGAGCCGATTTGGCCGAGGGAATGCGGTCGACGGCGGCGTAACGGACCTATATCGAGAATGTTAGCGACTTGTGATCATCGCCGAGATCTCTAAAGTCCCGAATCGGAGAGGACTGGTCATTCGTACCATCTTGACTGTGGGATAGGCGAAGGGATGGTCGTCGGCGATGTCGAAGTCAACTTTCACAGGTCGCAACTTTGCATCAAATTTCCATGTGGGTTGTGTGCCAAGCCAAGAGTTCCGGGCACTTCAGAAATGGGAGGTGAGCCGAGGGGCCTGATTAGTACTAGTGCAAACACTGGTTGGAAAATGCAATGACAGCCTTCCACGTGATTCGTCTTGGCATGCTAGCCTCGCGTTGAAGCAGGACAATGTTTGGTCCTATCTACAACCAAGGTAGGCAAGGTAGGTATGTAGGTACAGCTTCCGTTTCAAGCTTCAGGGCTATTGTTGGGTTGATCCGGCTTATTTGCTGTCCACCATTCAAACTTTGACTTGATCGAACATGTTCTTGTGCAACTACAAACGGAGCAATGTATGTGCGAGCTGTCATACTTCCACTTTCTTTGATGGAAGATCCCTCTCCATCAATGCCAGCATAATGCTATTCTTCCAGGCTTGAGTCTCCTCCTGACACATGGTACCCGTCGCGCATGGCGTCTGGCGAATCCAAAGGTTCGGCCTGAGACAGCCAAATGCTTGTCATCAGATCAAAGCCTTCTGGCTCTACAGTCACTCCCCTCTAAAAGGATCATAGTCGCCTCCTTCCGACTCCTCGGTCCCTCCTCGGATGGGTAGTGGTTTAGTGTACCACTCCTCTTCATCGTCTGAGATGTACGCAACGGCGCTTGACATTATCTGCTGTTTGGTCCGTGGCTGCTTCGGCCGTGGCTGCGTCGACTGCTGCGGGACAGGATTATGATATGCGCCCTGCTCCTCCACGCTTGCCACCACTTCATTCGCATCTTCAAAGACATCATCACCTTCGTCATCGTCATCATCATCGTCATCATCGTCCGTTCCCACCAATGCTGCACCAGCGAGCTGACTTGTCTTGTGTTTTGGTGTGGATTGAACTTGAACCTCAGGTGCAGCAGCGACGACTTCATCGTACTCCGGATCCCCTGGCGCGAAGACTCTGCCATTGATAACTTTGGAGCCTGGTTTCCTCCCGACTCGTGCCCCACCCTGCAGCACTGGCAAGTTCAGGCTTGAGGTGAACTTGAAATAATCATTAGTGATGGGATGACCATTGAGGATTCTCAGCTGTGTTCTCCAGGCCTCCAGGGTCTCTTTATCTCTGATGTCATGGTATCGGCCGACTTCGAACCCGTTGATTGTTGCGATATCGAGAGCCTCCGCCCTGGTGTCCGCCCAGAGCCAGCGTACCTCGCCGTCTTTGGCTTCCTCCAGCCTTAGGTCCGTTCGAGTAGCGAATCTACGAGCCTCTTCAATCGCATTGAGGTCGTAGCTCAGGGTTGGCTTGACGCGGCCCTCCCCTGTTCCTGAGTACTTGTGCTGCAGCCGGCCGGCCCATATTTCAACAGCAGCGGCTTCATACATTCTGCCAAGTACTTGGTCATATGAAACCTCGAAGCGTTTGGCAGGGTCGTGCATATGATACCATGGCCCATAGTCCCCTGAGCCAACAGGCCGAAACACAGTCTTTACTTCTCCAGGAGGGATCGGTGACGGGAGGACAGTGTGGCTCGTATCGGGATACTTCCCCTGCATTTGATAGTGGCGGCGGATGTCAAGTGTGTAAGCTGTCCCCATGAGGGTGATCGATGATGACGATGATAAGAGCGGTGATTCTGGAGATATGTGCTCGGGCTCAATGTCATGGAGGTTTAATCGGATTGATTCGACGACCAGGACATCAGTGCAATTCCTCCTTTTGGCCGACGAGCCAGTCTCAGGCGCGATGCGTACCGTATCACCAACGGTGATCAACTCAGCCCCGATGTAAATACCTTTACATCGTATGCTAGCATTGGGCCAAACGCCGTTGAACCAAAACTTTTCAACGAGAGATATGCTGGTCATACACGTCAGGGCATGATAGATGGATGGATGCCACTTGCTTTGTGGCAGGCCGTTGAGAAGTGCTTTCCATTGGGTGAGGGGCCTAATATTCCGGAGAGGCACATAGCGATACTGCTTGGAAGCCCTCTTATCGACGGCATTATTAGGATCTGGGAACGTCTCAATGCGAAACCCAGATGTGTTGAGAGCATTTCGCTTCTTTGGAAGGGTTTGGATGTCGGGGAAGTCGATAGGTCCATCACTGGCGGTAACCGTTGGCACAGCCGCTACCACGCCGGCTCTCCAGGCCGGAAATCCATGGAAACACCTTTGTTCAAACGAATAGAACTTGTATTCGCCCCGTTTGGCGTCGAGCATCAGATAGTGACCATCCAGGAAATGAGGACACCATAAAACAAGCTCCCCAACCCGCGGGATGAAGGAATGCTGTAGCTCGATAGTGTTTAAGACGCGTTGAATCAAGTCGGCGCCAAAGCCATCCCAAAAATGCTCGGCTCTCCAATCAATCGAATTGAGTTCTCTGATGTCGTCTTCGATGCCCTTCCTGCTACCCTGCGCTGCCTCAAGTCTTTTGAGTAACTCCTTGTACACGTCCTCGGTGCCTTCCACATCTTGGGCATACGCTGTTCCTGCGCTTCTGATTTGTCGTTGCGGCCTGCCCGAAGCGCCACCGGCGGTACGGCCATCTGCAGAGCTCGATCTTGTTGATCCAGCAGTCTGAATTGCAGATGATTGAAGAGCTCTTGATAGCAAGGGCATCTGGCGCGGTCGTGGTGTGAGTGGTTTCGGGTTACCACAATGGACGCATTCGCAGAGGCCTTGCATGCCAGACATAAGCCATAGAAAGTGCACCTGGAACCTGACAGCCGAGTCGTAGTACCTGCCGGAAGGGTGTCCGAAGAGCCGTTTGTAAACTTGAGGCCCGCCTGGCTGATCGACCTCGTACAAAGCGTAACCATCAGGTAACTTATCAATGTAGTATTGCATGCCTATTCTCGACATCAGTGTCCGCACCAAATATTAACAGACAACTCAGACCCTATCACGGCTGACGGCGCCATATTCACAACTAAAACGCAACGAGGAGCGCGGTCAGTAGTGACAGGCACTAGGTGACACGTCCATTAGGAGTGAAGTCGACAATTTGAACCCATCTATCCTACGATGATCCCGCCCAGAAACAAGCTTACCTGGTTGGTAGGATCCATCATGTTTTGCCCACTCTGTGCCCATTTGGATGAGATACTTCTCTTCGTTGCTTGGTCGGTAAGGTTTGCCTGGCCAGTGGCGGCTGTTCCCGTCGCTGTATGGCTTTATATGTCGAACTTGCCATGGACCTTTCTTCTTCCCGATGATGGACCATCGCGGTGAGTTTTGCCCCGTCTGAGCCATTGGAAGCAAGTTCCGGATCGCAAACCTGGTCAAGGAAACGAAACAAACGGTGCTGGACGTGTTTATAGGGACGTAGCACGCGACGCCCACCAGATAAAGCGATCCGGTAGATCCCACTTAGAGTGAGATAACCCTTTGACAAGCGTGTCAACTCGCGCCGACTAGATGAGTTGAGGGATAGAAGTCTCTTCTTAACCGGACTTCATTATCAAACTTGAAGCTAGCTGCCAGATGTGGCTGATTTGCAAATTCGCCGCCGGCCGAGCGAGGTTGAAGTGAGGGTGATGTCTCGTCAAGAAGCGTGCAACTTGACGCAAGACTGAACGCAGGAAATTAGGCTTCGTTCTATGGTACGATGGAAAGTCAAAATCATTGTGAGGAAGTGCTCTCGCGTGTGTATTAACGTAGGAACAGCGTATCGTTCTGTTGCGCGATGGTCAAGAGGAATAAAACCGCGTGGAGCGCCAACTTTTGGAACTTGACATATAAAATATCCAACTCCGCAATTACCAATGTTACATGTCCACTTGTGATGCCGCCTCGAAACCATTGTCCTACACTACTAATTTGGACTACATGATATTGACAAACACATATTTATTGGATCGATCCCCGAAGGCTACAGACTTGAAACAAAAGCGACAGGGCTGCCAGGTAAACTGCGAAGGACCATAATAGTTACGCGCCCGGTATTAATGTCCTCTCCAAGCTCACAGATATCTTTCTCCTGCCTTTTGGCACATACCCGATCAGTCCGTCGTCATTGATATCGTAGTATATCTGCCACTTGTGCGTCCTCGGGTCTTCTACAGCAGTGAAGAGTTCCTTTCCATCAAACGTGATGCCCTCCTCGTCCTCGGTCCAATCCCAGGGGCCAACATGATGCGCTATGCTTGCGGTTTTGTTCCCATACTTGAGTTCCATCGTGTCCTTGTCCACGTAGATCCAATTCAACAGCGGAGGGTCATCTCGGACTTGAGTCACGAGACCAATTTCGACCGGCACTCGCTGAACGAGAAGGGATCAGTAACAAGTCATACATAGCACAGCAGGCTGTATATGGTGCCACGGATCGCTTACTTCGTTATCCGGGTATTCGATATAGAAGGCTTCGGCAACGTAGCCCTCCGGGCACGGGTTCAAGGCTTCTTGCGGCCCTATCCACACGCGGTCATCCCGCAACACCAGTCTCTTCTCATGGATTTCTTTTGTCCGAGAGCTCTGCGCTTCACAATATACGTCTATGTGGAACTTCTTCATGCGCTTTGCGTCTTTCTCCCTCTCCTTCTGAGTTTTCTGTCCAGAGATCGCCTGCGCGACGCCCGTCACCGTGGGGATCGCAGTTAGAATCAGAAGACCGATGACCATTTTGAGGCGGGCTGGTGCTTCGGTCGTTGGTGGATCAATGTCTAATCAGGCTCTGGCCACAGATTGCAGAGTCTCATCCCGATGAGCCTCATGGATCTTCAGTAGAACGTGTCAGGCGAGCAGCCGGTAAGTTGAGATGCGACATGCACCGGGACACACGCGGAAAGCCGGCCGTATCAATGTTGGCCAACTTCAGCAGGTTGTTGGCACCGGTGGTTGGCGATCTGAAGTGATTATATAAGCGAAGGCGAATCTGGCCGGAACAATGTTTTTCCTTGTATCTTGGCATCAAATTCGTCCTCGAGGCCTTGAAGATCCATCTATTTCTGCTAATGCTGAGATCTTTATACATCCTCCTATAGATGGACGCTCTCAAACTATTATCACGGTCCACCGGCCTCAAGGCAAAGATCGCAAAGCCGTCGGCTCAGACTATTCCGTCTGCCTCAGGACAAGGAACGTCTCATGATGGAGGGGACGATACCTTGAGCCGGAAGCGCAAGCGAGACTCGGAATCGGAAAATGACCTGGGCCAGAGTTCTTCCGGTGCGCCATCTACGCTCACTGAAGATGAAGTTCGAAAATATCAGAAGAAGCACAAGATCAAAATCGTCGACTTGAATCGTTTCCGCGCCGTGAGCCAATCTTCAGAAAAGCGGAAAGCGCAGAAAGAACAGTCCCGTATTTTCCCACAGCCACTTATCAGGTTTGGTCAATTACGGTCGGACTACAAAATCAATCCGGCACTGGCAGGAAACCTTGCTGAGCAGGCATATTTCGAGCCCACGGTAGTCCAGTCGGCGACTTTGCCGTTACTGCTAAAGGCTTCTGCAGATGGCGGAGCAGAACCCCCCAATGCAGATCTCTTGACCATCGCGCCAACAGGCAGCGGTAAGACACTTGCTTTTCTAGTTCCCTTGATTGAGAAAACGTCCCGTGCCCATCGACAAGCACGAGACCAGCCCGAGAAACATGTCAGCTCTATCATCCTCGCCCCCACCAAGGAGCTTGTTTCGCAAATTGTGAACGAGGGTCGCAAACTGTGTGCGAAGACCGGCGTGAGCATTACAGCCATGCGCAAGGGGATGAAGATTTGGGAAGGGCATTCAAAGTTGGAAGAGGACACGCAACCGGAAGACGATGAAGGCTCTGAGCAAGAAGATAGCGAAGTTGAGGAGGAGACGAAGAAGACGAAGACCAATTCCCGTCCACCTGTCAAAGCCGACATTCTTGTCTCGACACCGCTGAGCTTAGTGCACGCATTGTGTCCGTCATGGGAAGAGGATGAGACGAAACCTCCACAAGCATTACCCAAGGTGGAAACGTTAATCTTCGACGAAGCGGACGTCCTGCTCGATCCTCTATTTCGCTCTCAAACGTTGGCCGTGTGGTCGGCATGCACATCCCCATCGTTACAGATAAGCATGTGGTCGGCGACCATCGGGTCAAACATTGAAGAATTGGCGGTCTCGACAATATCCGAGCGGCAGAAACGTCTAGGGATTCCACGCAATCAGCGGCCGCGGCTGCTGCGAACCATCATCGGCCTCAAGGACACGAGTCTACCGACCATATCGCACCGGTTGACGTACACGGCCACGGAAGCAGGCAAACTTCTAGGGATGAGACAATTACTGCATCCGACACGGTTCACGACAACGAAAGGGGCGGAAGAAGATGCGCAACCGCCGCCTCGCCCTCCGTTCCTGGTCTTCACTCAGACGATAGCACGAGCGCAATCGCTCTACGACGAGCTGCAGTATGATATCCCTGCTTCGGCTGGAGGATCGTCGCGCATGGCCGTGCTCCACTCATCCCTGCCGGACCATGTGCGGGCCTCGATCATGCAAAAGTTCAGACAGGGCAAGATCTGGGTTTTGATCACCACGGATCTGCTGTCTCGAGGGGTCGATTTCCGAGGCGTCAATGTCGTGGTCAACTATGACATCCCCACCACCGTGGCCGGCTACGTGCACCGGGCGGGAAGGACAGGGAGGGCAGGTCGACAAGGCGGCGTCTGCGTCAGCTTCTACACGAAAGAGGATATCCAGTACGTCAAGGGCATTGCCAATGTCATTGCAGCGAGTGAGAAAGGCAAGCCCAAAAAGGAAAGCGGGGATGGGGACGGTAACAACACGACCAAGGCGGTATCAGCAACCACTGTCCAACCGTGGTTATTGCATGCGCTCCCCAATGTATCCAAGTCGGCGAAGAAGGACCTCAAACGCCACGGAGTCGAATCCCGCCGTGCCATCCACGCCGACGATGACGAGAAAACCAAGCGAATGAAACGAAAGGCTCGCATAGGCACGCAGAGCGGCTACGAGAGGCGTGAGGTTAACAGGAAGCGTGCTGCAGTGCAAGCCAGTCTATCCAAGACGAAGGCACCGGCCTCTACTAAGGAAAGGAATACCGGTGGAGAATGGGAGGGATTTGGCTGATTTTTGGAAACAAACCGTGACTATCAGAGCCCGAGGGCCCGGGAAAGGGGATGGGGGGAGGGGGGTGGACTGTGGTAGGCCAGACCTCGTCGTCCACAGTGTCTACTCGGTTGCCTATCTGGGGATCTAATAATATAGGTTTCGATGCCTACAACTTGGGGCCACTTAGGTTCTGTGAACAATCTCCGAATACGAGCCCATGTACTATGGGAATAATGTCCATCGGAAATAATGTCCACATCGCAAAAAATGTCCATAGGCGATAATTACTCCGATTAGTGTCCTGCTCCGCTTCCACCACTATGCTGGCAGCTTCGAAAAGAAAAAACGCTCATCAATCTCACCAATCAGTCACTCCACTACTACTATACCATCTACTGTCGGCGGTCTGTCCTGTACAACCAGACGAAATGAACGAAAACACGTATTTTGTTGTTTTTTTTTTAACCCTCAGCTTGAACCGGCATACCGGTGCCAGCCCCGATCCCGGCCATCCCCGTACAGTAGTAGTACTGGAAGTAGTCCACCTGGTCCTCCTCATCAGACGTTTGTTTATTAGGGTTCTAAGGCCCTCCCGTCCTCTCCCGTATCCTTGGTACAATAGTAGGTCGAGACCTGATGTGATCTGGCCCGCCGAGCAGTGTGACAAGTGTAGTGGGCTCCCAGCATGTAGTGACAGCGGCACAGAGTGATTGACAGTCCCTGGACACGGCCGGTCGACATGTGGTAACCTGACTGATAGGACATGATGTGGCGCAGGATGGTCGTACTGTACATACTATGTTGTAGTACAATGGCCGGATTCGAAATTAACGTCCGTGGGGCTACTACTAGAAGTAGACTAGTAGTGCCTATCTTACAGTCTTTACAGCCTATCTCACGTATTTTACACTACTTGGGGCAAAGATAACCAATAGTCATTGGGCTAGGTGTGCCACTTATACCGTATTGTAATGTGGCTAGTGTTCAATTAGTCACCGGAAAGACCAATCAGACGTCTTCAAAACCCCCACCGACGTTAATTTCGAATCCGGCCGTTGTACACTGTATATGTGTGGCTTGTGGCTTGAGTTTCAGAAAGGTCTAGACTCCGTGTTCTCAGGACACTGGCAGGTCGTTCCAATTCCAGTCCACCGCGGCGGCACTTGAGTGATTGGCACTTCCAAGTTCAATGGTCTCCAGCCAGTACTACGTACAATCTACATGCAATTCAGCTTGGTTGGTGAAGTAAGGTACGGTGGTCTCGTACAGGCCACCAGAGTTTTTCTAATAGAGAACTAACTTTACCTCAGCTACTAGTATACAACGTAGTATCTTGTGGCTTTCCCAAAAAGCCTCGTCTGTGCGTCGACGAATAGGTGGTGGTAATGGAGCCAGTGATTTTGGGGAAAGGGGAAACAATTTTCCTCAAATACTAGTACAGTACAGACTGGACGCCTTATGAAGACAGAAAACAGGAACAATATTCTGTTCATGCTTTATTAGTTACATGTTGCTCGTAATCATTCATTGGAATTGTCCCCGGGGCTTGTGTTGTTATTCGTCTTTATTTCTCGCGTTGTGCGTCCATATCTCCTGACTGTGCATGTGTACGGTAGAACCACTGCGCTGGACACAGTCTAAACCGAACAGGCGCCGAAGTCACTCCCCCTCACGATAAGCACGATGAACATTTCCATTGCCCCAGAACCTCTGTCCTGAACCCAGAACTCATATACTAAACAATAATTGAGGACAGCGGTGCTCCTTCAGGTTGGAGTCTTGATGTTGTTGGGCGACGATCTCCAGGTATTGATGTACTGTACATTAGAAACCGAGATCCCCACTTGCAGCTTGAACGGAACGAGTATGTAGAAGGCTATTGGCATAGACAGTCTCGATGGCAGCTGTTTCACTGACGGGCCAACTTTGACTTCGAGCTGAAGATAATGCCTCCCAGGTGTGCATATCCCGTTTTCCGACCCAGGTGGCGTGATGTTGCATAGTAAGCGTGGTGGGACGTCATAAGGTTTCGTGATAATGTTTCGTTCGCGCGCGAGTTTTGCCTGTCTTTTTCGAGGTCAAATACATAAGGCATTTCTGCCTGGCAGTGCCGAATCCGTCCGCTGTCCGACTGGCCGGTATACCTCAGACAGTGTGATGTCTGAACTGTTCACCACCTGTCACAGTCCTCAGCGGAGGTTGGGAGTAGCACTTCCTTTTCGCCGGTGATTTTCTGGCAATTGAGCTTCATGGTCCAGTTAACGTACAAGTTCCACCCTCATGTACACGTCCATTCCACACTCATGTCCGAGCCTGTACACATGAGAGTTGATATCAAACAGTGGAGTATTGTCAGATAGACACAACACGTATCGCTCGGGTCAAAACATCGTGCAATCATTTCTGCCATGATTCACCGGAGTTCTTCATCTTGTCCTCTTTCTCATCCTCGGCGGCCGCCGGACCGCCACGATGGACGGGCTCCTATTCTTCTCTATTCGTCCATCATTCGTCCCATGAGTAGAACCCAAGCACGTAGCACTGCACAGCGAATCACTCCGTGTCTTGACACTGTATTGACGCACAGTATCCGGCCCAAGTGGCAGAGAACTTGGATGGCATTCTTCAATAAGCATGGCTAGGTCAGGAGCCCGAGAAACCATACATTGTAATCTGATCAATGCCTGCCGCTGTCTCCGACGCATAGTGTATGAAGACAACGCCTGTGCCTCAAGAGATAGTGAGGGTCGGGGTGACGACGTTGGAACGATGGTGTCAGACATGCTGAGATCCCACAATGTAGGGTCGAGTTCGGTAGGTTCAAAGAAATCAGAGAAGGTGGTTGCAGGAGTATCTGGGCCGTCGTAGAAACCCTCGTCGGCTTCGGTGTCCGGTGTTGATGCGGCCGGGGAAGCAGCCTCGCTCGGCGAGAGTGAGGGGGATGGCATCTCGATATCGTGGAGGGCTTGCGATTGTAACTGCTCTGTCAAGGCCGTGATTGACGGATGCCGGCTGCTACTTGCCTGTCGGTAGGCATCGAATCGAGTATCGCGACATGCGGCTGGTGACCTGGACTTTGGTGATGGGCATCGAGACGTGGTCGGGGAGATGTCTGCGGATGTGCCATCGTCGACACTATCGCTGGGTGTGGGCGAGTACGGGGATGTGGCAAAGGAGAAGTTCTCGTTGAACATGTTGACGGAAATTGATGTATCTGATTGAAATGGCTGTCGATATGTCCCAGTCGTACCAAAACCCGTCAAATCCCCGAAACTGGAGATGTGAATCTGTTTGAGTTCACCGTCAGGCAGGTCTATGTCAATGCCTCATGCTGCAAGCAAATACAGCAATGCTTCCTCCCGGGTAGACAATAGAGCGGCTGAGCCAGAACAGTGACCAGCGGGGAAGATCACCCTCTTAAAGCAAAGGGTGAGGATGAAGCATGTTCTTGACGTTAGTGGTGCCTGAATCACGATAGAAACATCAGATTCCGCCACGAGGAGAAAGACGTAAGGGATAAGACACTGCACGGACTGCAGCGGTGCACGCCGGAACACGGCCTCCGGCGCTTCCTCGAACAGCCTTACATAGTGGAGGGTTGCGGAATGGATAAAAAGCCATGTCACTGGTAGTGGTGGTCTAGGTTTGCCAGCTAAGCCCATCGTAACATCGGTCCATCCCTACCATCGGCAGATGGAGACCATGCATCGTAGACGAGCGAAGGATTGAGCGAAGATTCGAAAGTGCTGCACGTGTGGGGAAATCAAAGGGACGAGCGTTGCTCAGTATGGCAACTATTTCACGCTGGCGTGAGCGTGCGCCAATGAAGGCCCGGCCAGCAGCATGCTCTGAAGAAAGGTCCCTATTCGTTTCTGAGGCTCAGATGGCCAGAAAAATTGCCGATTGCCGCTAGAAAAACGCCCGATAACCACCACGAAAAGCCCGGGCAGGTTTGTACGTAGGCGCTCTGTGGCCCTGTCACCCCATCCACCGTGGTGGGCGCCGATCGTGTGGACAGGGGTGTGCGCCGTCAAAAGATGTCCGCCCTTTCAATGCGACGTTATAATGTTGCACAGAGTTCTCGGCCCTTCCAATACCGTCGCTCGACAATGCAGGGAGCTCTGCATTCTACCAGGCTTGGTGTTGTTGATCGCCTTGCCCAGTGTAGGAGGAAGACTACCGCCCCGAGTTGCCATCCAATTTCAGGTGACACTCGATGTTTCGTACAAGCAATCCTACTGTGACCTTGCCACTGTGGGAGGCAACGACATCATGTCCGTACCTAGACATTCGGAACCGGCTCGGCGGGCGACAAATCGAGCCTCTACCACAATTCTGGGGTATTCGGGTCCACCAGAAAGCAAATCCAGGTGGTTGTGTTGTGCCCGTAGAGAGGACTACAATAGAGCCGTCGATCGACTCCCTCCAACCCCCATTTGACTTGGATCTGGAAGGGCTTGTCTTGAGCCAGCCGTGCACTCAATTCGGCGAGGCCTTGCTGTCCCGTTCGAGAAAGGTGTCCGTGAATGTAATCCCTGGCCGCGTACAACATGGGTGAGACGTTGCATATCTCGTAGTAAGTATCGTCCAGTGGAGATTTCCCCAGCAGGAAAAAGTCCGAATACAATTCCCGTAGGCTTGTCATGAAGTCTTCTAGGACATCGTCTACGGTGGTGCTAGTTTTAGAAAGGCGCGAATCGTCTGAAGATCTGGGGTTGTCATCGAGGCTGCGTGTCGATCGCGGAGTGTTTCTCGCCGTTGACGTTCGACTTTTTTCTTCATTGGCCAGATTCAGCCAGACATCGTCCGCTGACCTCATGGTTGGTTTTCCATAATCATTACGATCCTCCGGCAGTACACAGCCTCCGAGAAGATCTTCGGCCGACAATTTGCATGTTGGAGGGGCCCAATCTGAGGGTGGTGCGTTGTACAGCGGAGTTTGGGGATCAGACTCGATGGTCGAACTGTCGGACAGCTTCTCGAACTCGGGCAATGCGGCTGTTTCGTGAATAAATCGAGTGACGTCGACAAGACTGACGAGCATGAACCGGCTTCGGCCACTGCTAGGGATCACGAGTGGAGTGAAGAGGACAAGGTGAGTAACAGGATCGCCGGCAGCATCTTGCCCCGTGACAATGTCCATGGAGGCACCCTCACACTCGCAGCTGTTCAAGAAGAAGTGCTCGCCGATTTCAAAGATATACCTTAATTCTTGAGATGTTGCCACAACCGGACAGCCTGCCATGGCGGTGTCCAAGACGCAAAAGGATTTGAAGTGCTCAACTTGTCGAAGACAGGCCGGGCGCTCGATGGCAGCGGCGTGCTCTTCGACCGAACAGTGGGTTCGCACCGAAATCGAGCTGCTGGTTGCCGAGTCAAGCCAGGACACTTGTTTTCCTCGCCTCTCGTTCCGTCGAAGGGTGCGCGCGGAGGACGGAGAGGCAGGTCTCTTGGCAGGTTCTCGAGGTGCGAGACTGGGACGAGAGTCTTGTAACCGGAGGGTGGAGACACTCGGGATGTGCGAGATCGTCGCTATACTCGCTTGCTGGCTCGACAGCGGAGTGTAGGTTTGCGAGATTGCTTGATGGACTGGCCTTTCCGACGCTGTCGGGTCGCGGTATCGAAGGTGCTGCTGGTTGAATTGGCTAATGCTGGTGGCCGGTAGCAGGGACTGTCTGGCCCTGGTTCGACTCGTCGATCTCTCTGTTGGTGTCTCGAACCGATTGGGTATTGCATGGGAGGAGTTGTACTGTTCCAGACTCCAAACACTATCATCTGCTTCGAGAGGAGAGAGAGTCCAGACCGAGGAGACGAAACTGCTTGAAGGACCGCCCTTACGCAGGATGCCGGATCCCACAGTTTCAACAGGCGGAATGGGAGATTTTCGCAGTCTGCGCAGGAAGACGTCTTTAAGACTCTGTTTCAACGTCTTTCGAGGCGTGTTGCCTGCTCGTCGGGGCTTGGCAGCCATTCTAAGGACTCCGACTGAGAACAGCGCAAACTTGAAAGGTACTTGTAGTATCGACTGAGATCAACTTCGAGTTCACCAGCTTTGAAGATGGAACTGAGGCGAGTGCAGGAATGGATACTTCTAGACTCAAAAGATGGCAGCCGCTGATCCGCATGCCTTTGAAAATGCAAGCAAGCGCGCAGATTGATGTGTTCAAGACATGAAAGACAAAGAACCACCCGGAACGCCTAACAGACCTGTTGTTGCGCACGCATACAAATGCACAATGTATCAGAACACATGTCCTACATGATGACAAGGAAAAAGAACAATATAGAGTTGATGGGTACTGGTAGAAGTTGTTCACACGACAATCAACAATGCAAGAGTGAAAAAAGAAATCCACAGCCGGAGGGTTTTGATGCAGGGGCTCAGGGCGAATCACCGGGGAAGACAATTGACATCTGCATCGGGGAATTGGTACTGGAGCTACCGTTTCAGCCTGGAGAATGGCTGGATTTGGCCATAAGCGAGGCAGAGACGACCCAAGATCACCTACATATCCTTGTAAGCCACCCAGAAGGGTGTTATGCTTGTAGAGGGAACGAACGGATAAAGCAACAAGTTGGTTGTATGCGTGAATCGGCTTCGGATGCCGTGTCATATATCGTTTATTGTAAGCCGTTCCTAAGCCAATCAGTTGAGACTACACAGCAAGTCAACCAGCCTCCATCCCAGAGTTACTCTCACTGTACACTGGCATATGAGTACAGAATTGCGGGCAGATACATGCACTTCTATCCAAGTCTACACCCAACCGGTCGCCATACTAGTAGTTCATGTTGTTCAAGTTCAACCCCAAAAGGCACCACGCTGTAGGCCTCGAGGGCAGCAGGATATCGTGAGTGAGCCAAGTCTAAAGCAGCGCCTGTACCGGAACAACGTTGTGCCGTCCCGGCAACACCCTGACTGAGCATTGTAGCCAATCAGCAGCTTCTATCTCTGGCCGGTTTCCGTCCCAATTCATTCCGACATTTGGAGCTTTTCACTGTGCCCCAGCACTGAACAACACCACCTGAACTCCCAAGTCCAGCAGCACATCGACGACCACATTGCCTGGTCCCAGCAGCCTCGTCCGACCCGTCATTCCCTCTGCTGCTCTCACGCGCTCTCCCAGGAGCTTCACCAGCCATGTCGGCCTCGCCTGCATCCCGTGCCATTCTGCGGCAGTCCAAGCTGCTCCTGCGCCGAAACAATTTTAGACAAGCTTCCACCACCTCAGAGGCCGCTTCCAAGGCGCAAGAAACGGGCAAGCAGGCTGTTTCCAAGGCTTCGGAAGGCCTCTCCCGTGTTCAGAGCTCGGCCGGCTCCGCGATCTCGAAAGTCGGCTCCTCCGCATACAGTGCATTGAGTAAAGTTGGTGGCCGGACAGGAAGAGTCATCTCCTTTGTTGAATGTATGCGCTCGCCAATGTGCACGAGAATTAAGTGATTGTTAAAACTGACACCGTTGCAGCGTTAATACCTCCCACGGTCTACTACTCGCGTGTGGGCCTGGAGCTCGCTCGGATCGTCTTCAAGGGTCAACAGATGGCACCTCCGTAAGTGTTGTTCCACTACTCAAACAACTTCAATCTAACATCGGTGCCAGCACTGTCGCACAATTCCAATCTTACTTCCAGCCGCTTATCAATGTGTTCCGAAACCCTCGATCTATTTCCTCTGTTGCCAGTTCCGTGAGCAACTCCGTCAACCCGGAAGCGGTCCTCAGCAGCATCCGTAATGTCAATTCCAGACAACTAGCCAATGCCGGCATTATCTTTGCTCAAGTTCTCGGTTTCTTTACTGTTGGAGAGATGATTGGAAGGTGGAAGATTGTGGGATACCATGGTGAAGTTCACCACGAGCATTAGACGACAAGAAAGGACATGCCAGCCCCTGTGCTGGACCGCCTTGTAATCTTAGGAGCTTTCTTATGGAAAAGGAACGCAAATACAGAACCTCAAGTTGACAACGCCTTTGACTCTATGGGAAGCCGCCGGGGGGACCTTGGTTGACAGACCACGTGCCAAGTTCTAACCTGACTGAAATGAAAAACTGAACCTTTGCGTTAACCGCTGACCAAACTGTTTGTTTCTGGAGTGCTTTATTTCTGGCAGTCTCTCTGCCCTCCAAACCCTGACTTGCTAACAGATACTACCCAGGAGGTCTGGGTGAGATACCGAGAGAAGAGCGCAATCGCACTGAGCCCGCTATCGCGCATATTGGTGAAGTTGGCAAGACAGGGATTGTATTGGATCACCAGCGCGCATCGATTGCGCCAGACTGGCAAGTCACTTTCACGGCCAGTGCCGAAGAGATCATGCATTCAAGATCCCATGCTCTGGTCTGAAATATCTCTTTTCGCAGTTTCTCGATGCTGGTCACGTTCTTTCTTCCTTTATCCCTCTATTCCCATTTCGAGAACAGTTCAATTTCGATGTAATCTTCTGAATGAGCTTCCATCCGATCACAACAGGCTTAACCTACGTTTACAGACTGGGCAAACGGGCCAGTCTCGCCGTAGAAATCATATTAATCATGGGTTACCGCGTCACATTCTCCGTGGTTTATCTGCTAACCAGCTTGGTCTCACGCAGTCGTACGTGCCTGTACACGCAGCATCAACACAGCTAGCCAGGCTACCAAAGTGAATACCCTTTTTCACGATACCGGGCCCATAGTGGGCATACTTTGCGGAATTCGTCATCAAGTTCCGGGCGTGGACTGGAATCACCGGCTCCTGAATCATGCACCAGCAAGTGTCGGTGATGAAAGTGGCTCCAAAGGTTTCCAGTATGTCCAAATACCCTGCAGCGAGCGCATCCTGATACACAGATCTGCTTGTGGTGATGGTCATCTGGGTACCAGGATGCTTCTTCCGATTCTGAACCAAGCTGCAAAGGCTGGCGAATTCTTCGAGCGAGAAATGGGGATTTCCAAGTGATACGAGGTCAACTGAGGAATCGGACGCAGTGTTCAATTCCTTCCAACACAAGGCCAGCTCTTCCAAATCGACGGTAATCTGTGGTAAGTTTTGTTCATGTTCGTACCTTGCAGCTTCTGCAGCCTCGGGCGTCACACCTTTGATATGAAACATGGGCGCTGAAGAAGTTGTTGCGAACGCAGCACTGAATGCCTTCAAGTCGGCGAGAGAAGGATTGCTCTCCTCCAGGCCACCGATGATGGGGATCTCAGGCCCGACGATCTGTCCAATATGATAGCCCAGAAGAGGAAAAAGTGAGTCGTCTACACCTTTCAGTATCGGTACTTGAATCCGGGTTCTTGGTCTTCTGCCCTCCTCCACATGACAACCGGAGTAAGGAGCACGGCCGGTCAGGGCGATAAAAACATCAAAGTAATCTGCATACTTTTGCGTTCGAGCACCAAGGACACTGTTGGCAAACACCACGGCGTTGGACTCTGCCCACCCTATCTGTTCGCCTGCCAGCGGAGCACTGTCAAGTAGATACGGAGCACAGGTGAAACTTGGCTTTGCGCCCATCGCAGTGTAGCCGTCGCCGAGTCGAGAAGCGGCTGTGGATAGCTCGGGATCGGTTCCTAACTCACGCCATCGCCGCTTGTCCACCGACAAGGAGTTTAATGTCGCTGGGACGACGCAGCGGGCGCCAAGTGACAGGAGCCGTTCAACGAAGAGAGTGCTGCTTTTTCCCATGTATACACATGCGTCGATGTGGACTTGTGACACGTCCACTAGTGACTCTGCTCCCTGCATCGTTGCGAACCAGACGATGATTTCCATGGCGATTTTGCACGCAGCCCCATGTTGCCCGTTTAGCATCGCAAAGTCTTTCTCGGTCAAAGCCATCTTACTGGCGTCTGCACTTTTTGGGAGAAGTCGGAACACCGTATTGGCGCCAATGAGCAGTTCTTGATCTGAGATTCGTGCATGGTCTGCGGTTCGTAGGTGGGAGAAATTCGAATGATCCTCAATGACAAGGACAGGAACCGATTTGTCGAACATGAGGCTGGCAACCATTATGCCGAGAATGAGAATTGGATCGGCTTTTTGGAAGATGAAGGCCGCTGGGCCTCGGCCATTCAGCAATAACTCCAAGACAATGCCGCTGCCTGAACAAGAGCCCCGTCCATAGGGGAGTGCGAGTATAGATTGATTCAACGAAGTACCGCAGAGAGGATGGTGGGTATCGATGACTTTCCCCGAGTCAGGATCCACGCCCATCATAAAGCTCAAAGGAATATCCGAGTATATGAGCTTCCCCTCCGCCTTGCCAGGCACGAGGATTTGGACATTGCTGTCATTTGGCTGGACTGTTGCTGCCATATCGCTTGCGTTCGAGGATATCACTGTCGATGTGCCAGTGGGCAGTGATGGTAATCGAGTTGTTAACGGCGGATAACCTTAGGCCATTGGCAAAGCCTTTATTACGAGATTAGAGATAATCCTCACATTGTTCCTGTTTGCGACTCAGGCTCTGGACATATCTCTAGTGCCGAGGGTATATATCCGAAAGATATATTTCAACTAGTGATAGTTCTCTCAAAAGGGAAATCTCTCGGAATAAAAGACTTGTTTCTGCTAAAACCCCGGAATGTAGATAAACCATCCCCGCGTTACCTTCTGCGTGCCGACAGGTTTTTCAATTGCATGCGTGACCTCGACGTTATGGAGGAGGACCACTGCCACTGTCGACTTTCGCCAGAATTGGACGTCGCCCAACCTGGACAGTTGCACTTCAGGCCAAAGATACCTACCTAAGAATTTCTGTCGAAAAAGTTGTGGATCACGAACTTCAAGGCTAGGGGCCCGAGGACCATAACTACTAATTCCGCATCCCCCAGGTAGTCCGCTTGTGCGAGGCTATCTTCACTCAGCAAGCTCACCAAAAGCAATTACCCAACACGTCGATGCCTCTCGAGACTTTGCGCAAGATGGGTTCCTTGGGTGGGACGTAGCATGCCCGCTGAGGCTCTGGCCGAAGATCATGATACAGATTCATTGAATACGATTGGCTCACCCCAAATCCTTAGTCACGGATGATTGACTTATCGTGGCCCATGGGGTGAAGAAGTGAAGCCTTGGAGGAGATGGCCGATAAGTTACAAGGACGTGGCTCGTCCACCAATCACCAGGAGGGAACGGCCAGATAAGATGCCCTTCACTCATCAGCCTTCCTTTTCCTTCAAGTTTATCGAAACTGCTTGTCATTTCCTGGTGTTACAATTCCTTGAGATCATTTGTTTGCTTGCCTCACCCCCCTGGCAGAGGAACTCATCTAACAGGCCCGGATTGCCTATGAGCGTCCGGAGTTCTTATCAGTACCGCCAGTAAGCTACCGTGTTATGTCTGCCAGTTGCGGCTGGCAACACACGGCTTGGAGCCTCATGCCACGCAAATGTCAATGTTGATTGACCAAGCCCTGCACGATCAACCTTGTCAATGTCGCCGGGGTTTAGTATGGGTACTCACCGGGCGATTGACCAAGATCCTACTGGTGTTGAAGACCCGTTATCGGCAGGATTAGGACGGATGGCTGCAACACTCCCTCTTGGTCTGTTTGCGGGCCTAGCGAGTATCCCGCGAGCACATCACCCATCGGCAGACTAACTCGGTACCACAGAGATGTCGTCTTTCATGTTGTGGTGGAGTCACATAGCACAAGGCAAGGTCATTCAGCATATATACCAGACGAGAAATCCCAATGACTCTCTTTCTCCTTACGACGTTGCGTTACCGCGGTGTTGATCTTTGCCCAAGCTCGTCCTGACCAACGGGAATTCGCGTCCTGCCTTGGGTACTATATTATCCACAATGCCTGATACCGCCGGGACTGCCTATGTGCCCCTTTCACAGGGGTTTGGATATGGCATCATCCTAGGCCTGGGGTTTGCATTTGCACTGGGGATGATAGCAACTACCTGGGCGCTGAAACGATATCATGGCGAGGTATGGACATGCACTGTTTTTTGGGCTTTGTAAACATGGCATCTGACCCGACTCCGTTCAGGTACAAACGTCCGAAGCTTTCTCGACGGCCGGAAGGACAGTCAAATCAGGTCTCGTGGCGTCTGCAGTCGTGTCCAGCTGGACATGGGCTGCCACCTTGCTTCAGTCCTCGGGTGTGGCCTACTCGTATGGCGTGTCCGGTCCTTTCTGGTATGCTTCGGGAGCAACGGTTCAGATCTTGCTCTTTGCGACGTTGGCCATCGAGTAAGTTCATGTTCATGTCCTTCCTCACGACATTTTGGCCCCTCATAACTTTGCTTCATGTGCGTCGAAAACGAAATGGTGTCTGATGAGAGTGTACTAGATTGAAGAGACGGGCACCGAACGCCCATACATTCCTGGAAGTCATCAAGGCCAGATATGGCGTTGTGACGCATATTGTGTTTCTGATCTTCGGTCTGATGACCAACATCCTAGTGACGGCCATGCTGTTGACCGGCGGAAGCGCAGTGGCCAGTTCCCTCTGTGGAGTCCCCACGGCCGCGGCTTGCTTTTTGCTTCCCATCGGCGTGGTTTTGTACACCATGTTCGGTGGGATCAAGGCGACCTTTTTGACAGACTATGTCCATACGGTGATCATTCTGGTCATCATCTTCGTCTTCGCCTTCAGCGCATATGCTACCAACGACATTGTCGGGTCTCCGGGCAAAGTATGGGAACTGCTTGTCGAGGCCTCGAAACGACACCCGGTCAAGGGGAACGAGGAAGGCAGCTATTTGACCATGCGAAGCCGCGAAGGAGCCATCTTCTTCGTCATCAACATTGTGGGCAATTTCGGAACCGTTTTCTTGGACAATGGTATGGACTTCTCCTTTCTGTCCCCCGTATCCTTGAAAGATACCTTTCAACAATATCCCGTTTTGGTTCGGCTGCTAACATCATATCTTTTCTACCTCTACCCAGGCTACTACAACAAAGCCATTGCGGCGTCTCCAGTCCACGCATTGCCCGGCTACGTCATGGGCGGTCTATCATGGTTTGCCATCCCATGGCTTTGCGCTACGACCATGGGCCTCGCGGCTCTAGCACTAGAGAACAACCCGGTCTTCCCAACATATCCTGACCGCATGGCACACTCGGACGTCAGCGCAGGCCTGGTGCTTCCATACGCGGCGGTAGCACTTCTAGGCAAAGGCGGCGCCGGAGCCACTTTGTTGCTTATCTTCATGGCAGTGACCTCAGCGTCGTCCGCGGAGTTGATTGCAGTATCGTCAATCTGGACATACGACATCTACCAAACGTACATCCATCCGACGGCGTCCGGCCCGCTTCTGATCCGCATGTCGCATATAGCATGTGTGGTATACGCAATTGTGCTGGCGAGCTTCTCCACGGGCTTGTTTTACGCCGGCATCAGCATGGGCTATTTGTACTTGATGATGGGATGTATCATTGGCTCGGCCGTGATCCCCGCGACATTGGCGTTGATGTGGAAGCACCAGAACTGGCAGGCGGCCGCGGGCGCCCCTGTGCTGGGCCTGGTGTGTGCATTGATCGCCTGGCTCGTCACAGCTAAAAAGGAATGCGGCGTCCTCAACGTCGACTGCACGGGCTCTAACAATCCCATGCTGGCGGGCAATGTGACGGCGCTGCTGAGTCCGCTTGTTTTTGTTCCTGTTTTGACTTTTGTTTTTGGCCGCCAGAACTACGATTGGGTCTCGATGAAGCAGATCCGCAAGGGCGATGATACCGAGATCATTCGTCGAGCCAGCGTTGAAATCGATGCCGAACTCGTTGTCCCGGCGCAGATGACCGGGGAGCTGGATGCTGCCGCGGAACGGGATCAGGCCAAATTGAACAAGGCGGCCGTCATCTCGCGCACCTTGACTGCCTTTATGACTGTTGCCATGCTCGTCCTCTGGCCTATGCCCATGTACGGATCGGGGTATATCTTTTCCAAGAAGTTCTTTACAGGTATGTACAGACTACAGTGTTTCTTTCTTGCTGTCTCTTCCAAACCCGAGCGACGGGTAAATGAACTGAATGGGTCAAGTTCATTCAGACTGACTTTTTTTTTTTCGCTTCTTGCAGGCTGGGTCGTTGTCGGTATCCTATGGCTTTTCTGCAGCGCCTTCTGCGTCGGACTGTTCCCGCTATGGCAGGGCCGCAAGACTATCGCCCACACCGTCCGCTCCATGTGGCTGGATCTGTCGGGCAAGAAAAGGCCGGCGCTGCATGGACGTGCTACTGAAGTCGAGGATGAATCTCGGAGCTCACGGACGCCCGAGGAGAAGGTCGAGGTCAAAGAGTGATTGCAATCATGATTACAGTACCTGAGGCTTCTCCGCATAGAACATGTAGAAGCAACGGACACCAAGTGGACAGTGAGGAGCAGAATGGTAGTTTAGAGCTTGTGTCGCGAAGAGAATAGCGATCAACGTAATCATACAGATAGATACTCCATCATTGTCGTCCTTGTCAACCCACAACATAGGTACTGTACGGTACCTCATTCAGGGGTCTCTCCAGCACCTCGAGTCACTCAATCGTCTTCCCCAAGCAAACTATCATTATCCTCAGCTCCGACCATTGTTCAGCGTCACAGCCACAGTCATCGTTGAGCCAACGAGTGAACCTCTCTCACATACATTATCAACCATTGATCGATACAAAACGAGTATGTGGCAGTCCATGCCGAGTACTCCAGTCCTAAACTGTTAACATCATCAGTATACCTTACCTACCACTCACTCAACAGCAGGCTCGGCCGATGTGAATCAAGTGGTGTTGTTCCGAGTCCAGCTACCGTCGGTAGGAGTACTGGCAGTGGTATCACTTCTTCTCCTCAGGTTTATTCACCAACCCACTAAAAAACCCCCCCAGCCCACCCGGATTCTTCATTTCCTCCCAGCTCTGCCGGCGCTCCGCATGCGTTTCGCTGCTTCGATTCGCCAACAGGCCACTGAACATGCCACCCCCACCACCTTGTGAGGATGCGGATGACTATTGTACAGTATGTCAGCTTATCCAACTTACCCTCCCACGGAGCCTCCTTTCCAGGAAAGGTTATCAATCTTACCCGTCTTCTTCCCGCAATGGCCGCGGCGATCCCACCCCCAGAGGACGATGTTGATGACTTGGGCGGAGACGACGCCGCGGCGCCGGCGCCAGCCTTCTTATCACCCGACGAGCCCGACATTCGTCGAGGCTGAGCGGGCTCGTGGATCTCACGGGGAGCAGGGAACATGAATCGTCGATCACCGTCCCAGCGTGGAAGGACTTTGCCGCTGCCGCTGCCACTGCCGGAGTCGGCGGAAGCGTTTGTGGCGTCGGTGATGGTGTTGTTGGCATCGGCTGCTGCAGGAGCAGCAGGGGCAGCGGGGGTTGGAGCGGAGGCCGAAGAGGTGGCGGAGGTATCTTTCGGTTGGGAGCCAGAGTATCGACGACTGCCTTCGTGGACCTCTCTGCCGGCTGGGAACATGAAGCGGCGGTCTTGCCAGTTGCTGGACGACATGGTTGCGAAACACAAAAGTAGTGGTGATGTACTGGAGCGATGGGATACTAGTAGGTCGGGGGTAGAATAGGTGCGGTGCTGATTGGGACTCTGAGCTTGGGGTCTGATCAAATGCAACGCATGCAGATTGGGTTGGGTATGTGAAGGAGAACAGGTCAGATGTCTTGGGTATGGATGAGATAAGTGAGAGGAGAGATGAGCTCCTGCCACCTAGTAAGGAACATGGTTAGCCTACCTACCTAGGTATGTAAGGTATGGATGTACAGCACTGCATTGGTAATGCCTGTTACAAGGAGGGAGGACCCCGCGGCCCAAGTCACTTGCTGTGCATGTGCACTGGGCACAATGCAGCAATATGTCACCATCACCATATACTGCAGTGGCCGTGTTCGTATTGTGCGTGTCTCTGAGGTGAGAGAGCCTGTCAAGTCAGCGCAGTAAGGGTCCCTTTTGGAGGCGGGGTCCAGGTGGGGGAGCGACAGAATCCGGGGGTGGGCTGCGCTAGGGCTACGGGCTACTAGTACTTGTCTTCCGTGTCTCGCACCGCTACTACGAGTAGGACTAGTACCTACTTGGTAGGTAGTACAATGTACTAGTACTGGAGCTTGAAGCCGAGGACTGGAGCTGGCAATGTTCATCTGCCAGGAGGGGTTGCTGGTGGAGGAGACTCTTGAAGTATAGGACGGTTGCTATTTCGAGTGCTGGCATGTTCCGCAATGCAGTTTTTGTACTACCAGTCCCACAACCATACCTAACCACAACAACTTGAACTACGGCACACCACAGCAGCACTCAAGTCTTCCTTCTCCTGCTACTCACTCAGAACACAAGATCAGAGAAGTTCACCCTGGTGATATTCTCTCATTTTGACCGGCGATCTAGTCCGCTTTTCCAGCAACGGCAGCGGCAGTCGCGTCGATCCTCCGTTCTTCGGTGTGCATCATGGGGGCGAGAATGGCCTCTTCTTCAGCCTCGTGGATACGCTGTTCGTATTGTCAGCATGTGAGTAATCAGGTCAACCGAGTTGGAAATTAACAAGATCCAAAACTTATCGTGTCATGAGGCAACTGCGCCAGAGAAATGAAAGAAACGAAGAAAAACGACAGAAGACTAGACCCATGACCAAAAAATACCGAGAGGAAACAACAGGGAAGGGTTCTCACATCCATAGCTCTGCCGGCAGTCAACCAGCTCGCCACCAACATACTCCGCAAGACCCAACTCTGGCGGAAGACGGAACTGGTAAGATTCTCGGCCGACCAAGTGTCGAACCCTCGATGGGGGAAATTGGCATCGAGATGCAGCCGCAGCAGACGAGGGTACCGGTCCAGACTGCGGAGTGATTTGCGCACGGCGTCGCGGTAGAACCCGACAGCTCCGAGTATGAATCCACTGCACGATGCCACCATGAAGGGGATTGTCGCCGTGTCCCAGATTACGGCGCCAATCGAGGCTCCTGCCATGCCGACAAAGACCGAGGAGACTGTGCCGGAGAGAATGACGCGGAGCATGCTGTTGTTATGGACCAAGATATCCAGGTCAGCAAGAAAGGTGAAGAACAGGCGGAGTGAGGGATGATATCCAGCATTGACTATGTCCAGTATCGAAATGACTCCGTATATGGTCCGTGGTAGAGGACAGAGAAACGAAACGGGCTGAGCTCACGACATTGGAAGTTCTTCGACTTACAACAATCCGGGTCCACTGCGGTTGATATGACGGTTAGCATATGCTTCGACTACAGGCCACTTGAGAATCACTGATCAAGCACAGCTTGTACATCTTGAGCCTAGATGGCTTCGCCATATTGCTGCTTTCCATTTTCCATTTTTTGACATACATCCCGATATAGAACAAGATAATGTATAATCGTAGGGAGGAAGATGTAAGAACAGAGGAAAAAATGCTGACGACTAACCTGACGGTGCCCCATCCGCCTCCAACATGTAGAATTGACCTCCAGGCGTCTCCAATGGATTGCTGATGAATGAATTCGTTGCCGGGGCTCTGATGGAAGTTCATTATGGGAGATCCACAGAAGCCGCTGCCGGCTGAGGGACTGGGATACAGACAATCTATGAAGCCAGTACCAGTACGGGATGAGGTAGTACTCCTTCCGCCTAGCCAACTGTTGAAGATTATCGCTAACACAAAACACGGTGTTGGTGGAGAAGGCTACGCGTGGTATATTTTGCGTTGTGCTCCACCATAATTGTTAGCTACTGCGCATCTTTTGCTTATTGGCGCCGAACTGTCCTGGATCCCGGCATGAGTCCAAAGACCGAAGGAAGCTTCAGCTTATACATCTTGAAGTGGGCAGGCCGTCTGGAGACTGTCGTTGGAGCAGTCATCGACGAACGCGGCTGGCAGGCATGAACACTTTTTACGGGTTAGGAAACGTGGCTGCTCTCCTAAGCATATCTAGGTAGGTACTTCATGTCAGCATTGCCTCTGCTCCCTTGGTACCCAGGGACCCGATCAGGCTACAGGACCTGGATATCGGCGCCACCGGGGCGCGCATGGAGACATCGGCATTTCTCCGTTGTACATTACCACAGTACACCCACACGCCCTATACTACCGTCCTCCCTGGCTCACATTATGTGGCGCTTGCTGACGTATTTGCCGCACACTATGCGTCCCTATGCAGGCCAAACAGCATGATCCCATTTTTTGGCCCCTTTGACCAGGCTGTCAGCAAGGCCCGCTCCGGCTGACCAGGTAACAAATTTGGTGAAACCAACAGTAGACCAATAGCTGAACGACGTGCCCTTCGGAATAAATGCCAAATCTCCGAAAATCAGGGTCACAGCCTCATTGTTGATTTCCAGGTGGAGCTGACCCTCAGTCACTTGTAAGGCCTGATGGACATCGAAATGAACAGGTGAAGGCTGTGTACCAGGCTTCATGGCCACAGTCGCCACGGTAAGCTTGTTGTCGGTCTGTTTGCCTGATGCCAGCATTTGAACCACTTGACCACTGTTTCGCTGTAGGTACTTGGGACCTCGATTGCTGGAGACAAAATACGGAGTGTGTGCATCATCTGGCAAAGTTTGGTCCGTGACATGCCATGTGCTCAAGCCGTCATGAGTCGTTCCGTTGGTCCAATCCAGGTTAATGGTGTTGTGTAGTGCTGGAGTGATGCCGTATCTGGGGAAAAGTTCCAACACATTGGTAACGTTTAACTGCATCTTATCCTCAGGGTTGAAAGGCGCCGACGATCTGTAAGAATTGCCAATGGTATTGAACAAGCCCTCAACTCCGCCAGGAGCTAAGACGAGCGAAAGTTGGAAATCAAGCTCGTTAAACCGATAGGTATGATTGCTGCCTGCTGCCAGGAGTGCGAAGTCGTCCGCTCGAAGCTCACGTCCCTGGTTGGCATTGTGGAAGACCTGCACGCTGCCCTTCAGAGTGTAAAATGTTTCCACTTGCTTGTGCGAGTGGATTATACTGAGAGGAAGTGGACCGGCGTTGGCCCCCAGCACAGATAATGCACCGGCTGAAGTGGAATTGGAAACAAGAGTCCGAATGATCAAACCGCCGAAGTCGACAGCCTCGCCTTTCAGGTTGGGAAGCACGTAGGGACGAGGGGCGTCCGGAGCAACGTCCACAATCAAGGAGCCATATGCATGTGCTGGACCACCGAGGAAAGCGAGCAACAATGAAGCTAGTGAGCAGAAAAGAATGGCGGCCATGATGAAGGCGGCGAGTTGCCCTGTAGGAATGTCGTGGAGCAGGATACCTTTGAGCGAACGACTGTGGTAAGATTGTGCAGGAAGACTCAGCTATGCGGTTAGAGGAGAAGGCAGTCAAAAAGGAAGAAAGCCGCTGATGATATACTGGTTAGAAAGGGACGAGGAGGCGCAGGCAGAAGTGTCCCTCAGCATCTCGGCTATTCGCCGGAATCAGCCGAAGACATGCAAGTGTTCGAGAAGCAAGTGAAGGTTGACAATGGGGACAAATATAGTCTCACTCAGAACCCACCAGTCAGTCTCCCATCGCTGCAGAAGTTGGTGATATCAGCTTATTGGTGTTGTTTAGTTTGTCCGTAGTCAACAAGGCCATAGTGGGGTTCAGCCTCGTCGCGTTCATGTAGACCATCCACCTGTTGGACCTTTGTCCACACCCACCTTGTTTGCCTAATGGGGGACTTACTTGCCATTCAACTCACGCAATCGATCAACCAATTGCTCCCCCGTTGGCCCAAAGCTTACCCAAAGCAGCCGTCCCGCTGGCCTCCAGAAAGACCTGGAGCAGCAACAGAGCACTTCTGTCTTCACTCCGGCCGGCTAGGATTACATCGGCTCCATTTGCAGCCGAGTTCAGAACCACTGCTTTGAAGACTGTAAACGCCGACTTTGTAGGGCGTTGTATGATGACTGCTAGCCTCCGTACGTGGTTGAGGTACAAGTCAATGAAGCTTCAGACGTGGTGCAGCGTGGAAGTGTACTAGTAGGACAGTTCACGTTGTAGACACGAAACTTGAAGGGGTTTGAATACTCCTGGCGGCTTGGGAAGGCCCGAGGCGGCCCAGGCGCAGGGGCTGACTAACCATGGCTGAAGGTTGTGGCTTGAAACTGTGGCTAGTTCGCGGCGACGCAGGTTCCCCGGAAATTCAACTTTCGAGCGACAGGCAGAACGCAGAAGTGTCCATAACTCCAGGTTCCTTTTATACAACCCGTCGCACTCACACATTCAGTTGAACGTACACCGGTCCAAGTTCTACGCGATATAGCAAACGACCAAGGGCTCATTGTATTGTACCATTAGCTTGCGGTGTCCATCTCAAGCTGCGCTTCTAGCACCAACCCAGACCATCCTATTTCTCCCCCTATTCAAAATCACCTACCAACCTTCAGTCATGGTAAGAGATCTCATCCCCGCCTTGCGAGGGATACAATCTCTCTATGCCCTTTTAGCGATTCTTCTTGGCCATTCTGCGCCCATTGAAATGTTCGAGCATTCTGACCAACCCGCTGCAGGCCTCAGCTAGACCTGCATCTCCTCTCACCTCCGGTCCGGAATCTGGACCTGACTCTACACCTTCTGCGCAAAAGGCCACTGGTTCTTCTTCTATCGCGCGCGCTGGATCGCCTCCTGGAGGTCCCCGATCTGCTATCAGACGCCGCGCAGCCGCCGACCATAAAGAATCCCTCAAAAATGCTCGTCCCGCTTCGACGCGTTCGGCCGGTGCGGGTGGCTCTTCTGGGACAATGTTGAGACTGTACACGGATGAGAGCCCGGGTCTCAAGGTGGATCCTATGGTTGTTCTGTTCCTGAGCTTGGGTTTTATTTTCAGCGTTGTTGCTCTACACCGTGAGTTACAACTCTACCGAGAAAGATTGGAGTGTTTCAAGCTAACATGGGCCGGCAGTCATTGCGAAGATCACGAAAAGATTCTCATAAATTTTTGGTTTGCGACTCTTGGGTGTTCGTGGAAAGGAAGAGATCATGTGCTGGAAGCGTACAACACCAGGATACAGGATACAGTCGTACAGTCCGAAGCATGCCTCATGACAAGTTGGTTGACGTTACATGTCGCCTTCCGCAGGCGTCCAGGGGGTTTCTGGGCTGATAAGAGTCATAAGATTCTCAATAAGGTCCTTGCAAAGGCATGTGCTGCTCTTTGCTGCTCAGCATGCCTTTACCCGTGCGAATTGTGCGGAAAGTTGTCAGGTGGACTTGTGCGCCCAGAGCATGTGGTGCCGGCGAAAGCTCCATTATAGGCACAACTTGAAGAACTCGTTAAGGAAGGAACCAGCGTATGAGCATGAATCTCTGTATAACGTGAAGATATGAACCATGTAATTCGTACGTGACGATCTTCGGTCATGTCGCGTGGCCAGCCCTGTGGCCCCATGTTTCCACATAATGCAGTGGGAGTAGTTGTAGTGGTGGTGGTGTGCATCGCCGCATTTCCAGCCCTTGAACTTCAACCGATCTACCTAGGTACTCACTCACTGAACGACAAGTAACATCCTCTCCGGCGGCTTCTCTCATATCCTTTGAACCCGCGAACGCTCACAATCCGAGTCATAGGACAAACTTTTGGTGCCCGTCATGGCGGACCAAGACCAAGAAGCGGACAATGCCCCTCTTAACAACCCGCCCAAGGATGACGAGCAGCAGCAGCAGAAGAACGAGGAGGAACAGAAAGTTGAACCTGTACAAGCTCAAATAGAAATACACGCCCACACCCACATAGAGGTGTCTGCACCTGTGGCGACAGGGGGAAGCCACTCTACACCGCTGGTGAACAGCAGCGGCTGGGACGGCAAACTACGCATGCCACCACGCAACGCTGTTCTGACGAACCCGGAAGCACTCTCAGACCCAGAATACTCGGACCCAGAGGCGCCTCCAGTCGAGCAGATCGAGGCGGACGAAGACTTACTAGACGACTATCCCCTGGACACCGAGGACGTCGACCTGGTGCACTGCCGGATCTCCTCGCTTCCGGCCCTCAGACTCGAGCGATTCACCAAAGTCAAGAGATTGTGTTTACGACAGAATGCCATCCAATCCATATCGTTGCCGGCCGAACTGGGCGAGACTCTACAAGAGCTGGACTTGTACGACAACTTGATCTCGCACATCAAGGGATTGGAGGACATGAAGAATCTGACCAGCTTGGACCTGAGCTTCAACAAGATCAAACACATCAAGAACGTCAACCACCTGCAAAAACTGAAGGAACTGTACTTTGTGCAGAACCGCATTTCCAAGATCGAGAACCTGGAAAACCTCGACAACTTGACCATGATCGAACTCGGGGCCAACCGGATCCGCGAAATCGAGAACTTAGAGCCCCTGCACAATCTACGCGAGCTGTGGTTAGGCAAGAACAAAATCACAGAGATCAAGGGCCTGAACTCGCTGACCAACCTGCGGTTGCTGGACATCAAATCCAATCGACTGACCACCATTTCGGGCTTGGACACGTTGCCAAACCTCGAAGAGTTATATGTCTCTCACAACGGCATCACCGAGATATCCGCGACCGCACTCGCCAATAACCCGAAGCTGCGCGTCCTCGATATCTCAAATAACCAGATTTCGCACTTGGCAAACATCGGTCACCTTCAAGACCTCGAGGAGCTCTGGGCCAGCAGCAACAAACTCTCCGACTTCCGCGAGGTCGAGCGAGAATTGGCCGACAAGGAACATCTGGAGACGGTCTATTTCGAAATGAATCCTCTCCAGTTGACTGCCCCCGCGGTTTACAGGAATAAGATCCGCCTGGCCTTGCCGCAGGTCAAACAGATCGATGCCAGTAAGTCTTTTGCTTTGCCCCTTTTTGGTGTTCCCTGGTGTTTGTGCTTTTTATCCACAGAAACGTAGTACCGTTACTGACTTCTCATTTCCATTCCAGCCTACGTTAGGGTCTAAACTTTGACGGAACCCACCCTATCGAAACAAGAAATGCCCGCCACCCGGAATGACTTACACCAGTTTGGTCCTCCTCCTGTTTGCTGAGGTGTTAGACGGATGAATATGCACCCTTCACAGACACCTTCAAGTCATCAATTCTAATGGGCACAGCACTACTTGACGACCTGCTGCATACCTAGGACCGCCTTGAAAGCCAACCCCCAACATCTCACATCACTCCGGGCTTTTCATTTGTCGTTATCTGCCATGCAGAGCAGACCAGACTAGACCAGGGCAGAGCAGAACAACGAACAAGGACACGCTTGTTATGAAGGAGTGTCGAACGCCGCACGGTGAATTGCCACCAGGATCTTGAGCGGAGCGTCACGGGTCATGGCTGGAGGACAGCTGCATAGCAGAAACAGAGACACACCCCCCTCTTCTCTACTTGCTGGCGCGGCAATTTGGGCCTGTCTAATATCTGCGGGCGTGCAAAGTCAAAACGACATACCGCATCAGGTTACCAAAAAAAGGGGGTTGGCGAGCAGCTTGCACAGCCGCGTCAGGCTGTAAGCCTACACCTCCTGGGGGCAGGATATGGCAGGGCAGGGAAGACGGCGAATGGATTTGACAGAAGCCGAGTTCGTAGTAGGGCGAGACACAGAAACCAACTCTGGTGTGAGTTCTGCTGAGATTGAACTCAAGTACCGCGCGAGTTATGCACTTGATCTCTAAGGGGCCGGGATCAATGTACCGTGCTATGGACTCGGGGCGAAGACATTGTACTTGGGAAAAGTGACCTAGACCCCATGAACTCGGAGCCACAGAACCTGACGAGATCTTCATCATGCTTTGACACCGAACATCGAGCTTTTGTTTCAAGTTTATTTCCATTTTAATAAACACAATGCATGCAAGTGTGTCGACAAACCATCCAATTTGAAACCCAGTGATAGCCTTTTCCATCGTACCCAGCTTCCAGCTTTCATAACACCCACAACGCCGTAATCACTCCAGCCCATTCTCTTGCTGTTGCGCTTCGCATCTTGATTATGGAATGCCTCATAGCCACAGGCGAACTGTGTCAGTTGCATTTTCTGCCGTAGAGCTTCCCGTGCGGACGAGCAGCTTGGTCGAGCAGCACCCGAGAGCATTCCATATGTGCCATGCTTTTCCAGCCATGGCACTTCCAGGCGGAGGAAAACAACCACGAATAGTACAACCCATAACCGCAGCTTGTCCATCCTCACAGAACCTGGACAGTAGCAAAAATCGCAGTGATATGAGCTAGGATTGATCGAGAAGATCCCGACGGCGCATGGCAACCCATAACGCCTCAATCACAATCAAGCGGGTGGAAGATATTTACTGTGCGCTATGCTGATAGATACCGGCAACAATGCAGTGGTCACGCTCAAAGGGTTCTGTTAGACAAGAATCGGTTAGCAAAGCTTCATCAACCTCCGAGAGCGCACACATGTAGGGAAGGCGAAAGTCAGAAAACTTACCCAGAGTCAGTTGTTCCTTGGGCTTAATCCGCTCTTCCCGCATCTTCTTGACTTCATTGGCGAATACAACCTCGGGCTTGGCAGTCGAATCGATACAGTTGGCCTTGATCGAGACCAAAACTCCACCGCCGACCTTCAGGAACAAGTGGGCATTGAGACCGACAATACGTGCTTGATCCGGTTGGGCGACGTCGGCGAAAATGACGTCCACCATGCCGACCAACATGCGGTAACGAAGAGGATGTCTGGCATCTTCAATGATCGGGATGACGTTCGTACGGTGCGTGGCCATGGTGATCAAATCACGGCCTGATCGGTGCGAGAATTCGACGGCGTAGACACGTCCAGTAGGCCCAACGATATCAGCAACATGGGACACGGATGTTCCCGATGCAGCACCCAAGTACAGCACACTGGCGCCAGGTCGAATGAAGATATCATCCAGACCTCCCAAAATACCAGCTGCCAACTTGGAACGGAAAGGGTTCCACACTCTGTATTCGGTCTTGGTAGCTGGCGCGGAGCTGTCGCCATCCACGGCCGGGGTCTCGGGGGAGTCAACACTGATGCGCTTTTCGCCATAGACCGACTCGCCGGGAGTCAAGTTCTTGGTGACCAAGAGATCTTCCTTGCCGCCACGGGCAACAAAGACGCCAGGATGTCGGTGAGGTTCCTGTTCGGACCCTTGGTCAGCTCATGCTCTGCGCACAATGTGGTAAGAGGGAAGGACATACGATTATGACTTTGGCTCCTCCCTTAACACCAGGCTTGCCGCCTCTGGCACCACCGCGTCCGCCACGACCGCCGCCACCTCTTCCTCCGCGAGGAGCACCACGGCCACCGCCTCGGCCACCTCGATCACCGAAACCACCTTTGCACGAAGTGAACGATTAGCTGCCATCTTCTTGACGATGCTTTATTTCTGCTTGTTCCGGGCAAGCCTTACCTCTGCCACCGCCTCGGCCACCACCTCTTGCGCCTCCTCTGGAAGGTCCTCCTCGTCCACCGCCACCACGACCACGCGGGGGTCCGCCGAATGCCATCTTTATTCGATTTTAGATTTTCGTATTTTTAGGTTTCAAGAATGCGCCGTAGGCAGCGTGGGCGTATGGGAGTAATCAGAGTCCGCAAATCTCGAAATATGAGATACTAGCGGTAGGTCTCTGAGATCGCAGCAAAGTCTGTTTGCCGCGGAGTTTTGAATGATGGTGCTCGTGGTATAGTCCAGAGTACTTTTTTCTGGCGCAGCAGAATGCGAATCGAAATTTGGAGCTGCGATGGAGAAAATATGGCACTAGTGTCGAATGTGGTAAGTGCAGTGCATCCTGCCAAGTCCGATCATGATTGGCCGCTTCAACGTCCGCTGAAAAAGATTGGGGCAGCAACCTGTGCAATTGTTTCTACTTGCCTGCTACATGACCAGGAGAGCCATTGTGATATTGTGCACTTGTGGTGGTGGTACTCCTATACCTCATTATTGACTAGCTACTGGACTTGTAATATCGCCTCCTCCATGCCAAATGCTGTATGACGTTGGCCGTGTCGCCCCTCTCAGCTCAAGGTGTGTCTTCCGTCTCCCAATGCACATCGGAGATGCCAGTGATTCAGAACTCAGAGTCCAACCCGAACCATATCGGGGTACCAGCCATTTCAGAGGGCGTTCTTCTTGCTGGGAAAAATTCTATCTCAAGGCACTTCAATCTCATCCCAGATCTCACCCTGTAACTGCATCTCCTTCCAATACTCCTTATCATAAGGATCACCTTTCCCTCCATCGTCAGATTCGTCATCACCGCTGTCAGGTTTGATCTCACCCTTTCTCACGTATGGGACGATATCCTCTGGATAGACAACTCTCTTTCCTGACATTCCACCACGTTTTGCGATCGCGTCAATCAGCTTTTCATCCGTCCAGCTACCCCGTCCACAAACCTCCTCGATCGCGCGACTGAGTCCAAGGTAAGTGGTGAGGAAATCCGGAGGTAGAACGCGTAGAGAGTGCGGGTCGTCAAAGGGGAGATCCAGCCGGCGAATATCCCTCCGATTGATGATCTTGAAGGGCATCCGAAACAGCCCAGCGGCAAGGTTATCCTCAAAATCGCTCGTCACGCTGTCCTCGGGAAAAGCCATGAGGGTTACCTTATCGTCGCGAGGATCGACTGCGCCGCTCATCAGGTCATTTTGTCCTGGCAGATATTCGTCGATGAGAACGGCTGGCAAGTCAGGCTCGATCGGAAATTTTGGCTGATTTCTTCGCCACAGATCTTGACCCAAGTCCCAAGGTGAGGTGCGTTCCGGGCTAAGTGGTATGTATTCCACATCAGGTGGGGCGCGGTATGATTTCTTCGATGTGTGTCGCTTGTCATCCTCACTCTCAAACAGATAATCGATGTCGGCGCTCTTTGTTTCCGGGCTTTTGGCAACATCAACATCTTCCGTCGCTTCTTTTTCGCCATGCCATATGACAGTTTGACGCTCGGTTGACGTGCTGCTGCTGGTTTCCCATGAATTGGGATAGATGTGCTCCCACTGGATCATCTCTGTTGCGCGAAAAGGAGTGCGAGGTCGGGGAATGTCGATAGGTGCGCTGCCAGTGTCCAGAAGCTCTGGATCGATCACCGAAGCCCATGTCGTCGCATCATCTTCGTGCGTGGCGCTCTTGGGTTCTGCCACGCTGGTTGTCATCCTGCTCTTTCAAGCAAGGCGCGAGTGTGAGTGTATTGGTTAAAGAAAGTGTTCTGATCCTCGAAGTGTATCTGAGTTTGTATGCGTGTGGTGTGGTGGACACAGTTAGCGCGAGATGAAGGTAATGTGAGGTGAAGTGAACTGATAGTGACGCGCATGTCAACAACAGGTATACAGGCTGATGCCAGTTGAACAGGCGGCCTCCCAATACTCATCATCTACCTACAATTCTGGTCACATCTCTTCCATCCTCTGTCCCTTTGTCCTGAGAAGCAAGCGATATCAACGCTGAGAGTAAAGGGCACCATCTGGGTGGTCTATATGCACGCACCTTCTTGTTCTTGACTAACGCCTCAGAGGCATGATTGTAATAGATGCCATTGAGTCGTGCCACATGGACACCTCATGAGATCTTCCGCAATCTGACAGTGCCATCTTGTTGTCCTAACCTTGTGAACCAATATGTCTATGGCCCAAATGACCTAACCTCATAGCTATCCCTTGGTGGTATTATATCCTGGAAGAACAGGGATGTCTGTTTTGCATAACGCACTTGGTCCTACAGCAAGTAGACACATATGTACTATACGTTGGCATGGGGCTTGTGAATAACATTGTATAGTGAAGAGAGAGGCACCGACGAGCGAAACGAAACGGCCATTGTTCTCAGAGAATACCATCGAGCTAGGTAGGCTCTGCTTGTACAATTGCAACGAAGCCTAGATATGCGTGGTACTACCAGATCGTGTTGTAACCTTCGTACATAAGGTATGGGCACGAATAAGTATCAAGTCTAATCAAAGGGGAAAGGAATTCATCATACACCACAGTTAAAGTTGAAATGCTTCCAGTCGTTCAGTCAACACACTCTGCAAGTATTGACGTCATATCTTGGAGAAAGGGACCTCTGGTTTCCGTTTTGGAACATTTTCGAGGACCACCACTGCACGACACTGCACTGGAGCATGTGGGTTTCCCATAGTATTTCGACAAACCTCCGCTCTTATCGTCTCAACTACCACCGCGCTTAACGACGGACAAGGTGCAAGAAGCTGGATCAGTGGACAAAGAGTCGATTGGAATTGATGAAGGTCTATAACGGCATCCGCAGCCTTACACGCAACTTCAGCCTCCTCCAGGGCCTCAAGGCCCGAGTGCTCGAAACACCATTATTCGGCACGCCAGGAAAGACGCACCCGCTGCCGAAGGTCCCAAAAGAAGAGAAGATGACTCCTCCCTTGAACGGTAGGGGTTTTTTGCACAACCTTTTTCCCCCACTTGTTCTGCCCGCTACCAATCTGTCTCCCTCATGCTGCGCAGAATTCCACTGACCACTACTGACCGCAAAACAGTGTTCAGACAGCCTCTTGCCTTCTTCTCGAATCGACCTGTCACCGGGTTCCACCGAGACGGTTACTGCCGGACGGGCCCCGCGGATTTCGGCAACCATGCAGTAGCTGGCGTGGTGACAGATGAGTTTCTCGACTTCTCGGCTTCGCAGGGCAACGATCTTCGGGTCGTGGGATTACAGGGCGGCTGCAAATGGTGTCTCTGCACATCACGGTGGCTGGAAGCTGTGCAAGCGTATCGAGACGGCCGGATCAGCAGGAATGGTGTGCCAAAGGTGCATCTGGAGGCGACGGAGGACAGTGCGCTGCGAAGAGTCGATCTCGACACGCTTCGCGAATTTGCGGCACGACCAGAGCCAAACGGAGTGAATGGAGTGAACGGCGTCAACGGCGTAAATGGTCATTGAGAAAACTATCTGAGGACTAAAGCAAAAAAACATAACCGTGGGTACCAGTATCCAATTTTGCATTGCGCACCCAAACACGTTAGCAGTATCCCATAACTTTGGATTTTTGAGACCGTATACACATACCTTAAAAAAAGTCAAAGGATGCGCCGCCCTCCAGAGTAATCGGAATCGAATGGAAACCTTCCCGATTCCCTACACTGTAGGGAAAAGGGTGAGATCCCGCTGCGATTGCACTAAAGTTGAGGCGATGCCAACAATCTTCGCAATGGCTCTTCCATAGGGAAACCCCCGAGAAAAGAGACACAGGCGAGCCTGCATCTCGATCTCGAAGCCCTGTAGATTTCTGATGCCAATTGCAGGCACGGAATCGTGCCAGGCCCTCGCGGGCAGTCCAACTGTCTCCAGCCATATTCGGCCAAAGACAGCGGTATAGGGTGAAGATTACTCCGAATTTCTCATCTGCAAGGATAGAAGAACGCTCAACTGCGGGCCTACGCAGGGGCAGTTCGTTTGTAGCAGAGAACGCAGCGGATGGAGGGCGGCGCATGAAGAGAGAAAGGTCTTGGTGATTGTGTCAGAGAGCTGGAAATTTATATTCGGTCGCCTGTTATTCTGCCGCTTCTGACCGCTTTGGGAAATCACGAGGTCATGTGACCACTTTCTGCCCTCGAAGGCGCGCTGAAGGACCAGGCAGTAATGTCAACAATGAGCAAACGACCGGATATACTAGTATAACCTCAATAAAATAAAAGGTATAGTTGGAATCTCGGGCGGCCTAGAGTACGCCAGGTCTCCTTCTTATGAAGTACTAGGTGGGGTGTTCGTCTAGCACACAAGATGCCTGCGCGAGCGTAGCGGCAGGGAAGATTTAAAGAACCTTATAGGCAAAGCTATGGGGTACTCCGGCCATGGCGAGCTCAATGAGATGTTTCCATGACCGTAGGTACCTGTAAGCCCGCAAGGTCGATTGAAAGATGGTCAGGACAAAGAACCCATTGGGCGGAAGCCCGCTGGTGGAACACACTGAGGTACTGTCGCGGTGGACTGTGAGGAGCCTTTTCCTTGGGGCCCCAATAAAGAATCTCTGGAACAACCCCATGGTCCTTTGAAGCTCAAGTTGCAATGACACTCAGGCATCCAGCAGCGATTCAAGTCACACGCCAGAGCAATCCATAGCATTCTGCAGAGAATGGAGTGCCCGACCTCCCAGTTGTCACAAAAGAACGCTCGGCCATCATAACTGCACTTGTTAATGAAGGTGTTCGCTGCTGAAGCCATTGATTGGCCACCAACACCGGTGATGATTACGAGCCGGCAACCGACCCATACCATAGCACACAACATCAATCCACTCATGCAGAAGCAGCAAGCTCTTGAGCCGAGGCCACAGTTCCTGACTCGAGGACTGTCACTTCGGTATTTCGGGTCGAGCGCGCCGTGTGCGTACCAAGTGCCTCGATGTATTGAAGGCATGGATGGAAACCATATGAAGATGCCACGACACTGATGACAAGCGCAGGCTTCATGTGTCGAATGTTTAGAATAGAAGAAACAGGGTCTTGCCTAACCCCCTTGCGCCAGACGCCTTGCTCTTTGTAGCCTGTTCTCCATTTCTCCAATCACTTATAATGCGGTTGTTGTCCATACTGTTGCTGTGGATTTTGACCCGGAGGAGGGCCGCCCCATCCCGCAGGAGGTCCGGATTGCGGCGGAGGCATTACTGAACCCTGGCCTTGTTGAGAGAGTACATCCGGTCGATTCCTAAACGGAAATGAGTCAATTGTGAAACTTCGCATAGAAGAGACTGTGATATACCGTAGATCTTGACGGAAGCGGCAGATGGAGCAGTGAAGCTGTAACGAAGGTTAGATTGTCTCAGCGACGTACTGCGATGCGCGCGAAGTAACTGACGTCCTTGTGTTTGCTTCCCAGTGGCAGGACGGGAACGAAGCAGAAGGTGAACCAGTCCCAGGACGAGATCGGATGCGCCGACCAATTTCCACAATTGTGGCACTGCGCGGTAATACCCTCGTACCCTTTGAGCGGTTTTGTGAAATCTGGTGGAGAGTCAGTTTGCGCAGGTTGGTTGCGACAGGAGGTTCCTAGATCGGTCACTTACCGTGCGTGCCCACGACAAAGAAGAATGCCATGATGAATATGGATGTACCGGAGTAGTAGGTAGGATCTATGAGCGACAGAAGAGATGAGGGAGAAACTGTGGAGGATTCGCCGGGAACTTCGGGAGGTTGATATGGGAGTCTTGTAACGGCACCGTGGAGCGAGGCGAAGCAATGACGTGCAGTTGAAGCTGGAGACTCGGAGACCGAGACAGTTTGCAGTTCACAGCCACACTTCACTTGGCGACAAGAAACACTACAAGCACCTGACTAGGTACCTAGATACCCTCAGGCTACAGCTAGGTATGGTTGCATTCTTTGTCTTTGTAGTTAGTTAATAGCTTCCGAGATTCTCCTTATCGACTGTGAAGCCGCAATTGTCTCAAGAAAGACCATGCACACTTTCAAGAAGCGGACACGGTCTTCTCAACCTGGTAGACATATCAACATCAAAGGTAGGTAGTAACTGATCTCCAGAACTCTCATGGTCCGACTGGCATGCCGCAATACTACTCTGGTTGTTTCCCCGTGGAGACAGGCGGAAAGAGTCAGGATACAATCTTTCTCGTTCTTCCGAAACAAACCGAGTAAACAACCTTAGGTAGGTCTACATTCCTGGCCAATCCGCTCCCATTCAAGTTGATAGAAGTGTTATTGGCCTCGCCTGCGTCGGGGCTCCGTTTCATCACCAACTTGATCATCAAAGGCTGGCCTTCGTCGGAGAACTGGATCAGAAGGGCAAACGCTGCTTAGCAAAGAAGACATTCCTAGAACTCCCCGCTCGCACATAACCCTATTTCCAGGTCGAAGGAACCCACCTGCCTGCCTGTCATTGATATATGATGCCTTGGTCGGCAAGGAAGTGTTGTCGCGCGTCAGGGCGACAGCGCGAGGCAACGACAACGCAATTCCATCATGCGGAAGCGACTGTGTGTAGCAAAAAGATTCATCTTCATTCGACGCCATTTTCCTCCTGGTATATGTACTGAAATCCGACACGACAACGGGGACCATGGATAAGGTAGCTAGCTGCGCTCCACACCATCTCCCTTTTTTTGCAAGAACACAAGTGCCCATTATATGAGACACAAGGTTGATATGCTCATCAATGCAAGCAACTTCCCGCCCCTCTCGACGCCATCCATCCTCAGTAAAACGCCTTGCATCACTGGGTCTTGAACAACAAAATCGCAACATGGCCAAGGTAGAAGTAGATGAAATGCTTCGTTTCTGCGGCAAAGTCATCAGTCACTGCAGCCAAACCTCTCGCCTCACCACCGCGCAACCATACCATGAGTCACAAAGCTGCCAAAGTTTCTGCCTACGATGCAATGCCACGTAGCGCCTTTCTTCGCATCAAACTGTGCAAGAATCGTCAGATCTATCTTCGCTTTTGCCGCATATCATGCCTAGATATTTTGACCCACCTCTCGCTTAATGTGTTGCGCAATGTCCTATATCAATGTCAGCAGCGGTTACAAAGACATGTTTTCCGCTCGGCGGTAGACCCCCAACCCACCTTTTCGACCGTGTACTTCTCCATTGCTTCTTGAGCTAGTTGTCCCCACAGTCAATATTGTTCCGTTGTCATGGAGGGGCGATTTTGTTGCCGTACCAACTTCAATTGCTTCTTGTTGCATGTCCTCGCTCTGCGGATTCGGACTCGTCAATGCGCGGCCCAGAACACTGGATCAGGCGTAGATCGGCTTACCATGTCGACGGATTTTATCTGCGCTGTTACAAAACAAAAATAATCAGCCATGAGGCGCATTTGACTTTCCCGAAGCAACTGTAACTCACGCTCCAACTTCACCTTCTTCTCCGCTACGTCAGGGGTCGCCATGATGGATGATGTATTCGGACGGACGACAACACAAATCGGGAAGGCTTTATGTATTCGAGAATCGGATGTGGTCGAGGGCTCTCAGGGCACAAGTAACAATGTATGCGGCAAGATGAAGCGATGACTGCAACGAGGCTTGATATGCGGGCTTTGGGGGAGCATGAACGTCGGCGCGGCACCCTGCAGCACAGTACATCACAAACAAAAGCGTTGCGGCGCTGCAGCCGATGTGACCTTGGCTTGATTGGGCCATGTGCTCATGCGCCGCTTTTGCAGCAGCATATTTCTTATCTTATCTGTTTGCCCCACATGAACTCCATGCATTCGAGCCCCGATGTACTGTACAGTTTGAAGCTATAGAGCACAGGACAGTACGTACATACGATATACATACTACTGTAGACCTTGTACATTACTGAGGCGGATTGTAGCGAGACTGCTCAGTCATGATACTTCGATATTGTGCCTGGCCAATATAGCCCTTTTTCTCCAGTCACTGATCCCAGAATACTTTTTTACTCTTTCAAGTCGTGTCTCTATATGAACTCCCCTCTAGGTCTCGCAAGATTCTAGTTTCTTCTTGTTATCCTCGAGCTGCGATGGGCCGACGAGAAAAACCACGGTCTCATAAAGCGCTCACTGGAGGCCATGTTTCTTAGTTCGGCTCTGTGTGACAAGTAATGGTGAACCGAAACCTTTCCCGCTTCCACTGGGCGCAATTCATCTCAAATTGCGACTTGCCGCACGCTCGTTGATACCTTCTTCTCAGTGTGGTCGACGATGCTAATGTCCGGAGACTCGAAGGATGTAGAGGCTGTCTCCTCGAGTGGTTGGAGTTGACCTTGCCTCTTCTTTTTCATCTTTTCGCGGTGAGCAAGAACGGCAATTGTCGAAAACACTAGTACGTTGAACCCTGCCATCACGGCGGCGGCTCGGTTTCCGGGCGTGACTAAACGACTCTGGTTAGTATAATAACCACCGGGGTCTTTCTTGAGCAGTCAGTGAGACGAACCATTAGGCTGGTGAATCTGCTGGAACCAAACAAGCGGTATCCATGCAGAAAAGGTATCTATTCGCGAAACAAGCTGTCAGCGTGTGACCCCAGCGAGCGGACGGGGTAAGGGAAAGGAACTCACATTGCAATGTGTTCATGGCCGCGGCAGTAAACGCCCGTTGCTCGGCATTGTTTGAGATCAACTCAGACATCCATCTGTCATCCCCCGAGGTGATATTATCAGTCATAGGTTCAACGGCTAGGAATCGGAAAAAAGAAAACTCACGCCATGGTCAATGGGACGCAGCTCACACCAAACCCTGATACGATGTATAGCGGTGCACGATGGGAGAAGGGGCCGAACACGGGAGTTACGGCAAGTAAGGTGAAGACCACGATAGCCATCAGGTTCGAGAAAATGATGATCGGCCAACGGCGCCCTCTCAGGGGTCCATCAGAGATCCACACGCAAAGGAGGGAGTAGACAGTGGTGAAAGCATTGTATAGGGTCGGGTATTCGTTCTGTAGGAAAATTCCCTCATTAGTGCAACCCTAGCGTGGGCAAGGGTTATGGAACTCACTATCTGGGCGACAGTGTAAACAGGAGGATGGCCTTTTTTGTTGTGTGCTTTAAGCCAGAACACGAAAGAAGTGGCCGGCTGACTTCCAAAGGGTTGCACCACTGTTGGGTTGAGCAACGTCAGCATATCAACGGAGTGGAGGTTGATCTGAGACCTGGTGGACTTACTGAAGATGATGGTGAAAAGGACTGTTTTCCAGCTAAGGAAGTAACCAAGAATGACTTTGGCCGTGTATGGCTTGCCTTCAGGGGCTCGACCAACTCTTGCCATTCTTTCTTTGGCGAGTTCGATGTCCTGCATGATGGAAGAAGGTTAGCTCATCCTTTCCGTTACATTCGGATAATTCTGTAACTCACACGTTCGGTGAACAACCAGTTGGGCTTTGCAGTGCCAGGCGTGTCGGGTAAGCAGAAGTAAGCTAGGAGGGCGATAGGGAGCGAGATGATTCCGTTGATGACTGGCGAGAAACACCGGTTAACAAGAGTTCAGGGGCAGAAAGGCAATAAACTAACTAAAGAGCCACCTCCATCCAGCGAGACCAGCATGTCCATTCAACCCATTGTAAATGCCGGCCTGCAAGAATCCGCTGAAAATCGGTCCAATCGAAACAGCAGATTGGAGTATACCGTTGCGTTTTCCGAGTTCACCTTTTGAGTGGCCGGTTAGCAGTGTCACAAACCAAGGACGTGTGGAGCATGGAGCTCAAGCGAAAGAACTCACGTTTAGTGTACCAGCTGCCAAGAATGTAGTAAAGTGCCGGCCAGTAACCCGCTTCGAAGAGACCAACAACGAAGCGAAGGCCCAGCAACGCCTGATATGACTTTGCCCCTGCAAGTGCGAAGGTGAAAATGGTCCAGCCAATTTCAAGAAACGGGATCCAGACTGAGAATATACCGTTAGATGGATCTCAAGGCTGAAGAAGAAATGCACTTCGGGAGACAGGCTGCTTACTATGAGCGGGGACTCGAGTCAAGATGAAGTTTGATGGCTGTATTCACCGGCGTCAGCATCAACAATAACCTTCGCTTCCACAGGAGATTCTTACCCATTGTCCAATAACGTACCCAACCGTCCATGCAACGACGATGTAGTTGTATTGGTTTTGGTACAGGTTCAGTTCTTCCTTCATTCCAGACACGAAAGCATTGGTGATGTTTGAGGTATCGATCTGAGGCAGGGGATTAGCCTAGGGTAGTAGTATCGAAATGCAGGCGACATGCCCATTTGATCAACATTCCAAGGTTCCCGAACGTCAGAAGAGTTGCGTCCAACTGCGAAGATGGCTATGGTTAGAAGAGAAGCATTTAAACAGACCATGCTATAATAACCAACCTTCAAGAGAAATCTTCTTTCTTCTTTGGAAACATCAACCGTATCCCACAACCACCCCTTCCAACTGGTAGACGGGGTTGACGTCGCAACCGAGGTCTCTTTTTCTGCCATTGCGGGATGGCCTTGTGGAAATAAACGGGGAAATCGGGTCAGAAAAACAGACTGATTGAGCAGACAAGTGCAGGAACTCTTTAAAGATATATCAAAATGAACACAGGACTAGGAGGAAGGTATGGAGTCTGGACAAGTCTCAAGCTTGTATTCGCCATTGGTAGCGTTCCTGATGTTATCAAACCTGCGTGGATTGATCCGGACGATGTAGCTTCGTCTCGCCAGTAGTGTCTGCAGTGGTCTCGCCAGGACTTGCATTTCAACCCAAATCGCAAATCTCGCGGGACCCGGTGGCAATGCCAATGCCATGTCGCCAGTAATCGGAAACAGTGAAAGCCATGGTTGGTTGAGAAGGGTTCCAGACGAGAGTCCGGCTGATACATGGACTTCACCAGGAGTGGGCGTCAAAGGAAAGCGATGCCCGTGAATTGACAATCTAGAGCCCAAATGACGTGACTGGTTTGCTCCAGGAGGCGAACAGACAGCCTTGGTCCATGCAATCCAAGATCCAATTGTAGCGTGCGAAGATCTCTTAATATCCTATCTCAGGGAATAATGAAGGGGATATAATATCGCACTGTGTAAGGTGTGCCAGATGTGCTTCTCGAAAGCCGCGAAGCGAGGAGGGTGTGGAAGCGATGAGTGCTACCGGCCTCAAATATCTTCGGTCACTTCATGTTCTGAATATCGTGACCTGGAAGATGTTCTTCACAACTTGACATATTATCGCCAGGGTTAGTACACTCAGAGAAAGTCTCAAAGACTGTCCACAGTGGGCCAGCCATAATGATCGTCGATTGCAACAGAAGCACGACAGTGACAAGGGATGGACCGAATCCGTGCAGATCCCCTTGGAGTTGGCTGGGGAAGGTGGACCGAATGATCGCCAGCCTGATGAGGCTTGAAGAGGCAAGGCTGTCACATCACGTGAAAAAGTAACATCTATAAAGCAGCATCTTGTTGGTCTTAAATGAGCGAGATCAAATGAAGAAAGCTTTACCTCTATTGGCCTAGTGCATTGGAGCCACTCCTCGAACATTTTGCCTTGGGTCTTCGACACTTTTGTCCCTGGACTGAAGAGTTCTTCAAACCCTCACCTGCAAAGCCTCTGTGTCTTCGCATGATGGCAGAAAATGATAGCGAGATTCTGGCTGTTACTCGGGTGTATGTGTCAGGTTTACCTCCCTCGTTGACCAAAGATCAACTGCGGTCACATTTTGCAGACAAGTATCCTGTTACAGATGCACATGTTATCCCCGATCGTCGTATAGGGTTTGTTGGTTTTACCACCCACGAGAATGCTAAAAGCGCAGCCAACTATTTCAATAAAACCTTTATCCGAATGTCCAAGATTTCTGTGACGCTAGCCAAGCCGGTTGAAGTCAGACGTGACCCCTCGGGCCAGGCTGCTCCTGTCTCCCAACGTTCCTTGCGCCATAAGGAAAGGAACCAAGATGGTGCCGAGCTGTCTTCGAAAAAGAGAAAGCGAGACATACATGACACTGGGGAGAATGATCAGCCTACGGCATCGAGTACCAACATCAAGCTGGACGCGCATGGTCAACACCAAGAAGGGGTCAATCCATCTGACCACGTCATGACTTCAGAAAACAATACAATGGACGTAGCAGAAGACGCTCCCAGGTCGGATACGGACTGGCTTCGAGGCAAAACCAGCAGGCTGCTCGACCTTGTTGAGCAGGAAGGGCAGGACTCCCACACAGCTCTTGACAACGCTCCGGTGACCAATGAAACGGTGCCACACGTTGTTGAAGATGCAGCGGGAAGCGAGGACAAGGCAAACTCAGACGCTGAGGCTCGAACAGGAAGCACTGCTACCGTCTCGATACCGAACGCACGACTCTTCATACGAAATCTGCCGTTTGACGCTAAGGAGGGAGACCTGAGAAAAACATTTGCCCCATTTGGGAGGGTTTCAGAGGTATGTTAGATTCTCTTGTCTTCTAACACCAACCTCCTCTTGTGATGATTTCCTGATAGGGACAGCTTATGCTATGCATATGATGTGAACGGGAAAGAGTATTTTAGTAGATGCTTCTCACTTCTGATATCAACATTCACAGCACCTTTCTTCTTTCAGCGCCCGGCGGAAGCACAAGCTGACATCAAGACAGGTACATATCGTCACAGATACTCGAAAACTGACAGGGAAAGGTCTTGCTTATGTCCAGTTCGTGGAACCTGCGGATGCCGAGAAGGCTCTTCTCGAACTGGATGGCCGGGATTTCCAGGGTCGCCTCATGCACATACTTCCAGCCTCGGAGAAGAAGGTGCAAAAGCTCAGTGAGTATGAGCTGTCGAAACTACCACTGAAGAAGCAGAAAGCCATCAAGCGCAAAAACGAGGCCACAAGCTCAACCTTCAGCTGGAATTCCTTGTACATGAATCCTGATGCGGTACTTGCATCGGTCGCCGACCGATTGGGAGTCTCTAAGTCGGAATTACTAGATCCATCATCGGCAGATGCAGCAGTAAAGCAGGCTCATGCGGAAACAAGCGTGATTAAAGAAACAAAGGATTACCTGAAATCGAGCGGGGTGAACATTGATGCTTTCAAAAACCGGTCTCGTGACGATAGGACCATTCTCTTGAAGAACTTCTCCTTTGGTACAACTTCGGAGGAGTTGTCGCAGATGCTTAATCAATATGGCGATCTTGAACGCTTGGTATTCCCGACAACTGGCGTTATGGCGGTAGCACAGTACCGGGATCCTGCTGCGGCAAGTCTGGCCCTGAAGCAGCTCGCATACAGAAACCTAAGAGGCTCGGTCCTGTATCTGGAAAAAGCCCCTGAAGGCTTATGGGAACATGCAGCACCCTTGCCAGCTGATCTCGGTACACAGACGCAACAAGTGCCAGAAGATGCAGAAAGCAAAACCCTCGGCAGCACCTTTACAGTATTTGTGCGCAACCTTAACTTCTCCACAACGACTGCACGGCTCAGTGAAGCATTCAAGCCACTGTCTGGGTTCTTGTCCGCGAGGGTAAAAACAAGAACTGACGCCAAAAGACCTGGTGAAATTCTTAGTATGGGATTTGGCTTTGTCGAATTTCGTACTAGAGCTCAGGCTGAAGCAGCAATTGCGACCATGAATGGGCGTCGGTTGGACGGGCATGAATTGCTTGTACAACTATCGCAAAAGGTGACGGATCTTGCAGAAGAACGGCGGAAAGAAGACATTGCCAAGAAGCTCGACTCCAATAAGACGAAGATTGTCATCAAGAACCTGCCGTTCGAAGCCACGAAGAAGGACATACGTGCTCTTTTCGGTGCATATGGACAGCTGCGCACCGTACGCTTGCCGAAAAAGTTCGACAACAGTGCTCGTGGTTTTGCCTTCGCGGAGTTTGTCACACCGAAGGAAGCAGAGAATGCTATGGAAGCCCTTTCAAATACCCACTTGCTTGGCCGTAGGCTTGTCCTCGACTTTGCCGAGGGCGAAGCTGTGGATCCTGAAGCTGAAATTCAAGCGATGGAGAAGAAGGTCCAGCATTCCCAGGACACATTAACTCACCATAGGATGACAGGGTCAGTCCGAAAGAAGTTCAACATCGGTGCTGGAGATGATGTCGAGCCGCTGTGAGATCCACGGGAGCCTGAGACCCACCGACCGCCCTCCCTTGCAGCGATTCTGCACACCTCCGGGAATTGCGATGTTGTTCATCCACGAAATGAATGCAGATTTTTCCGTTCTTTTAACGACGATACTTTTCCCTAATAAGCCAGGTTTTTCTCGTTCAATGTTTCATAGTAGCAGTTGCTGCCATCCCGAATTTGATTTTTCTGGGGTTTCGAGCGACAGAACGCAAAAACGTTGCTGCATCTCATGGCTTGTGCTTTCCGTTCTCATTCTTCTGCGAGATTGGCCACAGCATCAAGACCTTTGGCGATCTGTGGTCCGGGCGCTTGAGTTTGCTGCCTTTACATATGCGGTCTTGTGCTTGCCACCTGCTGATCCAGGCTATTCGGGTCAGCTATGAGATCGCAACGGTTCTCGATTCGGCATTCTGCTACCCCTTGCATTGCCCTTGGTTGCCCTTTTGAGTCTGTGCGGCAAGGATCGGATGGGAGCTTGCGGTGCGAGATTGCTTGTCTTGCTCGATCACGATTCTGTGGACAGCTCGACAATCAATGTCCGTGGGTTTGTATTCTCGCCGGACTAAAGAGGTAAAGGGCAGTGAGTGATGAGTTGGAAGAGTCGCAGGAAGATTAGATTGCACGAGCAGGTGTGGTCCGCAAGGCACAATTATAACACGATGGTGACCTTCCTCTTCATTCGACACTCCCTTCTCATTCCAAGGCCTTTTTGTTCTCGTCGAGGATTGTTTGCTGCATTTCTCATTCTCATTCTTGAGCATCAACTGCTGTGCACTGGGCGCATGAGGCTTCCATGGACCTCTCGCATTCCGCCTTAACAACAGCCACGCACGCTGGAGAATCCAACATCCATTCTGGTTTCGATCCGCTCTCAGCATCTTCCGGCAATGTTCAGTCATTCGGCAGGGGCACCCACGAAGGTGTTGAAAACCAACGCCCTCTTCCGGAGCTCAATGTTGGGCTGTCAATGACACGCGAGCTTCAGTTCCCAAGCCCTTTGATCAAACTTGGCTCGAACGATACTCCCAGCTTCTCCTTCGACCGAAAGCCAAAGCGTGACGCACTGAGAGCACACCGTGCTAAGCCACTGACAAACGCGGACCGACCATACCTTACCCATCCCAAGTATCTGGAATATCGTTCACGTCCAAGGCAGGATATCGGGCCGGATGGCAAACCAATCTGGCCTGATCGTATTGAGGCCGCTTTCCAAAATGGTAACCCGCCAAATTGTGCTTGTCTAGTGGCAGCCCTGACAGTTTTGTAGCATTGGTGCATATCAAGCCCATGGGGCGAAAGAAATGTTCACAGCGTGGTAGACCTTACGGACGCAACATGCTCATCGCAGAATGGATATACAGAGAGACGGGCGAGGTGCGCGTGCGCAAGCAGGTGTCTAGCCACATTCAAGTCCTCGATCGGTTTCTCAGAGGGATACCAGAATGTAATGCCGCCGCCGCATATGCATGATGTCTTTTCGCTGATATTGGTCTAGGGGATCGATTGATCAAACCTAGCGATGATGAAGAGACTAGCCCGACCGAGGGTCACAAATTTTACCATAACTCTATTGAACATATGGTCAACGAGCACAAGGCCTTGAAGGGCCAGATGCACCAACAGGGGGATTTCAACTTTGACGACCCTGGTGACGGGGATAAACCGGCTCAACCCGGCAGCTCTGAAATCATCAATCTACAAGGACTAACGTTCGAAATGTGGGTGAGCCAGCCTGATGATTGGGAGCATGCCCTACACCATTACACTCGACTTCAAGACTTCAGATTAGACCCGCTGCCATTGGAAGATATTCTCGGTTGGCAGGTGACATTCCCGCACCTTTCGGACATCGTTGATGCCTGGTCGGGCGAGAATCAATGCGAGGTCATCCTGCTTAACGCCAGCTTTCAGCTGATGCAGGACTTTCCACCGCGCCACTCCAAGCTCGGGATCGGTCTGGAGCTAGACTTTCTGGATCAGGATCAGCAATGGAGGACGATGTCGCGCATGGATGATTTCAAGGAGTGGACCTGCACAACACACATGTACCAGGATGGCCATGAGGTTTCGGATTCGGCAAAGGAAGAATGTCGTGCTGCTGGTCAGGGCAAGATCAAACCGTTTTTCCAGTCCAGATGGTGGGCTTCTACATTCACGTCGCTGACGGAAGCTAAGAAACTGGCCGAAGACTCCAAAGATCCGGCCTCTATCGAGCTTGCACATCAGCATTCGAGCAATTTCCTCCGCGGGCTGAGTATTATGCAGGAAATCTGTGCCCTCGACACAAGACAACCGGGGGGAAGGGGATCATCTCGAAAAGCGCGCAAAAGAATGGCACTGCTTTTATGGAGGTTCTCTGAAGCCCCTCCCGGCAGCGGCGGCACCACTACATGGCAGTCTGTATGGATGCCTCACTCTTATGGTCTTACCAGTAACAACAGCACGTTATCATCTACGGGAACAGGACTTCCCTCGCTACCAGATCTTGGGTCCTTTGACCACAGCACTCAGTTTCTGTCGCAGAACGACCACGACGTTTCGTACAACATGTATTTAGGGAGCATGGATGAAGAACTCTGTCAAGATGGGTTCATATCATTCAAGCCTGAGGACATGTCGGACTCAGGAGGACATCTAACATCTTCGTTCCAACTGCCGTCATCCAGGCATGGGCTTCTCACAAGCTGTGACCATCTTAGACCTCTTGCCGGAAACATGGACACTTCTCACGGTGGCCCTTTAATCGAGCCGGCCAACATGTTCGAGCTTCCCCAGTTGACTACTGGGTCTGTGGATGCCGGCGCGGACGTCTCGTACACGAACCATGCGCCTGAGGACACGAGACCGACGTTGCCGGAGCATCCCTTGACCAGGTTCAATGTTCAAACACACCAAGTGTTACAGGAGCAACTTGGGTCCGAAGCACATCCCCCGGCAGAACCACAGCGATTAGAACTGGACTTGGGGCACCTTTCACCGGATTCCGACCATCATCTTCTCTCCTCTCTCCTTTCTTTACAGCATGAGCGGGACAGCAAGCCCCAAGACTACCAGAACATTTTGCACAGATGAGGGCACGCTGGTCGCTACTGCAAGGCCTGACGAGGACGCAGATGCTGCCGATGCAGAGGCGGTGGACGATGAGGTCGAACTTGAAGTGCTGCTCGCCATGCTCATGGACGAGGAGCCCGATGCAGAGCTGGAGCTGGTGAAATCGTCCTGGTTCGTGACGATTGCGGTCAAACCAGTGACATTCTGGCAGCTGGAGCCGACGGTATTATTGACACCCTGGACGAAGTTGACAGGTGCACACTAGGACGAGGGACAGTTCGGTCAGTATGACGAAGAAACAAGGATTGTTGTTCATGTGCGAGACATACCTGGTACAAGATCCCATCAGGTCCATGTTGGACGATCTGCAAAAGCCCTGTTTTCCCGGTGAACTCGTCCGGAGCCTTCAGGTTGGGAAGACAGAACTGGCCCAGCCCCGTCTCAGAGACGACTGGTAGAAGATTGGTCCAGTTGAATGGTTCTTTTTGGTCCAAGGTGGCACGGAAGAGCCAGTCTGAAGCCGGATGAGTGCTCAACATGGATACGGGGAAGCCGCCGACAGGGACGGAGTCGTCCGAGTCGTTAAAAGATACGCTGAAGCCGCCGCATGGTGCGGTGCCCTCGTTGGCATCGTCGAATCCTAAAGAATGAGGATACTGGAGTATAAAATGGGCGGTGCTGAAGGAGACAAACGAGAAAAGGCAGAGTAGTAGATGCATGGTGGGCGGCCGAATCAAGGACCCGGCAGTGACTTGAGGTGGAAATCTGCAGCCACTGTCGACAACTCACGCACGCAGCCAAGAGAGATGTATGCTGTTATAGTTAATTCTTCTACGATTGAGTTCATTCCCGTACGAGCCGTTCGTTGCGAGCAGCCTCAATCGGTAACAGGAGCTGAACCAGGATGTTGCCGAGGCGGTGGATGTGAGCAAGTTTCCACGGCCAGCGACGAGCACGTTTCTGGCAGACACCACACCACTGTGACCACTCTCCACCGACCTATTGGCCCATACACCTCGTTGCTCGTCTCTGGTGGTGGTATTAGTGTGATAATGGCGGCGTCCTCGCTTTCTTCAGACCCTCCGCCGGCGCCTGGTCTGTAAGACTACAATGTCGACTGTCTCGGAACTCGGCCGACCAGTCTCGTCTTCCTCCTCGAACCCCTCCATGACAGACGGAATCGACGGAAGACCACAGTCTCATCTAGACCAGAGTGTGCTTGCTTTGTGACGCCGTGACATCCATGTCGTTGGCGCGCATCCCGGTGGGAAAGAAACCTTTGCATGCGCATAGATCAACTGGCCCTCGTACTTTCATGGACATCGCTTCTTGAGAGATACACCCCATGGAAAAGCAAGCCAGCAGAAAGACTTGAAAATGGACTCGATGTCTGGAATGGCCGGCATGAGCGGCATGGGTGGCATGGACATGTCCAGTGCCGGAATGTTCACGCCAACCAACAAGCACATCGCCCATGTCTACTGGTACATTGTCGCCGCGATTGTTGGATTGCTCGTTCTTAAGAGAGTGGTAGACCGTCTCCGATTACTATTTGCGTGAGTCGGTCAGAGTTGATCTTATAAACGATACTGATTCTTAACCAGGTCCAAATCGAGTCGGCTTCGACCAGAAAGCGTCCCATTCAGACCTGAAAATCCCGTTGCGCAGTTCTATGACACGCTCGTGGCCGTGTGCAGGGAGCTGGCTTACCCTCAGCTATGGACATTCAGTGGGACATGGAGCAGATACTTTACACCTCCCCCTCTGGGACGTTGTCTTATGCTGCTGCTCTACTGGACTGTGATCTTGACGATGCTATGGTCCAACACGATTCTCGGACCGAACTCGCCAGACTACGCCTACAGATGGGAAATCGTGGGCTTTCGTGCAGGATGGGTGTCTGTGACACAGTTACCTCTGATTTACCTCCTTGCGGGGAAAGTCAACATCATCAGCCTCCTGACCGGCATATCCTATGAGAGACTGAACTGGTTACATCGATGGGTGGCGCGGACGATATTTCTGACGGTGATTGTCCACTGGTCGTACTTTTTCAGAGAATGGGATCTTGCGCATTTCGTCAAGCTCGAGATGGACATGATGCCGATGGTCAAATATGGGTTCGGCGCTTGGGCCGTCATGGGGTGGATGATCCTCACTGGCTTTGGGTTCTTCAGGTCAGCATGTTACGAGGTGTGGCTGTTACAACACCTTGCGTCAGCCGTCGTACTTTTGTGGCTGGTCTATGTCCATGTGCCATCGTATGCCCGATACAATGTCTGGTTTGCAATCGGTATTGTTGTCTCTGATAGACTATTGAGGACACTGTTTTCAGTGTCCATCAATCTCCACCTACTCCCGACGAGAACAGCCAGGGCCCAGCCGACAAAAAGAAAAAGGTTTGGATACGAGGCTGAAGTCAGAAGCCTTTCCTCCGAGTTCATTCACGTCAGGATCCTTGACGTCGACTTTTCCTGGCAGCCAGGTCAGCACGTTTACCTCACAATCCCTCGAGCAGGGCTATTTGAGGCTCATCCATTCACAATCGCGAATGTTCCAAAATCAATTTCTCACGAGGACGGACCCAGCGACATGGAACTGTATATTCGTGTCCACCGAGGATTTACGAAACGGTTGCACCGAAAGTGTCGAGGCCTACAATCTTCACAATCTTTCCTGGCTTTCATCAGCGGGCCCTGGGGCACTCCGACGTCGATTCGCCGGTTTGAATCCTTGGTCCTTGTGGCTACTGGAAATGGCGCCTCTTTCACAGTTCCAATCTTCCAACAAGCATTGATGACGGAGTCACACCTCCGGCAAATATCTTTTATCTGGATCGTCCCATACTCCCACCAGCTGGACTGGTTCAAACAACAGCTCCTAATGGCTGCGAGTTTGGCTCACGCCAGGAACATCAAAGTTGCAATTCGTGTCTATGTCACGCGTCCCGTACGAGATGGCGATCTTCCACTTTCGGAAAACAACCCTCTACTTGGATGCAGCTATGAACTGAAACCGCGGTTGGATGTGTCAACCACTGACACCCAAGACATCGAGAACCCGGATAAAGAGGCACGGTTTTCCAACACATCCACCTCTGCAGAAAATGATGGCGGTGACCAGGAAAATGAAAACGAGGTATCGTCGTCACATTTGTCGACAGCATCCGCGGAGCAAACTCCCATTATGGTGAACAACGGACGGCCGGATTTGGATCCATTAATTCGACCCGTAGTAGAAGAGGCTTGGGGTGAAACTGGCATTTTTGCATGCGGCGGCGCTCAGTTCACGGGACAGATAAGAAACTATGTAGCCAGCCTCTCTGACGAAAGGGCAGTACACAAAGGTACCGGTGCCCAAGGGTTGTATCTGTTCTGCGAGACGTACGGATGGTGAGGGCTGAACCGAGGGACTATTTGGGAGCGTTCAAGTAAACTTTCCTCTTTCGCTTCATCTAAAAACCTGTAGCAGTTCGAAAGGATATGCATATTGATCAAGGGTAGTAGTAGACTTGGATCTGGGAGGTTCCGAACAAGTCCATTCCGTCAAACCGATTCCCTCGGTCTAGTGTTGATATTGCAACCAGCGCTTGAACTCGGAGAAAACGAGGACACCCAAACAATCAAACAATCCTCAACGCCCAGCGAGACGAGACGCCACACTCGAGCCCTGCTGTACCTAGGTAGGTATCCTCTTGTTCAGAACAGGGCTAGAGGATCCCACTGTGCCACTGTCTTGTCATTCGAGCGAAGCCTTCAAGCCTTCTCCAAGCAACGAGTTTGCAACTTTGTATTTTTGAGCAAGTTTCGACCTGCATGGCCCGGGACTGGGACCCACTTTTAAGACGGACTGGATGGCCCCATCGTTAGTCGGCCTTTAGTAGCAACGAGGTATCTTCTCTTCTTCCTACGAGCAGTGGGACTTGTCGTGTTGACGGAACCAAAGCGACCAACTGAGTTGGTCTTGACCATCAGCTACAGGTTGTACTGTAGTAGTGTCATCAGACTATGCTAGCCACGTTCCTACGGTGAGTACCGAGTAGGTAAGTTCTTTTCCTTTCTTCCCCCTGGCCCTGGCGTGGCGGCAAGCAGCGGGCTAGAGCAGGACAGAGAGAAGACCCAAAAGAGAAGTCAAGAGAGGCTACTAGGTAAATCAGATTAATTCAAAAGGACGACGGTTGCCGTCAGTGGTCCGAGTTTCTCTATCTCCATCTCAGTTGAGTCTCCCGCCATCTTTCTCAGACTTTCAGATCCCTGGGCTGTCTGCGAGTGACTTTGACTGAAGCAGAAGCATATCGTCGATACTTTAGATTCTTCTCTATCATAAAAGAGTCGACACTACCCACTCTCTTTCTTCATACACAGTCTTCAGCTTCACTGTCAATCAAATCACCCACCATGAAGCTCTCCGTACTCCTCGCCCTCGTGGCAGCAAACGTGGTCTCGGCCCACTTTGAACTCGTCTATCCTTACTGGCGAGCCAACTCGTTCATTCCGCCTGCTTCGCAATACATTTTCCCATGTAAGTCAGCTCTGTCAGATATGATATACATTTCCGCAACAGTCATGAAGCACCTACAATCCAACCCCACACGTTGCTGTACGGAATGATCTATATCAATATACCACAGTACCACCGAGGATCATGAGAACATCATTCCACTGCTTGCTTTGGTTTCACCTCCCTTCATCCATCTTTACCTTGTCTTCTCCCAGTCCAGTCCAGTCCACCTCCATCACCATCACCCTATACCATCCCACTCCCTCCCACAAACCATACAAACCCAAACCAAACCATCCACCTCCCATGGGCTATGGCAGTGGCTTCTTTCCGCTGTTCTGTTCATTGACACTGATCATTTCCCATCCAGGTGCCGGTCTCAACACCACAACCGAATCCTCCAACAACCGCACCCTGTGGCCCCTCGACGGCGGGTCCCTGGTCATCAAATTCCACCACCCATGGACCTATGTGTCTTTCAACCTGGGTCTAGGAAACGACACAAACACCTTCACCACGTCGCTGAACCCGATGTTGTTGAACGAAACGGGAAACGGGACCATTTGTCTGCCGAAATTCACGCTCCCTGAAGGTCTGGGGATCCAAGATGGCCAAGATGCCAGTTTGCAGGTCATTACGATTGGTGATGAAGGGACGGCTTTGTACAATGTAAGTTATGGACTGTAAACCCAGATTCCATGCCTGATGCTAGTACCCCTACCTTACCTTTTTCATCCGCGGATGGGATAGTAACCACTTACCTTCAACACCCTTCCTCTCGTTGTTTGTGTGATAGTAACACCTTACTTCAATTGTCCGATTCACCCCCTTTCGTTGGTTGCCACCCGCCTTCGCTTCGCTAACAAAAGCCCTGGGCTATTTAGTGCGCAGATATAACATTCACATCAAACGCCACCCTCCTACCCGACGACCAATGCAAAAACTCAAGCAATGTCGACATATACCCTCTTGTCGAACAGTTTTCCAATGGCTCGCTTGCAGCTGGAGAAGGAGGTTCAGCTGCAGCAACAACCGTCACAGTCACGGCCTCGGGTGCTGCTGCTACGGGGTCCTCTGCAAACGGCGGCAGTGGAAGTGTGAGACTTGGCGCCGTCGGTCAACATGGGGTTATTGCTGCTGCCGTCGCTACTGTCGCTGGACTCACTTTCGGCGGTTTGTTCGTGGCTGCTCTATAGATGTCTGGGCTCTGGGATCGTATAAGGTAAGGCAAGTGGAAGTACGCAGTGGAGTTCATGGACTAGATAATACTACCTATGTGGACAGAGGAACCATATACCTACGTAGGTAGTAGGTATTGAATTTGGGGCATGGCCATCCTTCGTGAGACTATTTGTAGTGACGATCCCGATGTACAACCATATACAGTGGCTTGACTAGGCCAGGGGTTACCACCATTACTACCTTCGTATCTACTGTCGGTAGCATGTATGTCCAATATATGTACTACACTAAGATCCGCAACGGTACCTCGATATTAAAGTCATTGAATGCACGTACTCTAGTACCTAGGACTCGACTCTCGAGTCGTCTGATCCTAATTTAAGTCTTACACTTGCCAATAGTATGGTAATCAGGAGGATCTCGCAGCTCAAGTCTCTTTCTGTGACAAGGTAAGAAAAAGGGAAGAGCCAAGATGGTTTCATTCTTTTAGTATAATAAGTTCTTGTCGATTGGTCAAGAAATAGTAAGGCATGTTGATCAGGTAGATTATTGTCTGAAAGGCTCGAGTATCAAGAAGAGTTGTAAGGCCGGGCAAGACAGATGGAGGTATGTAAATACTGGTATATCAGTATGGGTCGAGGCGCGCAAATGGTACACCAATAATTCTATAGATGGTTCCCTGGCTTGCTACCTAGCTACGTGCAGACCCCTTTGCACGTATCTTTCGGTTTCTTTCAAGCTTTTCCAAAATCGCTTCCCAATTCCTGGCTGCTAGGGCCTTCTTTTCGTGGAAGTACTGTTCCAGCAGTTCCTTCGCAGTGTGGACGGCATTGGCGGCAGAGATCTGGGAGCCAATGTAGACAAGAACACTTTCAGGGTAACTGCTGGATCCAAAGTTAACTGAACCGTCGCACAGGGCTGCTCCAACCCAATCACACTCAATACGCACTGGTGGTCCTTTCCGAAGTCCCATGGCGCGCACTATCAGGCAGTGTTTAAAGCTGTCGCCCGAAAGGAGCAAAAGGTTCCGAGCGCGGAGGAAAGCAGACTTCATCCTCCGATGGACGGACGGATGCATCGATATAAAGACCAGTGTGTCTCGGTTGGATCGTGTAGCGTCGCAAGCATAAAACATCCCCCAAAGCGCCCCGGTGTGCTGATCGATATTCATTGATAACTCTGAGCCACCGATGACGAAGCCCCTTGAGAGGCTCATGGGCCTTACGCCGAGGAGGTTCGTTGGACACCACGAAAGGGGGCCATCTTCTTCTATTGTTGGGCTTCCATGAAGCAGAATAGATGAATCAATCTCTCCATAGGAGCATATGATCTGTCTCAGCACTCGTGTTTGCATGTCTGCTGCATCCACGTCGGGCGTGATCCCGGCCAAGTGCGCGGCGACTAAGACGCGATCCCTTGACCAAGAATTGCTCCGTGTCCCCAAGGTTCGCACCAGATTCGAGAGCTTGCGATGGTCTTTGATTATGCCCCAAAGGTCCCGGATGATGAAGGAAGCCGTGAAATGCCCCAAGCTGCAGCGGGGAAGGGTGGCAAGAACTTCTGTTTCCAGATCCTTGATGACAGGCGGACCTTTTTTATCATCTGGGTTTCCGAACAATACTTTAACACTGTTAGACGCCGCCAAATCCACGGCCGTCCAGCCCCGGGTGTACCACGGTGAGAGAACAAGAGCGAGACATGGAGTACCGTCATCTTTCCATGGGATCTTCAGAAGGTATTCATCGTGGACGACCGTGTGCTTTGCCGAACTGAAATACAATTGCATGTTCCGGATTGCGTGCGCTTTTCTCTTCCGGTCAGTTGGTATGGAGATAGCATCCCACCACAGTCCTGAACAACCCAGTTGTTGCGCTATGTCGCAGAAAAAGCTGAATAAACAACTATTCATGCAACCTTGCCCTTGAACTCCGACACCTGTTCCGTCAGACCATACGTGTGATATCGCGACGTAATCGCCACCACTATCGCTAAGGACAGGCGTGCAGGCGGGTATCTGCGAACGAAAACGTGATGGTTTCAGATTGTATCTCCATATCAGGCGCTCAGAGTCTGGAATGGTCGTTGAAGGGAATGTAATCAAGGAACAGGACTGATTTGGGCATTTATGTCTTTGCCAACTCGGGTGCTGTCCAGTGAGGAAAAGTGGCAAAGATCAGGTGCGCATGCGTCATGGGTATGCATATCAGAAGCTTGTGTTTGTATTGATAGCGTGGGTTGTGCCAGGTTATCGAGGATCTCTGTATGTCTGAAAAGAGCGGCTCGGTGCACGTCCTGCGGGTCAAGCATTGCCAGCAGAGCGGGAAGGTCCTGCCACCCGCGAGGACAGCAAGACACCAGATTCCATAGCCGATTTTTACAGATCCCCAGTGCTTCAGCCTTTTCGATCGTTTTATTGAATTCGTCTTCGAACACAAAATCTGGCGACTTGGACACGGCCAGGAGATTCCCCTTCAACTTGCAATGTCTCAACTTTACTCGTAGTCGTGAATGGTGCCACCATGCCATCATGTCATGGATCAGGCAGTCCGTCGACATACGAGGGTCCTCTTCCTCCTCTCTTAGTGACGGCATCATATTGAACAACCGGAAAGACATGTCGTACCTCCCCGCTAGGATATCTTGCAACTCTCGGGAAGAAGTTTCGAATGCGGTGGACCAACATGCGAGGAATTGGACGGTCCATTCCAACAGTGACAGACACCACGTGGTGCGACCATGAAGATTTTTCATCACGATTTCCTTGTTCCGTTGACATTCCGGCCCGGTGCAGAGCTTGAAGCCCGACAACTTCGCAAAATAGTAGTGCCGCTCCAATGCGGACACAGGCCCTTGCCGGCTGAGACGGAAATCGTGGAAAGCCTGGTTGTCTTATAGTCAGTCCCTACAGCATTGGGGATCTGGAGCCACCATAACTTGCCTTGAGCGTAGGACCCACCCCGCCTTCTTCGTTTATATTTACACGGGTCTCGGTAGTGCCGTCGCTGGTGGGGGGCGGTTCAAGCAAAGTGCCATCCCTAACCAAGCTCTTCAGCCTTTCAAGTTCCGAATCACGCGGGCTCTGTTCTCTTAAAGAACCACCATCCTCTGAATGCTCTGATAGGGACTGTCTCGGAAAAATCCCGCTCGTGGTCTTGACGACGCGACGTGCCTCTGTCGGCCATATCAGTTCCCGCAAGCTTGGCGTGAAATTAAGGTCGTCAGGATGTCTCGAGGGAAGCGTGTTCCGGAATACATGAAAGCACATTCGACCGGTCTGTCATAGTAATATCCGGTCCTTGCCATGAAGGTCGAGTGTGTGTTGGCAAAGGAGGCCTCATCCCCAGCTCAGCTCAGCCGCGCTGCTGCCGCCGGCGTGGCCCTGCAGGTTACAACACCGGCCAATGCTTTTGGACGCAGTCATTGACAGACCAGGGGGCATGCTCACTCAATCAGGTTTTTTTCCAAAGCTGTCTAGCCAGCACGGCCTGCGTGCCCAAGAAACCGAAAGACTGCGGCTGGTTGCGATGGCCGATGCCATCGACATTAGTTTTTGGGTGGTTGCCTTGCATGAGGCCAGGCACGGAAGTATCCATGTCAGATCACGAGGAGCAGCATTTTGCTTGCAACGTATGTTTTGTAGACAGGATACAGCATACAGGATATGTATTCCAACTTGATCCCTGGGGCTCGAGATGAACGGGAAGGTCGAACACTTGACAGTTCCGGGGAGGTTCCTTCCGACAAGGCGAGCGGGCGGGATTTGCCTTCCTCCCACTACTAACACCAACCCCTCCTTCCCGGCACTGGCACTGGCACTGGCACTGCACCTTCATTGGCTGTTCTCCTAAGGCTCAGACTTATTTAGTACCGCGCCTTCAGCCCAAGTATTACTAAGGTAGTACTACAATACTTTGTATATGGACACAATGATAACAATACACCTGTACACTACTCCTACATACCTACTTCACTACCTAATAGTAGGGAGAAATCATCCGTCGACCGCCACTGGCAGTGCAGGGTTTTCGCATTCCGTAGCGCCACGCTAAAAACAGATCCATCCGCCTCCTCTTCTCACCTATATAAGAGTAAACTCGCCGCCACAAACCAAAGCCCTGTCATCATTCGCATGTGCTGTCCGCCGCCGCAAACATAAGAGGTAAACAACTCAGACACGGGGCATTCAATCAGCCATGAGACCAAGACCTTTGGGCTGGCGGTCGACTTTCAGCACTGCCAGCTTGAAACAGCTGTAGCAGTACCGCAGCAGCACTGGGGTCGACGGCGGTGACGTTCCGCGCGACATAGATGTCCTTATTGCCGTTCCAGGCATTCGTCAGGCCTCGAACGGAATCGAACGAAATGTTGTTGACGGACAGCCACTTGACTGGACAGGGACTGCTGAATGGGACGAGGTCAGAGCGAGGAACAGCTTCAGATCTTGGGTCGTCAAAGGGCGAGAATGGGGAGAAGAAGCTGACGGCCTGACCACCTGGTGGAGAGACCCTCGTGGTCGGCATGCTGGTTGACCAAGGAGCCACATTTTGCGGCTCAGTGGCCAAGGGCGATTGAGATGTTGATTGCGGGCTTGCAGGCTCGTAAGGGATAGTACTGCGGTCCAGGTCGTGATGGGCTGCTTCCCAGATGACCCTCCGGCGTTCGGGTTCGTAGTAAATTGACCCGGCTGATGAGTCGGATGATGCCAGCGAGTACGTTCGAGACCGGGATACCAGGCTTAAGTCCCTCTTTGGTTCAACAGGACTGAACTGTGAGGTTTGCTCAATGGCAGCCGGCGCGCGATGCACGTCGTTGGATCGGAAGGATGTTTCGGTGGAGGGCTGAATCTCCGATTTCATACTGGCGTAGCCGAAGAATTGGCGTGACCCGTTGACCGAAAATATAAAGTATACTCGCTCAGCTGTCTGTGCCCGGTCAGCTCACCCTGGATGCTGGATACTCGAGAAGGGGTTATATGAAGAGGGGACTAACCTGGAACGCATGATTCAGTCGCTTGACATGTCGATTAGGAATGAACCACTGGCCCGACTCGAGGCTTTGCGAAAGCGCATCCAGCGAACCACTCTTGATGATGAAATATTTCTTCTTTCCGAATTGCGATCGGTCGGCCTCGGGAAAATGAGACAACTGTTCGGCATCCTGTAAAGGGTCGTTGGGATGCTCGCAGGATATCGCGATGGACCGTTTGTCCATTTGTTTGAGCCCATAGTTGACTTTGGTCGATCTGGAAGTGGCGTCTTGTCGGATGCGACAGTCCAGCCGTCGGCCCTCAAAGAGTTGCGAGGCAGCATGCTCAATGGCACGGAGTCGCGACGATTCGGTGCTGAAGTTGACAAACGCATATTTGGCGTCCGGGTTGTACGAGATGCTGAGGAGATCCTGGCCCGCCGCTTCGCTGAAATAATCTCTCAGGCTCATGACCGTGGCCTGAGAAGGTATGTTGCCAACCCATAAGGCGAAATCACCCCAGTATTTCAAAGTCTCTCTCCGTGGAGAGAGCCGAGCAGCCGACCCAGAGGAGAAGGGCTCTCCGGTCCCAAATTAGCAATGAAGCGGTCTGCATTGAGGAAGAGCTCACCATGCCCGTGCCGGAACGTGTCCATGATCATGTCGAGTTAGCCGCGAGCTGAGCCTGGAGAGGTACCTGCTATAGGCAAATGGTGTCAAGAGTAGTGCTATAGTGCAATCTGGCTTGAATGGAAAGTTTCTGTAGAAAGACACAACAAACCCCAGGGAATGTCCATGGCGAACCGACCTTGATATCAACGTGCTCTTCTGTGGGTGCAGAGCTAAGACGTCCCATCGCTGTACCGATGCCCCGGCCGCCGGTGGAAGGAGGCTCCATATGGAGGTACAGAGGGTCGCAAACCACTACCACTGTCGACTCAAGAAGCGGACCGTGAACCTGACCCATTTGTCAGGGCGCATCAACCTGCCGTTCGCTTTTTGCTGAAACGCGCGTTGCATACCTAGGTCAAGGTCGTAGTCGAGCCAAGAACCTGCGCGGGAATCTGCTCGTGGTGCACGGCGGTCGGAGGAAATCTGCTCAATCTGCTCATCTTGCTCATATCATTGACCCCTGGCCGGATGACGCCGGTTGACGGCTCCGAAGACTGGTCAACTACTGGATGCGGTAAGACTGTATCTGGACTCAACGTCGACTAATTATGAGCAGGCCCACACCCACACAACAATGCGCGCGTTTTGGCCTAGACTTCAAGTTGCCCGTCAACAACAGGCGCAGTACTAGTATCTTCGTGATAGGTGCTGTATCTGCCATCATTGTAGGCGCCGTTGCCGCCGTCGGTGGAGTGCGCGCACACAGCATATCGGAGGTGTAGGAGGAGGATACAACAACTCGAAGGCTGCCTCCAGCCGTTGACCGTCGGCGGAAAAGTGACTCGCGTGCTACGCGGTCTTGCCCCTATTTCAAGGGGATCATTCACCACAAATTCTGTTCAAGTCGACATGTACAGGGTCGAGCATCAGCATTGCTGCTTCAGAACTCTCACATCGCTTAGGATTTTCCGGCTAAATGCACAGGATCCCGATTGTTCCCTCCCGGCTCTTGCAAGCATGGCCGAAAATTGGCTGCGATGCCCTGTCGAGTTGCGCAAGCCCATGCCAGGATGGCCATGATCTTGGCCCTGCTTCGGTGATCAGAATCTGGCGCTGACTAGTAGGTATGATATCCCTTTCGCACCGCATACATGATGGGATCATAGTCGGGCAGGTTAAAAGGACGTGGGAGGGTAGGCGTCGGTACGAAAAGCGCCCATTGGCCGCGCGAACATCATACGGCGAATTAACCGAACGACTCAGATCGATCTGGCTACCTACGCTGGCCGGCTCCGGTTCATATACGCGGGGTGCCTGAAGCTTGCAAAACATTAGTGAGTATAGGCGAGGTTGCGTACCCCCTGTTGAACCGCGTACCCCTTGTACGACCACGCGTCTTGCAGCTTGCAGTAATTGTACCGGATGCATCGCGGAGGATGTGTTTCCATATACTACCTAGGTACGCAATCGCGGTTCTTGACGACACTATGGTACAGATGTAGCTGACTATCGCGCATTGTTTGCCGCATTCGCGAGAAGCCGTTTCGATTGATCGAGTACCGCACTGCGTAGAGCATCGGGTATTCGTCATCCTTGACGGGCCACATCATCAGCAGGATGCCCTGTTCCTTCATTGCCATACACTCGAGACTTCGTAATGAAGTTCGCGATGGAAGGGACGGTTTCCTTCGTTGTATCAGGCCTCTGCCTAACCTCAAGTTGTCAGCGGAAGCCGCTTTTCCCATACTCCGGTCGACACAGCGAAAACACCCCCTGCAGATTGTGAAACTTGACAAAGGGCCCTGTGAGCAGGAGGAAGGCCTTTTGAAGTCGAGAAAGGCGAAGGGCTGCCGCTTGGACAATTTCCACACCACAGATAGCGCAAACAGATCAGACCTGGTCGTGTCGGAAAGCATTGTCTCGTCTGGATACGAGAATATCTGCACAAACTTGGCAGAAGCACTGCAGACCAGACCCATGCCAGTGGAAGCCAACAAAGAGTCCACCACCATACCCGTTGGGGGCGGTGAATATCCCAAAGGGGAAAATCTCAATCAATTCCGTGCACCGACGATTCATTCACTTCCCAGACATTTCAGCACCAATGAGTGGTTGAAGTTAAAAATGCCGAGACAGAGTTTGAACAAGATGGCCATCCGACCCAGTTTTGGTCTTGGGTATCTCGAATAGTATGACTGTCCATATGGGCATCGGTATCGAAGCCGCAAGAGCGGCCGGTGGATAAACTGTTCGGCAGCCGTCTCGATTATATCAGCCAGATTTCCTGACGGAGGATCGGCATTTGGTGCGCCGATTTTGTGGAGTGTGTTACCACTACCAGTATCACTACCAGCTGTGCCAGTATTGCTGCTATCTGCCTAGGTACCTAGATACTGTACACTATGTAGGAGGTATACTAGTAGAGCAATGCACTGGCGGTTGAGTGATTTATTACTGGGTATACAATTGTATATTCAATTCCATGGATGGCTTTTCTAGCAGTGTAATTCGTTCCCGGATCATCAACACCCAAATCATTCCAGATACTAATACTGTATGCGAACTGGGCTTGCAAAAGCATCCGCCGGTCTATGGCCAAATCATGAATGCACGGGGGCTTTCCAGTGCCTCCTTGCTGCTGTTATACCTTCTCGTACACGGTCTCTTCCCTCCTTCTTTCAGCAGTATAACTTACCCTTTCCCCTCCTTTCCCTTCGTTCACTGCAAGTGCAGTGGCGCCAGCTGCCGCCTCTTCCCTCTCCTGCTCCGCGGCCTCTTGCGCCATCATCTCCTTGAGCTCTTTGCAGAAGAAGCTGTTGTCCCGAATGCGGTCTCCGTACTTGATAAAAGCAAAAGGAATCAAGCACATTCCCAGACTCAGAAAAGCAAGCAGACTGCAAGCCCAAGCCACGCCGAGGGACGAGAACATGCGGTTAGAGGCGAGCGGCAACAATGCGCCGAATATACTGCGACACGTACTGGCTATTCCCTGAGCACTGGCCGCAAAAGTCATATATGAGTCGCTCAAGTAGTTCAGCAAGGCCATGAAGATAAGCTGGAAAGCCATGCCAAATGTCACACCAGACGCCACAGGTGCCAACCAATGCGTACCAGGTTTCGCGCTCCAGCCGATCCAGAGGAGTGACACAACGTACAGCGGTCCGCCGAGACAAGCCAGGGGCAATCGTCGGTATTCCTCTTGGTGAGCCCATTTTGCTTTTCGCTTCTGCGCCTTGGCCAAGTACACGTCCCAGCCCAGAAAGATGGGTGCTGCAAAGACAGAACCAAGGCCGATGGGCAGGAATGCCAAACCTGAAACGCCCCATGACCATCCATACACCGAATCGGGCCCTTGGAAGATGATCGGATATGCTTCGAAATAGAGGTAGAAGATACCGTAAGCCAACGCACAGTACGCACACGTACACATGACAATCACCTCGTTGAAGAGCATGCGATAAGGCCGCGTCATGACCACGGTCACCACATGTCGGAACGTTTTCTTCTGAAGGTCCGTCTTGGCAATGATATCCTGGTCGCCAGTCTCCTGGCGCAGCTTCTTTGCCTTCCGACTCAGAAGGACGGGTGCATAGCTTTCAGGCATCAATGCAATGACAGGTATCATTGCTGCGGCAAAAATCGTCGCGACCCCAAATACCCACCGCCACGTCGTGTTCTCGGAGATAAACCCTGATATGGCGGGCGCCGCCACAGGACCGAACGTGGTAGCGACCATGAACCATGCCATACTTACTCCCCTTTCTCGTGGGTCATTGTAAATGTCCGCGTACAGTCCACCCACAACGGAGATGGGACCAGAGAACCCAATGCCGCACATGAACCGGAAGAAGAGCAGGGCCGGCCACATGGGCGCCACAGCGCAGGCCAGTGTGAATATCGTCGCCAGGCAGAAGAACCCTAGGATGACGGGTTTTCGGCCATTATTCTCAGAGAGAGGAGCGCAAATGGTGGGTCCAACGACATAGCCGGCCAGAAAACACGAGATCGGAAGGGGAAGCTGAACCTGATCAGTAATGTTGAAGTCTGCCGCAATGAAAGAGATCGCTCCGCTTGGTAAAGAAGAGCCCAGGGTGCTATTGATGACAGCAACTATGCCGGTGACGAATATATACAATTTCTTTCGCCGCGGCCAATTATAAGGATTGTCAGGGTCCGTCGAGCTGAAAGATATTATCTTCTTAGGGTCAACCTTCCCCACTTCCAGTTCATCGGGTGCAAGAGACGGTGGATGTTCATCCACACAGCTGCCGTCGTTGTGAGCATTGTGATCTTCTGGCGAAGGAATGGCCTGGTTTTGCGGTGATGGGTCTTCCGCCGGGTCTGAAGTGCCGTGCACCGACTGCCGAGCTTCGTCCGGCGAGCTCAGGCCCATAGTCCAACTTCATGTGCAAGACAAGAGAACCGCTGTGGGCAAAGCAGAGAAGGACGCCAACAGAGAGCAACTGGGGAAAGCGATTGAGACAGAGAGGGCATCATGGGGAATATAAAAAATGCCAATTCTGCCGGAGTGGTGCAAAACGTCAACAGAACGGTGTAATATTCTTGGAGCCCTGGGGGATCCAATTGGAAATGCCAAAAGGAAAGGCCGATCCACCTCTTGGGACCTTGAAGCCATTGACACGATGCTTCATAGGGCGGACTTCAAAAGAACTGGTCTCAACTCGGTTATCACGGCAGAAAAAGGATGAAGTCAAGAGGAGATGCAGTTGGAGTCGGGCCACAATAGCCGAAAATCGTTGTTGCGATCGTTTCAAGTTGGGGTAGCTCCAGATGGACTACTAAGTCTGAAATGGAATAGCGGGCTGCGACTATGTTCTCATTGAGTAATTGTTGGGCATTGATTGTCAACCCTCTCTATTCACTTTGCCAGACATGCTCTGCGGCCCGCATCCCCCTCAGCCTCTTGCCGGACTTGAACTTATACATCCAGAAAGGCGAAGTGCGTGAGTATGATTGCAGGATATGGTTGAGCAGCCTTGGTAGTGGTCAACCTCCAACAGACGAGTCGCCCTGAAGTTGAGGTGGACGTACTCCTAGTTCCAGGGGCTTCCACAGCACGCTCTGGGTTCTGTATACCATCGAGGCCAGCTTGCTCGGCGGAACGTTGCTGCACTGTCAATGGAAGAGAACCGCTTGTTGGAATTGACACCTATGTCTTCTTGGCATGAGACGTAGGGCAATCCACGAGAGCCGTTTCAAAGTGCAAATAACCAAAACCAGCTTGGAATATGAGTACCGTCAAATCTCCCGATGCCGAACGCCATGCTCCAAGTGTACACAAGCTTCGAAATTTTCCTGCAATGCCCGGGCCATTCTGTCCTGTGGTCCTTCATATGTCATGATATCGGTCAGCAAGCTGATCCCTGCCGTGTCACTCTGTTGGTCATGTTGCAAATAGGGTAGGTATCTGCCCCGACACACCCATTTGATGCAAGGCTGTCATGATCCATGCCCTGCAGCTGTCGCAGTCACACCGGTCGTTGTAATCGTTATCCGGCCTGCTGCTGAGCGACTGTTGAGCCAGCTATTGAGCCAGGTAAAGAGGGTGCAGATTTGCTTCCATAGGGTTGAGCACGGATCGCGCCGTAATGGACAAAAGCACCCTTCGTGCTCAGCTAGCCAAAACACATGAAGTTTTTCCAGCCACGACTTCTCGAATTCTCAACTTTGCGATTCATTCTTAGATCTGCGAATTTCTCACCGTTCGGCCCAAGAAGCGAGTCGAATTCATTTGTCGGTGGACTTGACATGGACGCCAGAGTTGCCTTCTTCTTGGAGTTAATGGCAGATGAATAGACATGAAGTTTGGCAATAGGATTCTGTCCTTTGTCGACAGACAGGGGCACATCTGGCTCGACTGTCCCACTGTTTTCATCAATTGCGCCCAAGAGAGTTTGTGGAGGTGATAGTCGTCGCGGTCGCGGTGTCGATGTACTACTATACATGGGCGGCGGAGCGGCCACTGCTTTGGAGACCGATGGCGAAGAAGATGATGATGATATCGAGCTCGAGCTTGACCTGGAGGAGACATATGTGCTCGAAGACGACGTACTATGTATTGAGTCTGGCGGGGAGGGCGTTCGAGAGGTCGGCAAGCCGAAAGCTTGGGTTGCACGGGGCGCCATGGTCGGCTTTGCTAATGTTGGCGACTCCAAGAAACGCGTAGTGCTCGAAGGCAGCTCACTACATGGTCACCATGAGTTTCAGAGGCGGTCTGATACCGAAGGCCGAGACTGGGCTGAGCCGGCTTTACATAGAAGTGAAGTAAAAGGATGAATGCATGATGAGGCGGAGAATAAAGATAGAAGTCATCGCCTGCGGTGGTGCAAGTGACGGAGAAGGCTGACCACAGTCGCGCTGAAAACAAACCTCACACCCTGCGCTACGCGGTCCTCTCGAATCCTTCTACCTTCTCTGCACCATTCACTGCGAGTTCGACACCGTTTGTCGATCTTCCTGAGTCTCCGCCCGCTTAGATTCGCGGTGCATCCCCGGTTCTGCTCGCCTGCAAATGCGATCGACGCCACTCTCTCTACTGATTGGGCCACGCAGGCTGTCAAAGCCCGAAAATTCGACGGAGCTACATGATCCAGCCCAACGGCAGACGAAATATTGGGCGTTGCGCAACCACTAACGAATGGGTATGAAAGCCACGTCGCTCGATGGGGAATTGATGTCCATGCCTAGACTGGCTCCTGACCCTGAGGACGTCTTCAGCCATACGAGCTAGACAGTCGATCGAGTCGATGACGAAAAGTGGCTGCTAATCCTTGCAAAAGTCAAGCGGGCAAATGCAGACAAAAAGCAGGGGTAAGATCGCTTTCGGAGAAACAGATGGACCTGTCCAGCGAAGCATGGTACGATCGTCGAACTCCTTCTACGATCGGGCCTCTGCCAATTGGTGGTTGAGAACATAAAGGACCAAAAGCCGAAAGTCAACCAGTCAGGAACGGCACTTTGCAGGCAAATGCCTGTACTATCAATAAGACGGAGGAAGTAATATGTTGCTGACGTCTCAATGGAAAGGTTTGTCGATGCTACATACAGGCTTCAGCAACCTCGGCTTGCTCACTGCCAGTGCCACATTGGACTCAGAGGCCGCCATTGCCATATCCCTACCTATGTACTTCTTGGATCAGAAACTGACTCAGAGGAACGGTAGGTGAAGGGCGACTGACTGGTATCAGGCGCACCGGTGAAAGGCTAGGCACACCCAGGGCTTGAGAGGAATGACTGTGGGATTGGAGGAAAGCATGCTGCAGGGCAAGCATGCAGCAGAGCCCTCACGCTATGCAAACAGCGAGCCCGGGCCTAGGAGAGCCAGCACAAGTAGCGATGAGAGGTGCTCCTGGCTTGGTCTGTATGCATATGAACATTTTGTGAACTGTTGTGTCGCTACCGTCATGATTCCTTTATTGAGAGGGGCGTCGTTGGCCATTGCTTGTTGTAAGGTTGCGACTTGGAGTTGGTGGTAGAGACGATTCACCCCGGATTCTTCGGCAAAATGTGGTGCCGGTCCGGAGTCTTGTTAAGTCCCTGGTTGTTTAGTCCAGAATCAGTCTGCGGCCTCAAACATCACCACTTCAAGTCCTGGCATGTCGATGGAATACATATCTCTCCATTGCAAACGCGCATCCACTAGACCTCGCAAGACTGCATTCTATACTACCCATTCCATGTGCTCACGATAGCACTGCAATTGCGACCGAGCTCGCCTTTTCCCGCGGGGTGCCGACAGCACACTGAACCGGCCAGCCAGAGCCCAGCGCAACAATGGCCCGCCCGCGCCGCACATCAGCGGCCTCCGACCTCAGTTCCGTCCTGGACCCGAATCAGGTACGTAGAACCAGTCTCTACCTTGGAGTTTGTCTCAACCGGGAACCAAATCAGTTGACGAGAGAAACATGAGAAAGGACAACAGGAACTCGGAAGCATGTACGATTTTCTGGCCAAAGTAGTACTGCTAGGCCCTTCAGGCGCAGGCAAATCATGTCTCCTACACCGGTTCGTCAAACAAGAATGGCGCGTGCTATCATCCCAGACAATCGGGGTGGAATTCGCCTCCAAAATCGTCAAGGTCGGCTCGGGCCCCACGCGGCGACGCATCAAACTGCAGCTCTGGGACACGGCGGGCACCGAGCGTTTTCGCTCCGTCAGCCGGTCGTATTATCGTGGCGCTGCGGGCGCGATTTTGGTCTACGACGTCGCCAGCCTCGCGAGTTTCAACGCCCTGCCGACTTTCCTCAGCGACGCCCGCGCCCTGGCCAGTCCGAACTTGACTGTCATTTTGGCTGGGAATAAGGCGGATTTGGCGGAAGATAAACAACAAGCAACGAGACCGCAGGCGGCGTCGATCACGAACAACTTCATCAATAATACAGATACACATACTACACCATTCTCTCAAGTGGACCATAATCTTACACCCTCGGCCTCGAGCGCGTCAAGTAGACAATCATATTTCCCTTTCGAGTCCAGTGGGACGGGAACAGGAGTTTTGTCGTCCTCGACACGCTCGCGCGGCGACTCGATCAGCCAGTCCCTCCACGCTGGGAAATGGACCGCCACGACGTCCAGCGAGGGCCGAGAAGTGACGCCCGACATGGCGTCGCGATGGGCATCCAAAGTCCACATCCCGGCGACTATGGAAGTCTCAGCCTTGACAGGCGAGAACGTCGACGAACTCTTCGCCCGCCTTGCCCGCATGATCCTTACAAAGATTGAATTGGGCGAAATCGACCCGGACGATCCCGCCAGTGGCATCCAATATGGTGATGGCGGGGGTCTTTGGGGGGATGGCTCGAGCACCCGCTCAGGCACCGTGGTCGACGATGGCCGAGGAAGCACGCTCAGGAGACGGAGAAGAAGAGGTGGAGCCGCAGATCGGAGCGGTGTTCTCTCTGGCCTGAGGGAGTGGGAAGATGTCTTCCGCCGGCCCGCTTCTGGAGGCGGTCCGCGCTGCTGTTGAAGCCTGTCATGTCTCGTTCAAGTTTGTCTTTGGAATGTCCCGAATAGAGGGACTCGTGGCTCAGGCTGTGTCCACCAAATTTTGGATTTGAAAGAATTGTGGCTACATGCGGAAAGAAAAGGAGCAAGCGCAGGAGTTCACGGTTCTTGGGCCAGCACACCGTTGTGTGTGTATTTTGTTTTTTCATTCTTGGGATCATGGCAATGACCTATAGCTTTATGCGTCCTTGCGCTGGTCCGCAGCGGGTGCAACTAATGTCTAAAACTTCAACTTTGAGCAGAGCAAGAACCTGCCTAAGCGATCTGCTCTGCTTCTTCATGAATTCTGTTTGTCCACAGCCATGGACATCTCCCCGTCGACGCCCTGTCCTCGGTCAACCTGAGGCCCAAGCTTCTCACAGATCTCCGCGAACTCGACCTGCTTCTGCAAATACTGAGCCGCACTCAGGGCCTTCATAATAACTGCTTTGTTCCTCTCTGTCGTGGCAGCGCGGAAACTCCTAACCAAAAATTCGGACAAAGTTGCGACACTCCAGTCTTCAGGGATATCTTGCAGGATTTTCAAGGGGTCGAAAAATGCCGCAAATTTGCCGAGGAGATGGCTTGCACGTTCAAGGCGGTCTTCCTCGTCTTCAATGATGAGAAATTCGTGGAGCAAAAAATCAAAGAGCTCTTGCTGAACTTCCCTTGGAGGAAGGGCGCTGGCGTCGACTGTGTGAGCGGACGCCGGGGCCGGTCCGCCAAAGTAGCAGTATCGTGTTGCACTGTCATAGTCACCCAGCCCGTGAGTTAAAAGACGCAGTGCTTCCTTGTGACGGCCTTGCCTGGCATCGAGGATGATCGACTCGGAAACAAGGTAGGAGGAGAACGGCGCCATGCGTTCAAGAACCATAGGGACCGAATAAGTCAGTTCTTTGCTTGCCACGCCGGTTGATGCATAGGAACCACTCCCAAGGAGTTGTAGAAGTCGCAGGCGAGACTGCCACCATGACTCTGGAGGTGCATTTTGGTGAATGAAATCGAGATAGGTGGGCTTCGGTGATTCCAGAGCTCGATAAGTCGAGTAGCTCTCAGCAAGCGATGTTCGAGCCTCTTCGGAGCCTTCCAGGACCGTGAGAACCGAATCAAGGTAGTAGCCAATGAGATCATCGGCATATTTGTCCAGGTGCTTTCCGAAGACCAGATGCTCTAGGTACTGCTGTACCGCTGCAGGCGCTCGGTCCTTCAGAAGTGCAACGATGTGTTGGGGGTCGAACTTAACCCTTGCATTGTCGTCGGTGAATAACTGAATCGCCAGGCTGGGATTCCGCTGTGCTAGCCAAAAAGCATAGTCCTGCACGACGTTGGCATCACGGACAAGCGTCAGATACCGTCTCATCTGACCCTCAATGTATTCCGTGTTTGAACCGTAGTCGGCATCCTTCTCGCCTTCGAGTATTCTTTTCCATGTTCTCAGCACATCACGAGCCTGCTTCCTGCTCTGGTAAAGACGACTGAGCACAAACAGCCGATCATGCTCTTCGAGAAGGCGAATGGCACGGTCAAAATCGCCCTTCCAATTGTCAACGACATTGTTCAACTTGGCCCGAACCGACCGCTGTGCTGGACTGTCTGCTGGCAACACTCGGTCGAGGTAAAGAAGCACATGAAGTAGGCCAGCATCCACGGAGTCAAAGACATGCTTGTCATCTGTAATGCTGCCGTAGCCTCGCTTGTCCTGCCACAGCATGAGAAAGTGCCTCATCATCATCCAGAACTCTATCGGGGCAGTCTCAAACTGCAGGATTGAGGGCAGGAAGTCTTGTAGGAGATCATCAATCCCTTGATGGAGCCAGATACCCTCGGGCCCATACACAACCTCCGCGGCCAGTGGTGGGGTCAGAAGGAGAACGATTCGAGGATCCAAACCACCATCATGTAGGACGTTTTCAACCGCTCTAAACATCTCCTCAAGGATTGTACCGGCTGAGACCTGGCTCTCGAGGTGAAGGAAAAGGATCAAGCTTGCTTTTTGTCTGATATAGTTAAGCGTGAGGAATTCTGTCTCGTCGTGTGGCTCACGGCCATGGATACTTGCCAGTAGCCCGAAAATCTGGCTCGGCTTCACATTAGCAGGTTTACCATCAGCCAGACACTGTGCAAGTCGATGTTCCAGCTGACATATCAAAGGGTTCTGGAGTATCATAAGCAAGTCCTTTCCCTGCCAGACAAGATTCCTACTGAAGGCACGACCAAGTCGCTTTGCCAGCTTTGCCTCATCGGCAGCACGTTTTTGGATAAGTTCGTTCGACGTGTCGTCAGACACAGTCAAGGGCTGGCTGTCAAACAAAGCACGTTCTTGCTCCAGTTGCTCGACCGCCGATCTCGTCCGCTCGTCATCTTTGAGAGCTTCGTCCTCATTATCGACTGCTGGCTTCGTGGTGGACAAGGGCACAAGCTGCAAAAGATCCCCAACCATACGGAAGTAGTGCCGATGAGTGCTCAGTGTATGGCGAAGACCGGCTTGAGCATTGGCTACCGTTTCAGAGGGCAATTCAACAAGACTTCTTGGATGTAATAGTTCGGAGGCGTTTTCCAATCTCTGTATCTCCAATCGGCCGGACGGGCTGTCAGTCTGGCGAACCAATGCAATAACGACGGGACTTTCATTCTCCGGCATCACGGGAATTTCGTGTTCTGGGACCCAGAAGTTGTCCACTAACAGATCCTCTGGATATGCTTCGAATTCGATTGTTCCTCGGACGACATCACCGTCTAGATTCACAAACATACCCACACCAGGTTCTGACTCACTCGTGCCAGTTGTGAGCATAAATTCAGTAGGAAATGGCGACAGTATGTGAGGTCTCAGGCGTTTTGCAGCAGCTTTGCTACCAGTATCCGTGGAGACTTTGGCTTGAGGTGCGTCCGTTGAGGCACGAGGACGTGTCCTCGTCTCTCCCGTTGCCTCCCCATTCCCGCCAGAGGACGTTACGCCAGGGTCGGGAGACAGGGGCGGGACGGAACCTTTGGCGACCCCACCTGACTCGGCCTCTGGTTGATGCTGTGGCAGTTCATCGCGCTCTTTCGAGGCCGGCGTGGTGAGATTTCCCATGCTTGTACTCCGACCATGCCCGCTCTGGTCCGTTGTAGGAAGCAACCGTACGGGTATCCCGGCATCGCTGGCAGTATTTGTTTCGTCTGGTTCGGCAGAAGAGATAGGAAACAGAGGAATTTTCTGCTGATGCTCGACGTCCAACAGTGCATAGCTAGTATTGTCGGCCACACAAGCAATTGTGTCTCGCCTGCTCGATTTTAGACACCCAGGATATTCAATATTATTGCGGATTGCTTTCAACCGCTCGCCCACCCTGACTTGTAGTATTTTCCGTGCAGTCGCGATCATGACCACCTGCCCTTCAGGGTTGTCCAAGTCCTCGTTCTCGTCGATGCCGCCAATCCATTGCACTCCTGTGGGCTCCCTGTTGGGAAACGCCGGACTGAACTCCGGCAGAGAGTAGAATGAAACAACTCCATTGCAAAGCACACACGCTTTCAGCGGGCCGGGGATGAGAAGTATCTGCTGGATGCCGGGCGCATTGCCAGGATTCTGAGAAGCAGCATGCCCGCTCGGCTGCAGCCGTGAGGCAAGTATGAAAGTCGGCGGTGCAGTGTCCTCCTCCTTACCAGAAGGGATACAGACCAAATGTAGGATTTCGGCGGCAGAGGTCCCAATGTACAGGTTGTTGTCTAGTCTATATTAGAAGCTGAGCCATCGTGCGCAGCGGAGCCTCACCTACTCCAATATTCTACACATGTTATAGAGACCTCTTCCACTCCTTGCTCTGTTGCCAATGGAATATCTTCCAACACATTGCGGAGGACATACGGACCCGGTTCAGGCGGAGAGAGTCGTCGTCGTTTGGCTGCTCGTTCGTCAGCGGGATCGACAGCGGCAGCCATCCCAGCTGCCGGCGTTAGAACAGTGAAGGTCTATTGCTCATAACTGTCACTGGTACAGCAAGTGGTCAAGTCTGCAGCTGTGCACAAGCACCAGCACAGCCAGGGTGGATTGTCTCCCGTTGCAGTGTTCACTTGTGGTTGTAGTACTACTTACAGTTGAACGCGGCTGGAGTTGCGCTTTCTCCGCGTTGACGCGCCGGAGACGTACGAAGCCTCGTCTGTAGTAGTTCAAGGCGAAGTGTTGTCTTCTCCATTGAACTGGTCCCCTTCCGTCGTCTCAGTCTATGCATGACCGCATATCGCGGAGCCTGACCCTACAATCCGGCGGCTTACGCTGGTGCCATGGACACATTAGCTGTGACTGAGGCCGATCGCCTGGGGCCAGAGCACGATGGTCCTCCACTGCAGACCGCGACAGAGGAGCGATCCCCTGGCGCTGGTGAGAACAAATTTCAGAAAGCCCTGGCAGCATGGCGAAGTAGGTCTCCGGCCTCCCTATAGTGATACAATGTACTGATCTCCCAGATATCAATCTTTCGGCGCTGATGCCGCAGCTGGACTCTACTGCATCGGAAATCGTTGCCCATCAGAGAGATGCGTTACTCGAGCGAAAGGAACTGGCTCAGAAGACCAAAGACTTTAGGAAATTGGAGGATGCGGCCAAGCTGACTGAGTACAAGGCGCTGTTGAAGTGTTGGTCATCTTGCAACCTCGTCGCCGAGTCGTACTAACGTTGTACAGCCTACCAAGGGTTCATTGACTTGATCACCGGACATGGAAAGACTGCGTCGTCCGCGTTCCTTCAACTATACCAATCGCTCTCTGATGCGCCTGACCCATTCCCTCTGTTAGAGGCATCCATCGACTCCCTCGTCGCCTCTGAAGATACCGTCCCGAAGCTGACCGCCGAAAACCAACAACTGCTGTCACGAGTCAATAAACTATCTGCACAGCTAGAAGAAACAGAAAAGAAGCTACAAGAGGAGAGTCAGGCCAGAAGCAATGCCGAGGCTGGAACTAGCGTTCTCGTCAAGGAAGTGGAAGAGAAGTGGGCAAAGGTATTGGAGGAGAAGCAAAACAACTGGGTTGCGAAGGAGCGAAGCCTTGAAGAGAAAGCCGAGAACCAAGAAAGAGTAATGAAGGAACTGAAGGCCAGCTACGAGGTCTCGCAGAGGCTGCAAGAAGGCTCCGTTGAACAGGCCGCGTCCAAAGCCGCAAGTGTGGAGTTGGAAATGATCAGTTCGGAACTCGAGAAGACAAGTGCTCGCCTTGCGGAAATGGAGGCTCGGAACGAACAGCTGCGCGTGGACCTTGCTCGAGCGACGTCACAGAACGCGAAGAGCCATGATGTTGAAGATGACCCTTTGTTTCAACGTTTGCAATCCGAAAATTCCTCGCTCCTGAGGAAGATTGAACAAGCACGCTTCGAGAGAGACAGTGAGAAACGTAAATGGGAGGATAGGCTCCGTCAAGTGGAAAGACAACGTGCACAACTTGCGGCCGACAACGACGATCTACGCGCTAAAGTCAGCAAATGGTCAGACTACGAGGACCTCAAAAGAGAGCTGGATACCCTCCGGTCGATTGAACTGTCAATTGAAGGCGACGACGATGAAGCTGAGGTGGGTTCGGATGATGTAAAAGAAAACGGCTCGAAGCAGTCCTTGGAACAGCTTCTACTCGCACGGAATAAAAAGCTAAGCAACGACCTGACATTACTTCGAGTCTCCTATCAGGACCTCCAAGCCCAGTACGAGGATCTTCAAGAAGAGCTCTCTCGCACCAATGCAGAACTGGAGAAATCCCAGAAGCTGGCGTCGACGTTAGAAAACGATCTGCTCCGGGTACAAGAGGAAGCTGCAAATGCGCTTCCATCCTCCGGAATGTCGGTGGCAGGCACCTATGTCTCGCGACATCCCACCAGCTCATTGCGTCGAGGCAGGGCTTCACCAACTTCTTCGATCATCTCTGGTTACGAGGTGCAACCTAGAGGCAGCACCCTCGAGTCATTGCGGGCCGGCGAGCCAGTTGGAGGAGGATCTGGTATTCTCCCCATGATCCAGGCTCAACGCGACCGGTTTAAAGAGAAGAATCAGCAGCTTGAGGAAGAGCTCGCCAAAACATATGCTACGGTTACATCCCTCCGACAAGAGGTTGCCTCGCTGCAGAAGGATAACCTCAACTTATACGAGAAGACAAGATATATCTCTGCATACAGCCGAGGACCGACCACGACGTCGTCTTCCTCATACTCCGGTGCTCCTGGACATACCGCAGTATACACTTCGGACGACGCCACTTCGGACCGGTGGAAGTCGCAATATGAAGCCAACATCTCCCCGTTTGCCGCGTTCCGTGGCCGCGAGGCTGCTCGAGCCTACAAACGCATGAGTTTCCCAGAACGGATCATATTCTCACTCACGCGAATTGTTCTTGCCACAAGGACATCGCGCAACCTCTTTGCTGCATATTGCGTGGCCCTCCACGTTTTGGTTTTCCTAATGCTCTACTGGATGGGCACCACGGACGTGGAGCGGAGTGCCGTTCGCCTGGGGGAAGCGGCCGCCGTTGGGGCTGTAGGAGGGCGGTCTCCTGACTCTCACGGCGCGGACTGGCACCAGGAAGACTTTGGATAGCATCTGCCGATATTGCTGTGACCATGAGCAGAATGCTGCTCCCTTCAGCGACGCTACAGTACATCTGACACCTAACATTCCTCATTTTGCCACTTCCTCGTCCACCGAGCTCTAGTCTGGATTACTGATCAACAAGACCCTTAGATCGGTAGATGAAGCTCTCTCGCCTGCAGCTTATCCAATCTGCCGGAAGTGGTCGCATCGAGAGGAAAATCAGTCGCAGTCGTCGCTCGTTCCGCCTATTTCCCATGCTGAGGGGTTCGTCAAGGCTAAACGCCGGAGCTTGAATAGAGGTTCAAACTATGCGATGCCGGAGTTAGTCCCGTGAAATTTGAGCCGATGCGGACTGTGCATATCTCTTTCATTCCGGCAGTTCCAGAACAGGGCCAAAAGTAGAGACTGAGATTCGCCTTTCGGGCAGCGTGGAACTATGTTTCAGGCGAGCGTTGGATATGGAGACGGGTTAGACAAGCTCGGTGGGCAGCGATCTCTGCGGGTTGGGGTGCGCATGTCCTGTGCGACTTCTTGTACACTGTATAACTTCATATCTAGCGTCCGTTTAGTGGTTCCCAGAGCTACAGTTGAGTTAGGACCCATGATATAACGCGCGATCTATAGGGATGAAACATAGGGCGAGGGGCTATAGCGTGCATGTTGACGAGAATCGTCCGACACAAGTCACCCAGAGGATGATATGATGATATTGCATTCTGCCGTGCGATGAGGTGCAAGGCTCGCACTCAGGAGCAGGAGGCGCCGATGGAAATGTTCCATCTTTCGTCGACGGCGACATCGCTTAGAAAACAAGAGATTAGGCGGAGAGAAGACGGCACTGGGGGGCATCGAGAGGGCTGTTCGCCGCGTGTCGGACTTCCATTGCCGCGCTTAATCAGGCTGACCGGCGCCAGATTCCAAACACGTCCAGCGCTGCACACTGCACGAGCAGTTCAATCCATGGCGATACAACTGTATGCAATCCTATGCCCTTTATGATCCGCACCCAGAGGATTGTCGAGCTCCGACGCCGCGTTACGGTCGCCTAAGCGCGCCGCGACACAGTCAGAATCCTGCACTTGCGCCTCCTTCGTCGCGATTCCTCCCTGTCAGCCGAAGACGAGTTGGAATCAGTTGCCGGCGACGGACCGTCGGTTGCTGCTCGTGAAAGCCGCAAAGACGGCACGCAACACCCTCAAGTTCCCCGGCGCAAGGATCAATTCCCGTCCAACTCCCTGCCGCAGCTGCAACTGTACACGGCCAACAGCCGGGCCTTGCACTGCTTGCTCTGCTTGCACCTAATGCGCGTCATGCGTTGGTACAATGGCGAAGCAAGAATCAAGAGCTCTGCCTGGCTGGGCAGCGGTTGCAATGGCGGCTATACAAGGACGAGATGGATTGGGAAGACGAGTAAGAGCCCAAGCCTGGGGTAAGGGCATGGAGCCGAGCTGTCAAGATGGTCAAACCGCAACCAAGCATCCACCCCCGGCGGCAGGGTTTCTGAAACGAACCACAAGACTGGTCAATCAATCTAGCAGAGACCCTCTGGCTCGTCTGCAAGGGTGGTGTTGGTGGGTGTTGGGTGTGAGCGCCAATGCGCGTCTTCTATTCTTGTCCTCCACGACCCCATGTCGATCTAAGAAACGGCTGGGCCAAATCTCCCCTTGCCGCCTCGTGTTGCCCTCGATGCCACCGAACCATCATCCACCCTTCGATGGCCCAATCATGGAGAGCTGACCGCCGAAGATAGAAACACCGCCCCTACCTGAGGCTACCTCCTGCCATCCTGCAGTCCAAATGAGCAGTGGCCTATCTTTTGTCGAGATGGACAGTCCACTTCGAAATGTCATATATGATGGCGGCTGGTCCCAGACAAGGACCACGGCTGTTTCCCTGGTTCCTTCTCATCATATACAGTTCAACGGTCCAACTTGGTCCAGCCCTTTCATAGTTCCTTCCGTTTTCTTTTTTCCCAGTCTCAGCAAGACCTGCCGGCCAGAGTCTACCGTTCAATAATACTACCGGTAATATCTATATCGTCCCAGTTCTTTACTCTTCAACCGTCACCATGAGACACGCTGCGTGGCTGCTCGCCTCACTGGCGACCACAGTTCTTGCTGCTCCAACCCCGACCAAGAGGGATGCCGCCACAAGTACTACCTGGACTCCCACGTTAGCAGGATACTTCGACACCGTCTACAAATACATTGAAGAAGTCAAGCGTTCGAATGGATCTGGGCCTACCTGTGACCTATCCAAAGCCAAGATGCCCACCGGCACCGCTCCCTTACCAAGTCCTGACGGCTTGACGCTGGCACACGTTGCTGTCGGACGAGGTGTTCAGGTATGCTTGAACCCCCGTGGACAATCTTGTTCCTGCTAACAAACATTGGCAGAACTATACTTGCGCAAATTCCACCGCCACTCCCGCCGCTGTTGGCGCCGTCGCCAGTTTCTTCAACGCCTCCTGTGTGGCCGCGGACTATCCTGATCTGCTCGAGCTCATGCCTGGCGTCGCCTTGGAGTTCCCTGTTCCTACGGGCAACAGTCTTCTCGAGCCGTCCGCTCTCGGTCTCTCCAGTCACCACTTTTTCTCAAACACCACCACGCCTGTCTTTGCTTTTGATGTTCCCACGGGTCCGCAATTGGGCACTGTGACGGGACAGAAAGTTCATGATTGTCCCGCCCCAGTCAATGCTGTTGTTGGGCCCAATGGTAAAGGAAATGGCGCCGTGGCATGGTTGCACATCACTGCTCGGTCTACCACTATAGGCAACATCAAGGCCGTCTACCGACTCAGCACGGCTGGAGGCAGTCCGCCCGCAACATGTGCCGGCCAACCAGCTGCCTTTAGCCAAGACTACTCTGCTATCTATTGGTTTTGGGAGTAAAGGGAGGAAATGCACATGATTCTGAGGGCGGCCTGCGTCGCATTTTTTTGTAGAAATCGGCGTTGGGGAAAGGCTTTTCTTCTGGTAACAGATACAATTGTTGTGAGACATGGTTCAATCACTACCTAGGTATTGAACATCTCCTGCATGGTCTGGGTAATCAAAAACCTGGCAGTACATAGCCAACACAGTTTATCGACAACAAAACGCTCCAAGACGGGGACCAACACATGGCTGGAAATGCCTACCTAGGTAACAGTTATGGGCCGGGGTGGTTGGTGGTACAGTGGCAGTGGCAGTGTTCAGGTGCCAGGGCGGCTCTGGACTCTTTCTTAGCTCAAACTCGTCAAGCGACTCGGGGCGCGTAGGTGGTAGTCGTAGTAGTACTATAAGTAGTACAATGATGTGGTTATAGTTAGTTTGCTGGTGATTGGTGAATCAGGCGAACAACCGTGGCGCTGGCAGGGCGCTGGCAACGCTGAAGTTAGCAATGTGCTTTGAGCCATTGCGGGAGAACCCTATTCGGAGAAATTCGAGAATGAATCCGACAGCCTGATGCAGCCGTCCATCATCATCACTCCTACTACTTTCCCATTTCCTGTCTCATCTACTCGACTCAACCGCATCATACACCTCGCGTTCCTGAAACTATGCCCAACATGCAACCAATGGCAATGCACAAGAAGTACGCCTCTGTCACCACAGCAATGACGCGGTATCTTGTGAGCGCGTGAACGCGTTCGATTGGAATTATGGCCCAACCAGTAAGTACCTAGGTGAATGAAGTGATTGATAATGTAATAATAAAGATAAGGTTCATCTCCGACGTTGTCGATTTCGGTGGAGCCAAGTTCTGGACCATGATGATCGATCTGCTGCGGGTCTGGGGATCCATCAGGCGTGCTCCAGCTCGAACTCCACAGCTTCAAGATGAAACGAAACGAAACAAGCTTTGCGTGAAATTTAAACTCCAAGATCTCGCTGGAGAGGTGGACATTATGGAAGGTTTGCAATGTGAGTGGGTTAGGGAAACGGATTCTGGTATAACGTGTGGTGGCCGCATTCCGATTTCTTAAGGGGAGTTCAACTTCAATCTATGTGAGGCTGCCCAGTTCAAACTATGAAAGGGTTCAATGACGTGCATGTGTGTCTACTGTGCAACTCAATGGGCCAGCATCAGAAGTCGAATTGGACAAGATCGATGTGCAATTGGACAGGACAAATGTTCGCCATCGGTCGCGTCACTTCGTAGGAGACACTCCTCTTCCGTCTCTCATCCGTCATCCGGTAGGTTCGCGTGCTCAGGCTTGGGAGAAAAGGTATAAGTCTCCTGCTCTCCCTCTTCCAGTGGCTCGTTCCCTCTTTCTCCTCGACAGAGTTGACTCGACGCTCATGCCACTGCTTCACATGGGATACCACGCTTCTGCCACACAATGCAGCATCACACTACAGCATACAGCATACAGAAACGACAGGGCACACAGCAGTACACAGGCTGACATAGCCACAGCAGCTACAGTCTCAGAACACACACCTGCAGCAATATACCAGCATTGATCCACAGCAACTCATACGAAGCAATTTCCTGTGGACATTCCTTGCGAGCAACATGCCATAACGTATCCATGTCATAAATCAATGCGCACTCACTCTTACCAGCATCCGACCGCCCAAAGATGCATCATCCATGCCAGGGTGCGGGAAGCTTTTCAGGGAAACGAGCAAGTCTCCGAGGTTGTATTCTCCTGGGTTGGGAAGTACTGCAAGGGCCAACTCCAAGGCACCGTTGACGAAAAGTTTCGTTCGGCGCGACGACTATTGAAGAGGGAATCATGATGCCCGACAATGTCCAAGAGAGCTCCGGGCGGCATTTGCCTTTGGCTGCGAGGCGGCCCATTGCTACGGGGATTCCGGGAAAGAAGACTCTGGAACAAGAAGCTGTCGCACGTCGTTGATTCATCCGTGAGGAATCAGGTCGCTGGTGGAGGCATGAAAAGCGGCGGAGAACCACGTACCGGGTACACTAAGCTGACGGCGGGATAACGAGAACTCATTGATCGATTGACGCAGAACAGCGAAGTGCAGCTGAGCCTTTTACAGCAAAGCAAATTGAACTTGAGATGGGAGCATAAGGAGATGATGAAACTGTTCCCGAGCCCGGGCATCAGGAGAGAGAATCACCGTAGGTGAATGAGTTACTAAACTGGTGATGTTGGCCACGTCGTCCACCCATGCCAGAGGATAGTGCCGGTTCAGAGAGCATGCCTGGCTCCCACTTGGACAGAAAGATCAGAAGCTGAACCGTCCGGTGGTCTCATCATAGGAAGACAGCCTGCCTAGTGTACAGTCATGGGCCGCCAACGTTGACGAACAAAACGAGGCACTTCGGCCAGCTTTGATTGCTTCGTGCACCATGAGCGACCTAGGCGGCACTCATCCACAAGACATTCCTCGCGGCCCTCGACGAGAGCAAGGCGTCCCCTCTTCGAAAATCTATTAGCTGGGAGCCGCTCGCCACGATGGACTTATCCTTCCATGCTCTGCCCAATGCTGCTTACTCACCATAGTTTCCTGGGCTACGGAATGCCGAGTCGCACTTAAACGACGGTCACAGATTAGCAGTGCTGCAGTTTCGAAGCAGTAGACAGCTCGGCATTTCGTTCAGGCCTGACGAGCTTCATACCGCAGTCGACCCCGTCATGGACACATATAGCGGAAGGAGGTACAAGAGGTCTTCCGCGCGCCCAGAGCTTGCCTGATCCTGGACAAGGCGGGCTTGCCGTCCCGAGCCGAATGGCGACCATAACAGCATGGAAGATTGCTTTTTTCTGCCGACAACCCATCACCTCCGCCGCGTCCATCGAAACGTCGATACCAGGCAAACTCATTCCATACAGCAGTGGCGAAGATCAAGCGAACAGAACCCCCACATGATCATCGTTGAGAAAGTTGTGCCGATGAGAGAGTTGTGCGCAGAGTGCAGAGCGGATCTGTGGTGTCTTTTACCTGCTCAAATCAACCATTCGTACAGCATAGTTAAAGGTAATACTAGTCGCTGAGGCCTTTGTGCGCGAAACCACTGCACGCCACGTCTCCCAGGATCCACTGCAGCTCATCCCACACCACCCGATGTCCACCAATCATGCGAAACATCTCCTCGGGCAGGTCCGAGTCTGGCGATCTAACAGTCAGCCTTACCCCTCCGTGCCCCGACTGCCCTGACTATGATTGGATTCCTTGCTCGTCCCCCTCGCTGTCTCTTGTTTTCCAGACCCTGGATTCGCACATGTGTATGTGACACCACGCACAAAACCCTCACAGAAAGACCCTCTTTTCTCTAAACGTGGGGCAAGCATCTGCTGGTCAACTTCAGCTCCGTGTGTATATATACCTCCCTGTGTCTTTTGTTTTCTCCCTCTTCACTCTTCACATCAACATCCAGAAGTCATCAGAGCCCAAAAACCACTGAACTAGCCAAGAACCACAGAAAGAGAATCATCGTCTCTCTTCGAAAAAGTCCAACACTCTACACCACCAAAAGAAAACCAAAACCAACACCACAAAAATGGGTCCTTGCTCTTGTTCCGGTCCATCGAGCTGCCAGTGCGGCTCGTCGTGCAATTGCACTGCTTGCGGTGTAAGTTTATCTACCCATCCCTTCCTCTTTTCTCTCCCCACTTGATCGTCTTGACTCGGTCTGTCTGGTAATCATAATCTAACGGACTTTCGTGGTATAGCACTAAACAAAACCCTACGCGGCTGTGTTCAACAAAAATGCCAGAAAAAAAGAGTTGGGGATTTGGGAGACCTTGTCGGGACATGAACTAAGGGGAGGGGTATAGCAAGCCACGGGCAACAACAAGCGCCTCTTTACCCTTGAGATCTGCCATTTCGGGTACTCTATGGAATGGCAAGCCTGGCTGCCGAGTTGGAAGACAAGCAATTGAGTGGTGTCTGTCCTGGGGGAGGAAAACGGGCAGTACCTGTAGGGGACTGTATATAGGCTTGAAAACGTTCGTTTAGCGCCAACAGATCCTCAAGCCTGAGGCCCCAAATACCGACTCTTTGAATTGGCTTGTTACCAAATCAAATCCTCTTCACTTACATATGGACAAGGACACATTGTAGTATTTGTACAACGTTGTAGTATTGTACCACCTGATCAACAGTAAAACTGGTCTTTGTGTTCCTCTTTGTCCAAGACCGGGGGAGCGGGGATTTTTATCTTAGGTATCTCGACGGCAAAACTTGAACTGGGAGCAACAGTGTTCCTTTGCCAAGACCTCGGCATCCCTGGACCTCGCAGCCTTGTGCCTCGCCTCATTCAAGTCCACTGGCATCACTGCACTGCAGGGGAAGTGCCCAGCTGCAAGCTAGCAAGATGCAGCTACGCCCTGCTTCAATCAGGTGAGATGGGGATGACGATCTAGACTATACTCTCACGGGTCAGTTCTTCAAAAGCATGGCAGAACCGCATAGCCTAGAGTCAACCCGAGACGGAGAATTGGTCTCTCTATCTCTACAGTTTGCAAAGGCGTCGAGCTAGCCATATCAAGACTGCGTTGCCTAATACTCATGCAGTGCATTTTGAACAGCTGCTGCTGTGCATACTGTGTGGATTTTAATTGCTGAGCCTGGCTGCTCTGGCGACGACGCTGGACCTCCCTTCCCCTAACACTCGGCCTCTTTGTTGTATCTTCTGCCATGCCTTGAACCGACAGGAACGACCACACCGAGTGTGCACTGGCGTTCGTATGTCCAGCAAGGGACACGAGCTACACGTTGCCGGCCTGCTCTCGAGGGAATGGGGGGTGGCTGCTAGTACCCAGAAATGGGTAATCCAGTTGCGAATGAGTACCTACCAAAGGTACATGGCATTGCATTGAAGAATATCCTTGGCGTTTCCCACTGCCAACCTCCCGATTTGAAGAAATGGCAAATATCATAGGTGTCTAACTGTGGTATGTACAACGTTGTATGGTATAAGTTTGTTTCGTCTGTCTTGATTGGCTCACGCAGGAGGTACCTTGGCGAGTGCGAGTGAGTATAGCGGTGTGGTAGTCATCATCATGGGGGCCTCGGGCTCCGAGCATCCAAGGCATTATTGATCGAGTACTATATGTTAGATGTTATGTTGTGGAATTGATTCGCTTCGGGTTCTAGACCACAAACGGCTGCCTACCTATGGAGATAGTAGTACTACTATGCACTCTAGCGCGGATAAGATTGGATTAGGGATCCATCCTTTGAAACTGCCCGACGTCCGGACGTACTTTCGGATTGCTCCCACGGTGAGAGATGACCAGCTTGGCCCAGCAACGCTAACCTGAACATCGCTGTCGAGACCGAGTGCCGGTCAAATTGGCTACTTTCATCGTGAAACCTCCAAGTCCATCCCAACAATAGGCCCCCGCCGTGGTAGTGGCAGTGCTTCTATCCGCTCCCGCTCTCAAAGATTACCATTCGCTGGAACGGGAAAGGTCCGTGCTCTCGAGGCTCTCTAGACGGCATCTATTAAAGAAGGCCCGTCAGCCGGCGAACACGGTCAGTTGCGAGATCTACTGCTACACGTTATATATGCCAACCTTCTTGAATCTCGACACTTGACGGAAACCCTCTTTTGGATCCCATCAGACAAGCCCCGAGCCGAGCATACCGTCCTGCAGATACAGCAGCAGCAGCAACGCCCAGTTCAACCCGAAAATGAAAGGCCATACTTACATGACCGTCGCTTTCGCGTCGTGGCTGCAACTTGCCGCGTCTGCGATATGGCAACCGGCCGTTGGTACGACGTGGAACATTCAACTGCTCGAACCATTGTCGAAAGCATCAACCAATGGCCTCCAGGCCTGGGACATCGATCTCTTCGACAACAGTGCAGCCATAATTTCAGGCCTGCAAAAGAACTCGAGCAAAGTCATCTGCTATTTCTCGGCCGGAAGCTACGAGCCCCAGCGGCCGGACTCTGGAAAATTCACCAAAGCCGATCGCGGAAAAGGACTCAACGGCTGGCCGGGCGAGTATTGGCTCGATGTCAAGTCCCAAAATGTCCGCAACATCATGGTCGATCGCATCAAGTTGGCCAAATCCAAAGGTTGTGACGCTGTCGACCCGGACAATGTCGACGGCTATTCCAATGACAACGGCTTGGGCTTGACCAAGGCAGACGCCGTCGACTTTGTCAAATTCCTGGCGGAACAGGCGCACGCCCAAAACATGGCGATAGGTCTGAAGAACGCCGGGGACATCATCCCCGATGTCATTGACCTTGTCCAATTCAGCGTCAACGAGCAGTGTGTCGAGTATCAAGAGTGCAGCACCTTTGAGCCTTTCATCCAGAAAGGCAAGCCGGTCTTCCACATCGAATACCCCAAGGGCGACAATACCAATAATAACAAGCCGGTTCCCGCGGCCAAGGCGAACAAAATATGCAGTGATGGCGCATCGCAGAAATTCTCCACACTTCTGAAGAACATGGACCTCGACGCCTGGATGCAGACTTGCGATAACAAGGGCGTCCGATCTACGAGTGGTGCAAGCAAAAGTGGGAGATAAAAACGATATCGACCTGGCGGACCTGGACCAGAGTCACGCAAATGGCCATGTCACGCCATCATGATCTCACGCGTGAATGGATGCAAATCAAGTAGCCAAGTTCATTGAACTGGGTGTTGAGGAATCATCGCTTGTTTCTGGACAGAAACAAGCTTTCATTGGCTGGATTGTCTTCGGTACCTCTTCCTCTGTCCGCCGCATGCGTAATATAATCAGCCGAGCGCTGTTCGTCGTGATCATGTGTCCTGGGAAACACGGCGCCAGCCGAAGGAACTGGACTGTGTCGTAGCGGAAGAAATTATTGCGAGCTTCCAGCATGTTTCTAAGGCCCGCGGAAGCTCCGGCAGTGACGGAGTGTTGTCGTGTCAACCGTAGGCTGCCGTGTGCGTGCCTGTTGCCTCCAGGACGTCGAGGGGCGCATTGACCTGGTCGGTGCTGTCGAGCCTACCTGACTCAGATCCTGGTTTTTGTGGCTGAGCGTCAACTATCCCGATGAATAGGACATTTTCATCAGCCGCCTTGAACGATATGACCAGGCCCAGTACATTCGGCAACCGTAGCGGCCAACGTCCGGCGTTCATGCACATTATGTTCTAAGGGGGAGGGCATGGTTGAACTCTGTGCAATCAAGAATAGTGGCTCTCTCGCTTTGCTCGAGACGAACGGTAGCCAGACTCGACCTCGGCGTCACTGCACCACTTTCTTGCTCGGAATTGTCTTACTGGCTTTCATCCACGTCGCTGACAGTATTCACTGGGGGTAGTGGACTGTTTCGCCCGGAGCAGAGTAGGGAAGTGGTTCGTCCGGTGCGTAAGTCGTGGTACTAGTAGTGACACGAAATCCGTTCCGACCGATCGTGAAAGTCCATTTTCAACTCCATCAATGATTTCTGGCTAGGTATTCAAGTTGAGCAAACAAAGAAGGCCAAGGATGGAAAGGGGTTCACAAAAAAGGAGCCACGAGTTGCGTGCCTTAGTCAGCGGCATGAGTTGTGCCGCCAAGAAGTTCAATGGCCATAACTTGAACGTCGCTGCTGAGGCTGTTGCTGCGGCGTTCAGCCTGGCCGACCTGCAACTTGAATCGTGCAGCACTCACTGCACACCCTTCCAGTTGTCAATGCTAATGCTAAGCATTGCGGTCCTTGCATGCTCATTCCAGACTTGACTGGTGTAGAAATGCCAGACCACCCAGGTAAGGCGAGGCAGGCAATATCCTTGCCCTCCGCAGACACGTCGCCGGCGGATTGCCTTCACTGAAGTAAAGTCGTGTGTTGCCGAACCGACATCAGCTTTGAACAGACGACTCCTGCCACGACGACAGATACCTACACAAAACATGCCGAACAAAAAGTCCAAGTCGAGCGCCTCCAAGGGCAGGACTGCTGGTCACTCTTCCTCCTCCGCTGCTCCTTCGCAACCGGTGGCCCCGTCGTCTTCCTCATCAGCCCCGGCAGCTCAATCGGAGGAGTTCAAGGCGAAGAATGCTCGTGCCAAAGCCCTCATCATGTCGACCTTGGCGCCGGGCAGCGAGCCCTGGAAGATTGCCGAATCGCTCGAGCTGGCCTCGGACATTTGGAAAGCGTTGGAAGAGAAGTACGCGCCCAAGGAGCGAGGCTCAGGAAGCGGTGGCGTGACCAACACCAACACCGGCACCAGCAGCGGCCCCAGCAGCGGCCCCAGCAGCGGCAAAACTGGCGTCGCCAGCCGGAGCAACACAGCAGATGGCGGAGACAAGAAAGAAATAAACAAAAAGCTCCCGCCGCCACCAGTTTCTTCATCAGATTTCATAGGCGATTGGGTCGAAGGCAAGCCGCTCGACAAGTATCTTGACCTGTACAAGTCGGACATTCTGGCAAAGGCCAAGTCAGACCTGGGCAAAGTCATTGCCACGGCAAATGTGAAATTGGGTGCTCAGTCGCCTCATAATATTAGACCTGATCAGTTGCCTGTCCCGGACAACGCTTTCGTCCTGGCCAGGCTGAAGGAGTTGCTCGCCATGAAACAGGCTCCCGGATATCCTCAATCTGGACTCCCGACAAATCTGAAAACTGCTCATTCCACACCTCAAGCCGTACCGAAGGCAGCACCATCACCACGGCCAGCCCCGCCTGCACCGCCAGCGCCATCGACGGAGTCAGCATCACCTGCACAGCCAGCACAGCCAGCTCCACCCACACTGTCAGCGCCGCCCATCCCACCGTCAACACATTCACCTCAATGGATCGCCAGTCCGGTCAGACACGACTCATATCTGAGTGAGAGTCAGGCTCTTACTTTTGCATCGGGCGATCTGGAGCGAAAAAAGCAAATACAGGCTGCCGCCACAAAGGTGTTGATGCAGAAACTGCCGACGCGCGACCTCCGCTTCCTCTGGGCCCTACTCTACGGCGGCGATGACGCTCCTTGGCCGGGATCGTGGTCGACGGTGATTCCTGGCGTGACTCAAGCAGCAGCCCAACTGAAAGACTTGAAAGTGTGAAGGAGAAACGGAGAGGCTTACGAAGTAACGATGTTCATATCCAAAAAAAATACTCTAATCACCCTGACATAACTGTCTCTGTGGCATTATGAAAGTACTCTCCTCGGTTCGGTAGTGTTGGCAAAATTATCTCCAACCACTACTATTAGCCACCATGCACGATCATGCCAGCAAGACCCATATCCACAGCATTGCCAGTACTAGCGAATATGCGGCCGGAGCCCTAACCACAGCGCACGCGCCGCTCTTTTCGCGGATGTACGTGACATTTTGCGCGAGTCCGACAATATCTCTGGTCGCATGTCCTGTCTGTGCGAGCTGTCTGAGTTGATCTCCAAAGACGGCCAAAATATTGGAACTCCGGCCAGTAGGACAGAAGACCACCTCAAATCCGCTGCCTTGGGGGATGATGAAGGTACTCGTTTGGTCATCATACGCGTAGCTATATGCATCCGGGCAAACCTTTTTGGCTTGTGTCGAGTACAGACTGGGGGAGCAGGTTGCTGGCGTACTATGATCGCCGGTACAACAGTACTTAGCTTTGTTCCACTTTGCACAGGCGCTGAGGCATGGATTGAATACTGGTCGCTGGATATCATCGTCGGGATAAGGGTAGACGCCATCGCCTGGCTTCGTAGGTGGCGCGAGTTGCAACATCCATGGACACCAGCTCTGAACGAATGAAGGGGTCACCACCTGTTCCAGCGGGAGTGGAAAAGTGTCATTCGTGCCGAAAACAACATCAGGACTGTTGCCCAAAGGTGCCAATAAAGATGAGGTGCCGATACAGACCGGGTTTGTCAGGTTGGGCGGAATGTCGGCCAGGGTTGAATTTCCGGACTCGTCGAGCAGTGCAATGATACCCAGCGGGAGATTGTATCCATCGACCAGGGAGATATCATAGAAGGACTGATAGGTGTTGGACGACATGGTGAACTCTGCCAACGTGGCCGGAGCTTGCCCCTATACATTCAGTGTCAGGTCCGAAGTTGCACTTATGAGTCGCTAATGCTCTCTAATTTCGAATGTCGATCAGAAGAGCATTGCTGAAGTGTTATTCCACTCACCGCTCCCTGGCATTCCAGAAACATGCCGCAATCGCCTGTCGTACATGCCGCTCCTCCCTGACCAGTCGCCGGCCCAACCCCTGACAAAGGAAAACTGCAGTTTGTGCGGGCCCAGACCCTGCCCCTCCAGTCCCCGCTGACGGTCTGCGGGTTCGACTCACCCGGGCCAAGCATGAACCCCGAGACTGCAGGGCCGACGCCGCTCTGTGTGAGGATGGCTGGCCAAATCGTTTCCGGACAGTTGTTGGTGACGCGCAGTGGGAGGACGACATCGCGCGGATGGAGATGCAGGGGTGTGGACGCCAATGTGAGAGATGAGTGTATGCACGTTACTAGTAGGGCGAGTATCGACCTTTGAGGAACTTGAAGCGATGTCGCCATCGTCGTGGCTCGTGGAAAGATCCAAGTCTTCCGTGTGCCGAAACATGCATGCCCGTCCGAATGGCATGTCAGGCGATGGAATCCAGTTCGCCTCTTTTGATATTGTCTCGTCATGCCCTGGGGCTCAAAAGACAGCGGGAAGGTTGAGAAGGCGATCGAGGCCGGGCTTGTTTCCAAAGAGTATCCGCTACTTGCTCCAGTTGGTCCTGCGACAGGGACAGTGAGTGGAGGTGCAATCGGGCCCTCTAGTGATAGCTGAGGTTGTGCCTCGTTCGTAGACGTTCAAGGCCACATTCAGAAGAGCCAGTCAGGTAGTGCCACTGGCTCACCAGGTGAAAGGTGCGTGGGTGGTGGATATGTACCAGGTATTGATATAGGCTATGTCTGCTTCAATGTAGAATCTATCGATGATGGTATACCCAAGCAGGCTGATGGGTTACAGTATGAGCAAATCGTTCGTAAATTCCAGCGGCAGTGGCGTTGGCAGTGGCGGTGACGGTGGTGCACTACATATTGTCGTAAGGAATGGCCTGTGTTGAAGAAAGTGCAATCCGCTCGCCGTGGATGTTGGTAACACGGGTAGGTAAGTAGGTACCTACGATATACTAATAGCCGGTCTCACGGTTTCTTTGACCTGGTTCTTGGGTATGCCCGTTGTCGAATGAAATTGCCATGATTCAATGCATTGCCTTGTCATGGCCCTTGTCGCTGCCAGGGATGTCCAAGGGATGGGGCCATGCAGGGTGATATCATTCTTGCCAATCATTGCTTTACCGATTCACACGGGCCTAGAAGGCAGATGTTGCCTACAACAACGTTACCAACCACGTTGTAGATGCGGTAGTTTTAGAAGATATGGCCTCCGCGATATGGGAACGAAATACCGCAGAGGTCCTGGTACGAACCGGATGTCCTGAACGGTTGATACGGCTACTGCTGACCCGCGGCCGGGCATCGAATCATGCGCGCGAAGGATTCAGAATGCTAAAATGTTTGGATGGGAGCCTAATAATGTACAAATCACCTGGATTCTCGTGGTCGACAATATTTCCGCAGCAATGCAAAGTTGAAGACAAAAGACAAAAGACAAAACACAGAAAGAGGATGAGATACGATCCGCGCTGGCAGGCTTCCTTTACCATGAAACATCCCCGAAATTCTAAATCAATGTCATAGAGGCCGCATCTGGCCTGCAACTGTAAGAACCCATCATTGACTTTGAGGCGGCATTTTAACCATGACCGTCTGGATGCACGTCTCCCTACCCTTCCGTCTAACCTCTTCACTTGCCGATTTGCTCAGCCAGATACCTAGTTCATCCGTGCCCGTGTCGACAGGCATCTGAGCCAGAATCTTGAACCCTAGCTTCGTATAAGCACGGATAGCCTGTTCTGTGGTCGTATCGAGAATGACAGGCCGGTCGGGGAATTCGACAAAATGCTGGTCCATCCGGTGTTTCAACACCAACGACGCATAGCCATTGCCCAGATATTTGGGGTTGGTGGCGAGCATCTGGATGAATCCGCATTGGGGCTCCTTGAAGCCGGATGGAGGGAGATCGGGCAAGGTCTTTTTGAACATCGAGAACACATTGGCTTCGTAGATCATTTCGATGCGCCAGAATCCGCTTGGGCCGTAGTGCCATGGCAGGATCAAAGCGAGGTTCCCAGACCTCACGAGGTTCAAAGTGTCATACCATTTGATGCGCTTTCCAGGTGGGGACCAGAGTATTATGGCTCCGATGTCCCTTGCTCCCGGCTTGCTGTTTGCGTCCGAGGCGGGCACATCCGCAACCAGGACGTTGGAGTCGCCGGCCAGATATCGGGTCAGCTTGACTAGACTTCGATAGAATCGGACTCTGGTCTTCTGGCGTCTAGTCATTGGCGGCGTGGGGCCGTTGACAGTGCCAATTTGGACTGGTTCGAGTGGTTTCGATATACCATGGAACCAGTTGTGGTTCCTGTAAGAAAATCAATTCAATCAGTAAGGTATGTCTCCTGCAACGCCCTTGAAGGGGCTGCCGAGCTTGGGACACCGAAACTGACCAGACTGGAAGAAAGGCATTGCACAAGATTCTTGATAGAACATCATCCTCTTCCACCCGGGCTTGACGGATCCGAATGTCCGGGTGCCGTTGGGTGGGTTCGGTTAGACCTTGATCTACACTCGTCTGCGCCATCGCTGCACGCGGAAAAAAAGGTATCTGAAATTCGGAGAGCGAAGCATGAATTGAGTATGTTCAATCCATCTTAAATATCCCCTCTGCCCTTTCTGTGAGTCCTCATGTTGTTCTTATATGTCTTTCATTGAGGACATAAGACGAAATGGGGTGCCTGAGCACAACTCACCTCTGATTGGCTGTTGAGACCCTGATACGACCAATACGAAGTACGGTGTAAACGCGAAAGGGCTAAGGAGACGACGACCCCAGATTGATCCTTCCCGGCCGCATCCTTAAGCACGTATGTGTTATGGGAGGAGTTGGTTTCACCTTTCAAGTGCGCCGTTCGACTAGACTGTTAACTATCGTGCACCAGTGACCCTAAGCGGTGAGAAAGTGAGCTCGCCCAGGCGAGTGTCCATCGTATCGAATGCCGCTTGTCTGGGAGAGTGTAGGAACCGTCAACAGAATACATCCCACTGTGTTACAGGGGGTTTGAATAGATGCTAGATGATATGATCCGGTCCAGCTTCTGTTACTGAACGTGGTCGATGTACGGCCTGAACCTGAACCATCCGGGCCAAAACCAAACGGGCGTTACCGCGGGGGCTACACCTTGAGAAGCAAAGCATCCAGCTTATCGTAAAGACGGCGCTCAGCCCACAGAATAGATATAGATATATGACCTATACTGATCATACAAAGAAGATACGAGGGTGATGGTTCAGTTTGGCAGCCCAACTATTCAAGATCCTGCGCATGTCATCCTTCAATTTCGAAGACGCTCTTCACATAAAAGCAGCATGATATAGCACTAAAGCGGCGGTTGAATCTTGCCGCATCACGTGAGGTCATTGCCAGTGCGCCGGAAGATGACCTGCCACCGGAGCATCATCTTCACATGGAGAGTGGCATTGAATCGATAATCAACTTGAACCTCTCGTCCTCTTCGCCAGCACGAACCCTTCACCACATCCGCTTCTTGTAGGTTCCCGACAGTCTTGTTCTCTTCTTGTCACTCATTCAGCGCCCCTGCAACTACCTGGGTTACCATAATCGCCAAGTGTGACGCCTAGAGAACACTAGCTTCCTCTGTGCCTGGGTCTCTACACTGTCGCAAGTATGAAGCCGCTTGCGGCATACTTGTTATCCGCTCCTGTGCTCGCGGCCCAGTTTGCTGCGGCCATAACGCTAGATTGTGAACGAATCCGGGTGGATGGGAAGAAATTCGACCTTTCCAAGCTTGCCGGGCGACATTCCGTGAGCGTCTATGACACCTCCAGACCACCAGCCGAGTATAACACTACGTGGACGGTCGATCTTTGTGCGCCTTTACAAAAAGTGAAGGGTGTTCGTGATCAAGATCAATGTCCTTCGGGAACAAGAGGTGGGCTTTATTGCTGCACAATCAATGCTAGGATGGATTGATGCTAACTTGTTGGTCACAGTATGTGGAGTCGTTCGGTCATGGAATCCCATCGATGATCCGGACAAGAAGCATGTCGTGGTTGAGAACGTGATCCCAGTAGCCGGAAACTTCGAATCGAGCACTGGAAAGAGCCTTGACCCGAAGGTCACGCGACTGAAAGCCCTCGACTCGAAATCCGATGGGCTGCAAATCGAATTGAATGGCGGTTACTACAATAAAAGAAAGCAGAGAGCCGTAATACAATTACAATGCGACAAGGACCGTACTGGTATTGAAGAGGCCAGGAGATTGAAGCGAGACAAAAATGACAAGGACAAGGACAAGGAAGATGATGGAGACAAGGAAGAGGAACCCTCCAAATCTAGTTTGACGTTTGTGAGCTACGGTCCGGTCGAAGGCAAGGAGCAGATGGAAGTGCTCCGACTCGACTGGCGCACCAAGTACGCATGCGAGAATTACGCCGACAGCGACGAGGCGAACAAGAAGAGTGGTTGGGGCTTCTTCACGTGGTTCGTATTGATGTATGTGCCCTCCAACGCCTAGCCCGTTGATATTTACTGACACCTCGACAGTGCATTCCTCGGCATCGCCGCATACCTCATCTTCGGCTCCTGGCTCAACTACAATCGCTACGGAGCCCGCGGATGGGACTTACTACCTCATGGCGACACTATCCGAGATATTCCATACATCGTCAAGGACCTGTCGCGGAAAGTGGTGGACACGGTAGCGGGCGGTGGGTCTAGAGGTGGTTACAGTGCCGTATGATCTAAGATGAAGATTGGGTTTTGGGTCGATTGCGCCAACTTGTAGAGTAAGAGGTAAGGAAATCCTCCTGGTATAGGGTAGGAAATTATCACGGACTTTTTGCCATCATATCAATACAACAACTTCGGGTTTGTTGCATCTCGTCCCCATTCCGACCAGCCTTATCGCCAATTCAGGACTAGCGCAGCCTCGTCATCCCAGCCTCGTGTAGGGTACGGATCCCTTTTTCACCATCTTCCCATCAAGGCGAGTTACATGCTCAGTGCAAATGAAGAGTCCCAATATCATACGATGGCTTGCATTCCGGTCCAGAGGCGAGACGATGTCCCTCGCGGCTCGTAACGTCGAGTTGCGAGATAGGAAACTCGAAGATGAAGTCCTCCCCTGTTTATCTGAATGATGAGGAAGGAGTCCTCCAGCGACAGCCATCGTGACAACCACCTGCACAGTCACTGCCAAACAGTTTGCGCTCTCTCAGGTAAGCTTGGCGAAGCTGCGGCAATACTAGAAGGTTTGCCTGCGCATTCAAGGTCGCAAGACTTCTCTGACCTCGTTCACTTGCCTATCCCTACCATCCTTTTTCACCCATTCGTTATTCAACAACACTATCACCTCCTTCCTGTTACCCTTTCTTCTTTCATTCGCGGCTCAGTAAGAGTGATCGTTGAAGTCGACGCAATGACTGTAGCTACAATGGTTATCATGCTATTGCTTCTCGCGCTGTCGTCTGCAGCTCCCACAAAGGTGGTGCTGGACAAGACAACCAGTCCCAGCGCATTCGCACGCGTTTTCTTTGAGCAACTGTGTGAAGCTCAGTTCTGTCTCTTCGGCAAAGGCAAAGTGACCTTCAACTCCGGTACCTACTCCTGTGATTGTCCTGACTGGAATGAGCATCCTATGGTAAGACGACCGCACGCTAAATCTGGCCCAATTTCACTGACGAAACAACAGTTCACAAGCCCATGTGCCGATCTGTCATGCCCTGTCGATCAAGAGCCATTCTACTCTTACATCGATGATGCTTGCTACTGCAAGTCGTTCGATGAATGGTACAAGGTTCAAGAAGAGCTTGCCGATGCCTACACTGCGCCTGACATGGAGCGAGTTGTCGATCTGAGACGTCGCCAGATAACACCCACCGGTCCAGCAACAACCGTCGATACTGCAGTTCCTACCTTCATCCCTCCTCCTTCGCAGGACGTCACACCAGCACTGTTGAATGAGTCCTTGACTGTTCAGCCGCAGAATACGGCTACCATCGGTTCGATCGTCCCATGGTTTGCAGACAATCTACTCCAAGTCCACATGCAACTGAACGGGCCTGTCGCAGACACTCTTGTGGTCAACGCTAGTGCCTCTTTTCCTTGCGGTAACGTTGGTTTTGACCCTGAGCCAAGCATTGCGTTGGTGCCAAAAGTCGTCTATCCAGGTCAAGGAGAGCCGCAGGTTATCATTGCCGACTGCCAGTGTATTGCCGTTAACATGTACACTCCAACCGTGATCACATATTGGATACAGAAGCTGGATGGGACAGTCTACTCATTGAGCGGAAGCAACAAAGTGATGGACCTCAACAAGATGAACACCAATCAGAGCGTGGCCTTGACTCTGGTCGCTCTATCATCTGGTCCGAGCAAACGCGACGCAGAAGGTCTCTCCCACTATGTGCAGCCAGAGCGGCGTCAGATGTTCCGCGGCGAATGCGATCAACCTTGTCCGTTCTATCATATGCGCAAAGTCACGAGCGGTGACGGCTTCTGTGCTTGCATGTTCAATGGTGCTGACGAAGAGCTGACCGTGACCGCACGAGATATGGCAGAACCCGATTCCTTCACTGCAAAGATGACCCCAGAAGCATGCGCGGCCATGACTTGTTTCGAGGGTGGTGATCATCCAGCAGTGTTCAACCCTTTCAGTCTCACTTGCTGGTGTGTCACTCCACCATATCTGGAAAATAATCCCAGTGCATGGACTCCCTCTGCTTGAAGAGGCGAACTGTTGCGAACGATATGTTACGGTGCCAAATTGACCACAACAACGACCGTGTACTACCCCAAGACATATCCAATTGCAACAGGTAGAGAGTCTAGTCAATGGACTGGACACGAGCTTGTGGAAAAGAAGCCGGATTGGGCAACGTCAACATGAGGGAGTTGGACACAGTTGTTCATGTGGACATCCGGACCTGCTACATGCAGTGGCAGTAATGAAGGGACAACAAGCCAAGGTGCAATCAATGGTCACTCTACCTAATGCAAAACCAATGTGATTGTAACACGCAGTCCTAGGAAGAAGATAATTGCAATGGAAATTCAGGATTAATTCTGCGATTGAAGCTTGCAGCTTGCAGCTTCGTGCCAGTAAGTAGAATCTTAAGGACTAACACAAACACAAAAACAGCTCCGAGTCTCTTGATGTAAAGCCCAACCCAGAATTTTTTAGCCCCTCATGGGCAACTATCAGCCCAAAAAGCGCCTTGCTTGCTATGTATGATCCACAACCATCGAACATCGAACACGCAGTGACGCAGACAAAAGAAAAGGGGTCGAGGAGGAGGTGGTGGTGCGGTTGATCGTTTGGCGACCTTTGACAGGTATTCTGTCCAGGCCATCCATATGGAATTTTCACCTACGTCTTCAGCTCAGCTCGGGCGCTTTTTCGCTTCCCTCAGAAGGGGTTGTTTTTCTCTCTTCTTGCTGACCAGGGCATTGATTAGGCTGTACATGCGAAAAAGCGAGGTCGGTTTAGAAGCGGCAGGAGGAGTACCATACATGTATGTATGCACGGATGCATACGTTGCGTGGCCCCAAATGATACCATGAAGTACTCAGCGTGGACCAGTGGTGGGCGGAGACGAAAGGCCCCCAGGGGTACCGCTAACATGGCTCGCGCGACTGGGACTGGTGTGTGCGGTCTGTTCCTCAATGATGTCGCTGAGCCGAGTGGGGTGGCGATGGCGGACGTTTTCCCAGGTCGTCGCTGTCGCTGTGGGTGCAGAGCCACCAACTCCACCACTTTGTGGAGGAGGAGGAGAGGATGGGTCATACTCTTCTCGCCCTTCTTCCTCTCCTTCGCCCTCGACGTCACCCTCCTCGTATTCATATTGGGTGGTGGTCGGATCGACTCGTCGGCCCTGTAGGACGGGAGGCATTGCGCCCCGGCCGGCGGAGGTAGTTGTAGTTGTAGAGGATGGTTGTGGGGGATGTTGTGGTGGAGGTTGAGACGGTGGTATTCCCTGTCGGTACTGTGCAGCGTACATCCTCTCGCGTTCCACGTCCGCGGCATGGTCGTCGTCATCGGAGGAAGAGGCGTATTCATGGAGCTGTTCACCTTGTCGCCGCTGGACGCGAGGATCGATGTGTCCTGCTTCTTCTCCAACCCTCATTGGCTGCTGGTTTCCTCCCAAAGGTTGGCGGTACGGGATCCGTCGGCCCTGCGCGTCACGTCGGTAGCTGCCGTCCGGGTTGATGTGGTATTCCTCTTCCGAGACGATCGAGCCTGTGGACGGTATGTACGATTGCTCGGTGTCACCTGTGCCGGAACGTACAGGAGCGCCGACGGTTGCTTGATGGTAAAATCGTGGGTCGTGGGGCCCTCGACCGGGTGAGGGTCCTGGCACACCACCACTAGGCGCAGCGCGAGCGGCAGCGATTGCGGCAGCACTGGTTTGAGGCTGCGTCGGTCGCGGAGGGCTTATTGTGTAGAATTGCGTGTCCGGCTCGTGTCGGAGCTGCGGCTGTTGATGTTCGCGTGGCCGCGATGCGTCGGTAAACGGATCTGTGACTGTGGGGGAATTTCCTGCATCAGGTTGGTAGCTGAACTGTCGACTTTCTTCGCCAGGAGAGTCGAGAGACGTGGTGGTAGTCTGGCCACGCGATAGTGGTCGCTGTGAGCCATGCATCTGTTGTTGCTGTTGCTGATGCTGTTGGCCAGACATGGTAGATGGTCCTGCACCGGCCGTAGGTCCATCTCTCGTCTGCGGTCGCTGTGCCGAGCTCACCTGACGACTGGGCAGCCCTTGCATCGGCACAACCTGGACTCCTCCAATGAGGGTGGGCTCACCGCTTCGCAACGAGATGGTCCTCTCACGTTCTTCCTGTTCACGTCGTCCCAACTCTTCCCAAGCACGCCGAGCCTCTTCTTTGCTGATCTGCAATTCCCTCCGCATTTCCTTGACAAGTTCCTCTGCACGGGCCTTTTCCGCACGGGCCGTCTCGATCGACACGGAGCTCTGGGTCCGTGCTTCGCGCTCCACTCGGAGTTGACGTTCGAGCTCCGCCAGTCGCTCTCGGGCCTGTTCTTGTTCATGCCTCGTTTCAAAGAACCAACGTTGGAACTTTCGCTCGGAAGAGGCCCGCAGCCGTTGAAGTTCAACCACGGCATGGAATAGGTTTGCTCCGGCCGCAGACAGATCTTCAATCTGCCGAGCCATTTGTCTCTCAATGGGTTTGCCTGCTAACTCGTCGGCGTTGTTTTCCAGACGGTGGATGAAAGAGGACACAATCCCTTCCCAATGTGAAGACAAGTCCTCCCATCTTTCAAAAGCGCCTGGAAAGCCTCTTCTCCCTCCGGCTGCAGGAGGTTGCGCCGGCGCAGGCCTGGCCTGTGAAGCAGCTTGGCCAGCAGGCTGACCGCCAGCGAGTGGAGGAGGTTGACTCTGTCGAGGTGGGCGTGAGACTGGTTCTGCCTGGGCTACAGGCTTAGCTGTGGCTGGAATATTCAACTGCTCGTACGCTTCAGTGCGATTTCGTTGCTGAGCAGCAGTGATGGGTGCGTCTTTGCCTGCAGCCTGCACTGGTCTCGAGTACGCTGCAGATGGCCTTGAAGGCCCGGTCTGCGTTGGCGGGACGTTCTCCTGTCGTCGGGTTGAGGGATCAGGTACCTGGGTTGAGGGACCGCCAATATTGTACGACTGAGGTCCTGGTCTGCCAGAGGCTCTCCGGGATGATTCAGCCCCAACGCCGACGACATCTTCTTCTTGCGCTACTCTTCTCTCTTCCTCTTGACGTAGCCTGGCCGCTGCCTCCTCAGCTTTACGAGCCTCCCGCGCCCGTCTTTCCCGCATGACATCTGTAGGAGTCCTGTATCGAGGCGGTTCGGTGGGAGTGGGCCCAGTACCAGCAGCCGCCGTCGCACGAGATGCTCCTCCATTTTGCGTCCGACCAGAAGCACCAACGGTACCGGGCACATATCCTCCTGTCAAATCTGACATCCGAGCCTCTTCCTCGAGCAGATCGGCAGTGAGTGGCTTCGGATTCACACCGCTCCCTTTCCTGATGGCTTCCAAAGCATACAAGATAGCTTCGTGAGTGCCCCGGGAGATATGGGTGGTTCTTTGAGGCCAATACGAGTCGTCATGCACCAGTCTTTGGAAGAATTCGGGCGAGCTCGACTCGGAATCGTCAGGACTGGCCGGAGGCCTGTCAGGGGTCGCCTGTGGCCTACTTGGCTGCTGGGGAGGAGATTCTATCTCTCTACCAGCCCGTATGTCCGGCAAGCGTGGTGTTCTGCGAAGGGAATGGCCCGGACTTGAGCCTGAGGAGGCAGGAGGCCTTTGGAGAATAGGTGTAGGATCTGGTTGGAGGCGCTGGGGCGACGGTCCTGGTTGAGGTTCGTAAGTCTCGTAAGGGTCGTCAAAAAGATTCGAGTGTTGTTGAGACACTGCGACAGTTGGGTCTCTTGTAATGGGAGGAGGATGTTGAGACAACTTGAAGAATGCGCCGACGGCGCAGAGGTCCGGGAGTTGTGATCTCCAGTGCCACGGTCGATGAACGCGGCGGACACAAGGGTTGAAGATAGTAGAGGACTAGGCGAGTTTGGAGTAAGGTGTCAGAGGTGCTGAGCAGCAGCATTGACGAAGTGAAGGCGAAACCTGGTGTGGGAAACAGTATTGTGTGGCTGGTCCAATGCGCCAAAATCACGGTGGTTGGGCTTCGGTTGGGTGCCCACGCCCGCGGTCGCGCCGTAACAGTATCTAGGGTACCTTGACTGAAAGTACTTATGATAAGACATTAATGTTTCTTTTTGTTATCCCGGGCAAAGTCAATGGATGTATTCAAGTTCGTGGTTTTGAGACCGGGTCAGGATCGCAAGGTGGTGGGTGCGGTAGGATGGGAGTGGAGGAAGCGCAGACAGTCGCATGGAGGCTCCAACTTCGCACAAGCCAACTCTTAACGGTGTTCAAGCTGTGGCCAATGTGGAGAAGTCGGACCGGGAGATTTCTATGAGGCTCGATTGCAATAGGAATCAAGTCGAACGCGCTCACGATTGAGACGCAATTGTAGGTCTACGGCAGTGCCTCGGCCGGAAGTGAGGGTGGCAGCCGACAGTTGAAACGCAAAGGACGACGGGAAGGATGCGAGGCTAAAGCAGCAGAGAGATGGTTTGGATCAATACTCGAGGGTTGTTCCATGATCCGAGCCGCATGCATCGAATTGTCTTCGTCAAGGGAGGAACGGGGTTTGTGGAAGATGCGTGTGATTGAGTGTAGAGGAATATAAGAGTCGAGCGTAGCAGCTTTCGGAGACGAGCGCAGGCAGTTTTGCTTGCTTGCTGCTGCCAGTACAATCACCGTTGTACTGCTGGCACTTTTACTTGGCCAACAGATACACACACTGCAACAGCCTGAGGCACAGAGACTGGTGGATTGGATTGGAGCAGCCGTCGAAGAAACTCGGTGAGCTGCCACCAATTTCCAGGTTGAAAAATGCCAGCTCATCACCGCCCTCGCATCCTTGCCATCTCCTCTTGGATAGCGTAGTATCCCTGCCACCCTCATCGATCGAACGGTCACTCATTCTCTCGTCGTCTGCCCAGCTCTCAGACTTATCTACCATCAAACAAGCTGAGATGGAGACATCGGCACAAGAGGAGGCTGTCGTCTGAAACTTTGCACACACGGCTTGATGTTGTTTGCTCGGAACCCCACCATCCTTCTGTTGTCCATCCACCATCGCTCAGGAACCAGGTACCATGTGTCCAGTGACTTGGTCAGTCACTGCGGCTTGTGGTGGTGTTGGCCATCGGATTGGCCCAAATCAACATTCTCTCTACGAATCGGACATCTCAGATGGCAAGTCCCATGCCATACTCCTCCTGGTCGCCTCGCCCCTTGTTCGGATCCTGATGGTCTCCGATGAGCGCCTCATCCCGCGGGGAGCCATCCGAGCTGAAGTTTGTACTTCGCCTCCCTATATTATCCCGCTGTCCGGCGGTCAAGGTTCTTATGGCCCCTCTATCGGATCTTGGCTTCTCTGAAGGCAACAAACCAACTGAAAGTGTCATACCTTAAGATTGGTGCTGCTAGTTATGATCTGCTGTCAGATCTCTGTGGCTGCTGCAGACAAGAGCTCTGGGTGTCACAGAGAATGTACTATCCTGGTAAGAAACGCCCATGTGACGGATAAGGGGCTCTTTTTGCCTTTGTTTGTACTGTCCCTTCCAGTGGTTCGGAATGTGAATCAGTGAGCCCCTTCGGAAATGGCGAGCACAGCCCGCACAGCCCGCCGGTGTGGAATGGTATGTGAGGATCCGATTGTCTACCCTTGTAGACACCACCATACCGTCTCCTAACCCGCGAGGCTACGACTTCACGGCGTCAACCATGAACTGGTCCCTGTCACGGAGTGATCTGGTTGACTCGAATAGCAACATGGAGGCAATGATCAGGACAATTAACGGTAAAGACAACCATCCACAGGAGCTCACTTGCGAATTGCCACGTAAAATCCTCGGTGGGCATTGTGTGTTGCTCGAAGCCATGATTGCGTCTACGACTACATGAGCAGGTAAGTAGCCCCTTTGCCCCTCTTGTGCGCGGTAATCCTTCGACGTGGTGCCTACGACGAGTTGATTTGAATCCAGCATGCTCGAACATGTCTGTGTCTTGAGGACGACCACGATCTGTGCCGTCGTTCGGCAGTCTCGATTGTGGTCACTGCACCCCATCACGTCAGGGCTGCCCTGCTGCGTATGTTGCCACCTTATCCCTGGCTTTACACCTCGAGATCGGTGGTCTTGATCGCTTTCATGGGCCCTGCATGAGGCTTCAGACTGGGGCTTGCATACGTCCCTGAACCTGCAGCAGATACAGCAAACTGCATATTCCGAAAGCTACTCATATCGACCGGGGTAAAACAGAGGTCACGATGTTGCTCTCTGTACGATCTCGAGAAAGCTCTTAAAGCCTGCGATTTTCCCGTCCAACCTGATATCTTTCCTATCGTTTTGTGCTACTTGGGCCTTCTGTTGCTGATGTACTATTATCTTCCTTGTTTCTGACCGAGCTGAAGACGCGTGTTGCTCGGTTCGTTTTCGAAAGCCTAGACTCCCAGCACTTGCCCAAGCACCCACACTCTCTGGCCGGAGAATTCAAAGGGATGGCATCAACAACGAAAGGAGGTCTGGCCAGGTCTCCACGAGGGGCCAATCCGGGGTTGTCTCCCCTGGGAGACACCTCAATTGCTTTAGATCTCTACCACCACCCAGAACCTTCAGATTCGTATGGAACACTTCTTCTGCCTAACATACCGTCGCCTTCCTTATGCTTGGACGAAATGTTTCAGGTGTGGCCTTCAGCATCCGAAAAATTGACACCATCGCCCGCACGCAGAGAGGACCTACCGGCAACCACTCTCGAAACAACAACCGCCGGTCAATCATTATTCCACAGTCTCCTTGACCTGGACAACTATGGTTCTACACAAGCGTACAAACGGTCTCCGAGCCTGCTGCCGCCAGTTCCGTGCTTGTTGGGACAGATTAATTTCAAGCAAAATCCTACCAGTGTCGACTGTCAGCTCTCATCACCACCAGCAGTAAGCAGATGGCGTATACCATTGCCCACTAGTGACGGCAGGCCTGACTTTCATGACGAAGTGATCTTCCAGACAACAAGATCCAACTCTCAACTTCAAGAGTGCTTCCCCAAGATTGAAAGACCCAACACACCGGTTCCTTCGCTGACCCATTCACGCCATTCAACGTCTTCGTCCGGCGTAGAATCATCACCGCCCATGTACAACATTTTCCGAGATCGTCTCAACACACCATCAGACAGTTTTCCGTACATTATTGACATGCAAGAATGCTTTCAATTCACGTCTTCCGCAGGGAAGCCGTCAGACTCCATATTCACCTCGCACAGTCGTGACACCAGTACAACCTTATCGCCAGCATCCACTCGCCCTGACGCTTCTCTCGGCCAGGGAATTCCCACATATCAAAACAGACCAGCTGCCGAATCACTCCCTCCTCGTACTGTTCTGCGGCCCACGCCGGACCCTTCTATCCTTATTCCCACGGTGTTGCCGACTCAGGCTGAAGTTTCATACATCGATTGGGATGACGATGAAAATGATGGCTGTTACCAGCGTTCACGACTTTCCCGGTTGAAGCGGAGTTTCGTCGAGATGCGCACAGCAGAGCGGTCTATTCAGGACGCCAATGCGAGAAAATTTCTCCGGTCAACCGGACAGAGGACAAAAGAGACCCAAATTGTCAAGACTTTCAAGATCGGAGCAAAGACCAAGCATGTTGTTTCCCCAGCTGCATCTCAGCGACCGGCACCTGTCCCTTCGCCCGTGCCAATACTCGGACCTGATCTTGAACGCTCTACCAGACCACAGCCATATGGTTCTGTTAGAGTTCCCACACCCGCAAAATTGGAGAAGCGTCTGAACAACAAAGATCGCGTGTCCACCAAGTATTCACGTCCGCAGACTACTCTCGATTCTCCCCATTGTGATAGCAGTCATCAAAGGACAAACAGATCCAATCCAGACGGTGTCGCACCAATTGATGTTTCTGGAGAAGGGGACACCATGGACATCATGATTGGGACTCCTTGCTTCAATTCGATCATCGCAGATCCCGGGACCGGGAGAGATGTCCCGAATATGCTCGCAGCATCGAAGCCTGACGAGACTGAACAGGAAAATGCCCGGCCATGCGTGGTAGTCAGATGGGCCAAGCGAGTTCTTCGGCATGGAAAGCCGGAAAAAGGCATCATGACCACAGTCTGATCAACAGCAGGGAGGATGTATCATATCCGGATCATAGCGAGGCTGTCAAAGAGCAACCAACCGGCTTCAAACGCTACTGCTACATTCTCTGGTTGATGACCCTGTTCATCAGGATGGCTCCTCTTAAAATCTGCCCGGTGCAGTGGTCACTAGAAGACTTTTGTTAGGCTGAACTTGACTTGTAGTAGCGTACATTATACATTATCCCTGGCCGTCTTTTTGCTTTGAAGGAATGAACGGAGCGTGCTGGTGTAGTACTATTGTTTGGGGTGATCGACCGTTTGACTTTTGAGAATATTGACGGCGTGGAATGGTATGAAAATGATACACGGAAGGTATATCGACCGCTTATGCACTCGTTCACAACGATGACGGTGGAAAACCCCGACCAGATTGCAATTGATAATGAGAAGACATGAGTAAGATGAGATGAGACGAGACGAACAGGCGGGCTAACTTCATGACACAGATCAGATTGGTGGAGAGCCATACAGTAGATGCGAATATAGACGCAGATGTGCAGTTGTGGATACTGTTATTAGCCATATCTTCAAGCATTAACGGACATGCTGTATAATGTCCATCTCCATCTCCATATCCAGTATTCGGTCAGGTAGTAGCAGTCCTATCATCCGCAGGACAAAGGTACTGCATACGTATAGGGTGGTGCGTGTTGCGTGCAAGCAGATCAGGACTTTCAATCCCAATGCTATAGGTAGGGTCTCAAACTCCAAACATCAACTCTTCTCATCATCAGACACCAAGAACGCCGCCGGGATCAGAACATGTCACGTTTGATTGATCCCTGGGATCCAGTCCTTGACCTTCAGCCGAGACGAAAAACAAACCCATTACCCAACCATACCATTAGGTAGGCAACAACAGGACAGGCATAACCACCTGTAGTACCAAAAGAAAGAACCAAACCATCACATCATGATGATTTTTCTTTTCCCTTCTCATCCAAAACTCGGCAACGTGACATTCCCACCAATATCCTTCAACCAAGCAATACTGTTAAATTCGGTATAAATCGTCTTGATCTGCCAAGTATCCTTTTGCTGCTTTGGATTTTCGGCCTTTAGGATCGTAATCCCCTTCGCCGGTTCGGGCTGAAGACCCACGACCCAGCGGAGAGCAATAGTATCACAAGTGACGGCGTCGATGGCGAGCAATTGGAACGGCACATGCGGTTGAGAGCCCTGCCCGGCCTCAAAGGCCTGTTTGCTGGGGAACGTCACACTGCCCACGGGCTGACCGGACAATGAGTTGATGCTGTCGCTAACATCGGTGAAGTTGTCCCCTAGGTACTTTTCCGCGTCGGCCGTCGTGTAGTTTGAGATCAGCCCGCCGAACCCGTCGACGAGGTATTGGGCTGTTTGTTGGTTTAGGCATTTGGTTGGGTTGAAGATTCCCCAGAAGTCGCCTAGGTGGCCCCAGGGGGCGGCGTGTGCGGATGAGACCAGCGCGATGGCGATGAGAGTGGTGAATGACTTCATTTTGTTTTAGTCCTCTGCTAGAAGATAGAGATGGCGAAACACAAACGAATGTGCGTAAGGTCTGTGTTTTGTCCTGTAGGTACGTGCGAGGGCGAGATGGAGACCTGTCCTGTCTTGTCTTTCCGGTCCGTGAAGTGAAGGGTCTGTCTGTCAGTAAAGTGAGTGACTTGACTTTGGCTTGGGGTGGTCTGAACTGAGGAAAAGAGACATGGCTGGGAAGTGGGATGGGGAAATGTTATATAGTAAGTAGATGCCACTACTAAACGAGCCGGTCGTGGGCCTGATGGCAGTGGTGACCGACCGAGCGTTCGGAAGGAAAAGACTAGGCTCTGAAACCTGTATTGGGACGATTCGGCTTGTCCAGGGTTACAGCACCAGTCCCGGTAGTCGTCAATTGACAGCGACGACGACGGCGGTCATTGTTTTGGCCTCTTTGCATCATTTTTGGCTGCCCACGAGACGGGAGTCCGCACGTCAACGGAGGCTCAGCTATGGCCAGCAGTAACAAAGTTGGAAACTGACACTGGCAGGCCATGAATCGTCGGGTGGGAACCAATGCCACCGTGCTGGGTTCTGGTTCTGCTAGGCACGGTCCAGATCGATTCAAACCCATCGAACCATCCTACTGTGGGCAACTAGACAAAATGACAGCTCGTAGTGTCGTGCTTTTGTCGCTTCTTCAGCAGACCCGCTCTCCCAGCCACAGAAATGCCCCATTTTGGGACATGGTCCGCTGCGCAAAGGACTGCGCAGGTCGATCTGCTGGAGAATGACGCTGCTAAAGACGCTGGGAAGCATTCAATTCCTGATTAAAGGCAACCTCGTTTAAAGATTAGGATTGTAGGTGGTGTACTAGGCTCTCGTCGAGGCTGAGGCCTATACGCCGGAAAACTTTCCAGGAATAGATACATAAAGCCAGAACAGCCATTCGGATGCCGTCGTCAGTCGGCAGCCCCCAGGGACCGCTCAAACGCGGAGGCTGGGGGAGCGAGAACGGGCCGCCCCCCGATTGGGCTTAGACGATATAGTCAAACATGTGTTCCTTGGTCCAGCAACAATATCCGGTTGATGCGCCATCCTTAATCAATCTCGGGGTTACTATTGACGCTTCGCATCCAGTGATCTCTGCGAAGAGGGTGTTGCCGGATCAGGGCTGAGCAGGGACGGTGCCTGGTAGGATCCTTGCTGCCAGTGGCTTAGAATGTCCTGCCCTGTATGTCGGGCGGTATCTTCGTGCCGATGACGCTCTGTAGCTGTGCCTCAATACACGTATGTTCAATCCCCCGCGAGTTCATAATGTCCGCCCTAACGATCCACAAGTTGCTCTAAGGTGAAATGGAGGTACGCACCTCACAGCTACTGGTAGTACAGTACATGCGTCAACACGGCGCAAACCGTGGTTGTATCAGCTGACGCACTGTTGCCTTGACAGCTGTCAATAGATATCGTGCTCGGACGAACAACGATTCCGGACGAAAAGCACAGGTCCGTTCTTAAAGAGGATGTATGTTTGCAGCATCAACAATGCTGTCATGGTCGCTACTGAAGACTGCCTCTCGGTGGAGTACTCTCATCGCTGAGAGTGATTGGTCCTGGCCCTTCAGGATCACTCTCAATTTTGATTCGTTTCGTCGCATAAGGGACCGTCTCCTCCGGTTTGGTGAACATATGCTTGCTTTTGATGAGCTGCATCAGCATAAAGTTGAGCGCACATTTGATGCCTTGCTCCTCGCCCCTTCTGACAATATACCCGTTGATGTAGTCAATCTCTGGTTTCTTGCCATTGCGAATGTCTTCGCGCATGCTGCTGGAATTCCTCGCTGTTCGTTGTGTCACTGCTCGAAAGAGTTGTTCCAGCCGTGTCGCCGAGAATCGACCTCGCACGTTAGGGATGCCATTGAGCTCAGGCAGGCCGCGAATAACCAGCGAGATTTCAGCGAGCAAGAGTCTCTGCACGGTCGCAATCTCATCGTTGTATAACAGTGCCCCATTGGGGACATCCAGCAAGGCAGTCAACGGATTCAACACACAATTCGAAGATAGCTTCTCCAGCTGTAACTGGAGAAGATCAAGATATGGAAAGACAGTACAGGCAAGTACTGGCGACCTCGTCAGGGAGCGGAGCAGATATCGAGAAGAAAGATTCGCAAACAGTTCCCGGTCTGTAGGAAAGAATCTTTTGCGTTCACTCTCAGTCAGCTCCGACATGTTTCCATTGAAACTCTTTGGCGGCAAGGGATATCGGTCGCGGTCCCGACAGATGCCTAAGGCTATCGTCCCGAACCCAGCATGAACCACTGTTGTGGGATCAGTCATATACGCTCCGTGGGATACCACACCCTGGATATAGGTTGGGCGAGTTTCGGGGTCCGTAAAAACTTCCCGGTTGAGCTCGTCAATCTGTCCGAGGCCGTTTTGCAGGAAACATATTGTCGTCCGCGCATCGACTCGGTGTTTGATCGATCGCAGCGCGGATACTGTAGCATGGCCCTTTACGGCCACTATCAGGGAGTAGATGTAGAGCTCGCCGGACGGCAGTCTCGCCCCCGGCTCGACCGGATTAGATGGGCTTTTGCCCCATTCCTGGTCAGGTATGAATCGCCATTTCTCCGTCCCGTCAGCAGTCAGGCCTTCAAACAAGTCGACATCGTAGCCTCGCTGCTCGTCATTGATCTCGTTTTCCTTATTTATTAGAGCTATCACCCTTCCATTCCTTTTGAACTCCTCGTACTGTTGGTGTTTGTGGATCATCAACGTAACCGGAGGTGGATTGGGCAGACATCGTAGGGAATGTGCCACAAGCGTCCCTATACTGCCCAATCCAAGGATGTGGATGCGACGACTAGGCAGATGCTCTGTCTCCTGGAATGATAAGTCGTCATTGTTTAGAGGTTTGGCATCGAACGAGGCCGGTTGTTCGTTAGACTGAGACTCGGATTCGGGAGCCATGGTCCACCACGACGGCGATACTGCCGCTGTCTTGAAGCCAGCCCGCGGAAGGTTCAGCGACCGCTTATGGGCAAGAAATAAGCCGGAGCTCAATGTCTTCGGCCATATCGAGGGCGCCCTCAGAAGCGGGCGGAGGAGTAGTCGTTGCGACAGCTTGAAAAGCGTTATGAGAAGCCCCTCGTGGGAGGAAGATGCGATGCTGTTACCCGAGGTCACTTGTTCGATTTGTAGTGGGAGAAGAACTGTAGATGTCCGCGCAGCGCTTTTCTCAGCGGCTGACAAGACACATCTTTGAAAACACGCACTGTTGTACAATTCGATTATGGACACAATGCATCTACTCCGAAATCATGATCAGTTGAAGTCGAATTAATCTGCAGGGAATAAACGCGGCGCAGGCGGTTCAGAATCGACATCCGTTCATCTCCAACTTTTTTCCTCATCGCGTCGCAAACAAATCTTCAACTTCAACTTCAACTTCGATTCTTCCGCAACGTGAAGCTCGCGGTCTACAGAGGAAAGGGTCACACCCCATACACCTAGTTCCGCCCATTGGGGCATCTCTCCAGTCATGGACACCAAGTCCGTGATCTCGCTGGTCGACCAGCTAGAAGACAACATCGACGACCTGGAGGAAAACCTACAGCCCTTGATCGAAGGGGCACTAGCGACCACTGCAAAGAGACTTCCACTACTAGACAGGGCCAAACTGAACGTCCTACTCGTATACTCTATCGAGTCATTAATATTCTCCTACCTCAAATTACAAGGCGTCGACGCCAAAGATCATGCCGTCTTCCGCGAACTGACAAGGGTAAAACAATACTTTGAAAAAATCAAGGAAGCAGAAACCGGTCCGGAAACCGAAACCCGCCCGAAAGCTACTTTGGACAAGGAGGCCGCGGGGAGATTCATCAAGCATGCATTGGTACGTTACGTTCAAGCCTGCCAGCCTGACCACATGGTCATTGTGCTAACACGGCAAAGGCGGGCAACGAGAAATATGACCTCGAACGCGCCGAACGAGAGGCACGAGAGAGAGCGCTGGCGAACAAGAAGTTGAGAACTCTAGAGGGGAATATGAAGGCAAAAGCGGAATCAAAAGCAAAAGTCAAGAACAATGATGCCGAACAAGAAGATGCAACTGCTGCCCTACGGCAAGCGGCTCAGTTGGCAGCATCTGTACAACAGAAGTCCGACTCCTCAGACAACGATTCGTCTTCGAGCGATGAAAGCGAGGACGAGCATGAGGGAGTCGCTGTATTCGCAACCACATCTGATAACGCCGCACAATCCGAGTGCTCCCCGTCTAGACCGGTCCCTGCCGCCCAGTCGAAGAAGGCGAAATCCAAAACGAAATCCCCCCCTTCACCCCTAGACGCCGCCTCTACCCCGGGAGCACAGCCGCAAGTACAGTCACAACAGGCACAAAAGAAAAAGAAACGCAAGGCCAAGCAGCCTACTCCAGAAGAGCAAGCAGCCAAACGCCAGAAGAAGCAAGAGAAAAAGCAGAAGAAGAAGGCCGCCAAGGCGGCGCAGTCCAATAAACAATCCAAAAAGAAAGCGAAGAACGATGCCGCGGCTGGATGAGTCTGGAATATTGATCAGTATGGTTTTGGAAACAAATATATTTCAACAACTTGCATCAACCTGAAGACGCTCTTCTGCCGCTCAGGCTGTTGACAGCAACTGAGCGGCGCGGGGCGAACAGGATCACCAAGGGCGTACCAATTGTATGCACATCAACATAAGGTAGCCTGCTCAACGAGTACGTTGGCCACAGGGCCAGGCAAACTATGGCGTGGAGCGGCCGGAGCCTTCGCCGCATCTTGCAATTCTATTGCAGGAACTCCAAAACGCCTTCGCACCAGGCGATGGAGAGCAGACCAACTCGACCCCCACTACTGCGTTCACTGCATCCATTATTGGAAGGTGAAAAGGTGTTATCTGTTAGGATCCTGGTGGTATCTTGCTTTGGGACACCATTACACCGCTCTGATTGCCTGTACAAGCCAGCCATCAAGCATCAGGCAGAGAGAGGTCCAGGCAGCACGATCACACCGCATATATTATCGATGTGAGGGTCATATACAAATTCACCAATGGTACTTTAGGTACCTACATAGGTAAACAAGAAGCAGGGCACATCTACTGGTATGCGACAGAATAAAGTGCCATTCTACAGCTCAGATAGCACATAGTATCATTAGCTGTGATTTCACGGAGGACTTGTCCTATTTCAACGGGGCCTGGGGCCTCATCAGACTATATACTTTCTAGGGGTTATACGATAGCGTACGACGCTAGTCAAGACCGAAAGACGATCCTCGATATCTTTATAATACTTAGTACGTAGAGTATCTATTTTATTATATCCTCCTCTATCTAGACCGTCGAATAGCCTTATTCGTCGTCGAAGAACGTTAACTATCTTTATTAGCCTTATAGTAGAGAATAAAATAGTATTTCTATATTCTAAATACTTCGTTTTCTAAGTAGTTCTATCGTTAGAATAAATATCTATAGTACCTATATCTTCGGTATCGATTAAGATATATAGAGCGAGTATATATCTCTTATCTTTAGCTATAAAAGTAGTATATACGCCCGGAATAGTAAAGCTAAATAAATCGAGGGTAAATTAAGATCGTTAAGATAGTAAGTAAAGAGAGTCTATACGCGTAATAGTACTCGTCGTTACTCTTCGAAGCTAACTCGAGATTAATCCGGCGAGATTTTAAGAAGTATAAGTAGGCGTCTCTTACTTCTTTTCTTCTTACTTTCTTTTATAACTCTTTCTAGTTATTTATACTTCTAAGCTCTAAGTCTTTTATTAATTAAAGCTAAATATTCTATAACTACTATTATAGTTATTATACTATCTAGATAAGTTAGGACGCTGACTAGACTATAAGTTCTAAATACTTAGTACTATTAATAAGTTAAGAAGATAGTTAAAGGCCTACTAGTAACTAAGATAGCGAAGATAGCTTCTTTCGTAAGTATATCGTACTATATCGAAAGATATAGTTACTAATTCGTTTTTAAGTTAATAATAATATTTATAGCGTTAAGCCTAACGATATAGTAGTTAATTCTATTATCTAGACGAAATAGTACTAGAAGTAGTTCTTTTCCCTTAATAATAGCTTATTAATTTAGCTATATAGCTATATTCCTTAGAGACCCGTCGAATTTTACGGTTAGAGAGATATTACTAATATATATATTAGGAATACCCTTATAGAGTATATAGTAGATATCGTAAATAATCTACGTTACGAAATATATCTTTATATAGTTAAACTAGATTCTTATCGAAAGTTAGTATTCCTAGAGTACGTTTCGATATCTATCTCGAATTCGCCTACTTCTACTAATACGATATACCTTTTCGGCGAAAAATATATAACTTACGCTATTCGCGGAGTTAATTATTTCTTATTTAGTAATAGAGATATAGGTAGTAAGACTTCTAGTCGTTATCGATCGACTATATCGATATTAACGCCTATCTAAACGCGTAGTATAAAGAAATATTATACTTAATCTTCTAAAATATAAGAGAAAGATCTAGTAAAAGGTATAAGAGAGGTATATTTTAGTAAGAGAATAAGTAGTCTATATATAGCTAATAAGGCTAGAGAGATAAATAGTTGTATAGCTATCGAGATTAAAGATCTAGAGAATAGATTCGACTTTATATTATTACTATAAACGGATATAGAAGATCGATATTAAAAGATATTAGTTACTATCTAGAAGATAATATAGTAGACTTTAGATCTATACCATACGCCGAAAACTATTAAAGTTATTTATAGAACCGATAAATCCGATATACGTATAGAGTAATATTCTTTACTAATATTAACTCGATAAAGTCGTCGTTCTATAATATCTATATCTTTAGTAAGAATAGAAGTCGTCGAGACTAGTCTAGAGTCGGAAGAATACGGCTATATAGCTAACGAGCTACTACTAAGATATCGTTAATATACTATCGATTCTTCTCTCGAGCTATTATTATAGATACGAAGTTTATCTAGGTATATATCGAAAATACGTCGTTATACTAAAGAGGCTATATAATACGTACCTACGCCTCTCGAGCTAGTATACGACTCTAAGCGTAATTAGGTTATAATATAGTAACGATTCGTACTAGTCTTATCTTCTATAGATTTTGTTAGGAACGCCTAATGGGAATAGGCAGAGTACAGCGATATAGTCTTCAATTAGTATTAAGTACTCCTTAACCCTATAGTTATACACGACTCGAAGCATAAGAGAAGAAAAGCTCTCTTATACGGGTCGCGTATAGTTTATATCTCTTAGCTCTATCCGAGTAGCTAAGAGGTATAAGTTATCGATAGTTAGTAACGGTAGTTAGCCTCGATATTTGTAATATTATCCCTCCCTCCTAGGTTTCTCGTCCTCGAGAAAGCGATAGTATTATATACGAGTTATATACTTCGTTACGTACTCGGTACTTTCTTTCTTTCTAACGTAGCCTTACGTAGTCTCGTAAGAGTATTATACGCTTAGGATACGACTTATATAAGTTCTTGGCGGTATATTCGCCTACGCCTTATAGCCGTAACGACTTATAAATAAATAAGAGTTAGATTTCTAAAGTTCTTTATATTTCTTATCTTTTTTAACTTATACTCTTCTCTTATATAACTTATTAATTAACTCGTAATCTTCTCTTATTTAACTCGTTAACTTTCTACTATATCTTTAGTAAAGCGAGCTCCGATTATACTTAAGAGAAGATCGTCTTCTTCGTCTTCTTCTTCTCGTAAGCGAGTCCGATTCGTCTCGCTAGAAGACTATAATAAGTTACCGTATATTCGATATATTCGGTCTCTTCGGGACGGCCCGTAGTAACTTAACTATATTTATTTATCTAGTCGTAGCCGCTATAGGCGGTACGCCTTCGCTAATTATACTACCGCTTAATATCTTCGTATAAGTCGTATACTATTCTCTTACGAGTATTATACTAATCTCGATAAGATCTCGGACTTATATCTAGACGACGCTAGGGCTATCTTAAGTCTTAATAGTCGTTTATTAGATAGTAACTCTACTACTATAGAGCGAGAGTTAATAGAAGCGATAGACGAATTCTACTATCGTCTCTTAGCTACTAATCGATAGATTCGTTAAATTACTCTTAAGGCGTCTATAACTCGTAGTAGTATTCTTTCTAGTTCTTTAGCCGCCCGACTAAATACGTCTATTTAGTAAGAGATCTTTAAGGCTATATCGCTTACGACTAGCGTATCTCTCTCGATTACTTTCTCTATTACCTTACTCTCTAATACCGATACTTCTAGTCGAGTTTCTATAAACTCGACGGCGCTAGAATAAACTATAAATATAATAAAGTTCTTAATTCGCTAGACTAGGGAAATTTAGGCTAGTATAGAGGCTCTTACGATAAGACTTCCCTTCTACTTATCGTATACGACTCGCTAACTAGTTATATAGATTAACTCTAATATCTTCTTTATAGCGATATAAGAGCGAGCGGACGGAATCGAGAAGTACTATTATCGTACCGCCCGTCTTATTAATAATATATCTATTCGTTAGGACGTTTTAGAGGCGATCTTAGATAAGCTAGTTAATCGTATTAAGGCCGTCGAGAATAAGTTTATATTAGAGAATAAAGACGAGTAGATAGTACGTCTATAACTCGCCTACGTCTCTCTTATTATTAGTTTCTCTCGCTAGAAGTATTAATATTAGGCTTTTATTCTACTTTTCCTAAATCTTTTAATTATCTCGCTTACGTTTTCTAGATAATTTTTAGGTTTCTAGCTATTATAGATCTCGCTAAAGTCTTTCTATTAGATATAGAACTCGGCTCGCTCGCGTCTTTAGCGCTTATCGAGGATTCTCTCTACTTTCTATTCTTTCTCTCTCTCGACGTTAATTAATTCCGAAGTTTCGTCTCTAGATCGCTTATAATACGCTTATAAGAGAAATATATAAAAGGTATAGTATAGTCTACCGTATTTCGCTAGAAGATCTAGCTTATACGCGTTTTAGCTAATTCTCTCGATAATATAGAAGAGATCTAAGAACTAATTAGATAGCTTACGACTTATACGTAAGAGATTAATATTCTTAGTTACTAGTAATATACGGTCTTTAACGTTAAAGAATATTAGTTACTATTTCTTATTATAATACTTCGCTATCTTTATAATTTACTCCTTAGTAGTAGTTCTCGCCTTAGTAGCGTAGTATAGTAATTCTACTAACGCTTTAGCTCTTTATTCTACGAGTATATTCCTATTTAGATTTACCTACGAGTCGCGTTTAAGATTTACGTTTAGAGTAGGCGTAAAGCGAAGTACCCTTAAGAAGGGAGTTTCGCCCGTAGTCGTATTAGATATCGAGTTTATCGTATACTTAGCGCTTATAAGTAGGCTAGCCTAATCTAACTACTCGTAGTTAATATAGTATCTTAGATACGCTTCTAGAGTTTAGTTTATCTATTTTATCTAACTATCGATCTAGGGATAGAAGAATATAGAGAAAAGTCTATAAGTCGTAAGAGAGGCGTATAACGTCTTCTAGTACGCTATAGTAAAGATAGTTCCGCGATTACTAATAATCGACTTAGGGGCGCCGAATCTCGCGACGACTTTTTCTAATACTAACTAGACTATATTCGTGACTACGATATCTAAGCGATACGGCGTTAAACTTACTATCTTCGAGTATCTATTAATAATAACTAGTATCGTATCGTATACGCGTCCTCCGCTTATCGATAGTAGTAGGTCTACGATAAAGTCTATCAAGATATCTTACTAGGGCTCTTATAGCTATAGAAGAGGCTTAAGCTTCCTATAAGGCTTATATTATAGTACTTTTATTCGTTAATAGATATTATAGATCTTAATATAATTAATTATATCTTTTCTAATATACGACTACTAGTAGTATTATATAATAGCCTTTACTATTCGGCCCTCGCTAAAATATCCGCCCTACTAGAGATTATTATAGTTCGCCTAGAGAATCTCTCTTCTTATAGTAGAATTATACGATATATATACGATTTCGTTACGATAGGCTATATCTTTCTAGTTAATAATCTAAGTTTCTTAAAACTCGTCTCTTTTAATTTAACTATTGAGCACTATCTTCTAGCGAGCTTCCTTATACTAGATATTCTATACTTAGAGCTCTCGTAGCCTAGTTACTAGTAAGTTTCTACGCTTACGTAGCTTAGTAGCTTCTTTCGAACTTAGGCTAGAAGTAGCTATTAACTTAGCTTCGAACGTTAGTAGAGTTATAATATTATAACTACTTTTAGTAGAATCTCTACTACTCCGAACTATTACTCGAGTTAGTACTT